AAATTGAATCTATAAATAGATGTCACGTGACCCCTGATGACGTCACGATGACGAAAAGTTTCGGCATACACGTACATCTTCAGATGATGGTTAATGACTATGCTGAGTTTATAGTTGATCGGATTTAAAATAGTTCCCAAAGTGGCTTGTAGAATAAAACGTGTGATATATATTTGAAATATAAGTGTCCAACTTCCCCTAAAGCAGAACAAAAATCACTGAGACAAGTCTACTGATTGGCGAATGGGGGCGCCATTCACTTTATACGGTGTGCCGTTATATTTTTTGGGTGACGCGCAGCTGTCCTTATTTTGATCCTGTAAAAGTGTTCAGACACATGTGATTGCATTGGTTTTAAATACTGATCTTTTGCATTTCGCCTTTTGTTGACTTCCGCCAATGCCATCTTAGATTGCTCTCAGTTTCCTTTATTTTGTAAACACCCCTATACAATTATAATTGAGCACATTAATACGAACTAAGCCCGCATCGCTGGCTTCGAGGGGTAATGAATAAAATAAATCACTACAAGGAAACTCTTTACAATTTATAACTGGGGAGAAACCTTGAATGAAGACCTGCTACAATTGGAGTTTTACGTAACATTAAATGGCCATTATGCTATTATACGGTCTGTCTGCAGCACAATACTATCCAATTTGGTTGTAGCTTGGTATGAACCTAAGCCGCCATGTCGTATACATAAATCCAACTGACGTCATGATGACGTCTTGACATGACATCTCACTCACATTAAAGCTGCATTTTCTACAGCCTATAAATCTACATTTGCATTTTCTTTTTACTACACCTGCATTACCTACAATGTATCAGTCTGTAACATAATGCCGAAACAGCCCTATGTTCAGTTTGTCCACAAACATATGTCTAGTTTGCATTGTTTTTACCAGGTTTTGGCAAATCTTGAAATTGTCCCTGTGTCATCTTATTATTATTTAGGCTGTCAGAGTACTTTTTGGACCAACCCACCATTGTTTTACCGTGGATACACGTCGAGTAATTTCACTCAATGATTTATTTACGGCCAGAGATGACCGAGATTCGAATAATATTGTTACGCTGTAGCGCTAGCATCATCTACCCATACTTTGTCAAATTGAATCCATCAAGCTACAGATAGCTATGCAAATCATGCATGTGCCCAACAGTTCGGTGTAGTACCGGGCGACAATTAATACATGACCAACGTGTTGTACAAAAACAATCATATTAATGATCTTAATGCTCGAATAGTTTTTGGATAACCCCAACTTAAAAAAATTGAACAGAAAATTAAAGATGATGAAATAAGGAAAAAGTTGATGAGTGTCTTGGTCCCTGTGTCTCGAACACCTCATCAGAGAGTTTTTATTTTCCTGAGTTTCTAGAATTGGGAGCATTTATTATCGGGGGTCTTTGGCAGTTTATTTACTTCGCTTAGCTCCAAACATCAATAAAAGAGAATTGCAGGGTGTACATGTAGTTGACCTTAGAAAGTTTGGTTTGTTATTAAATCACATTGCCCAAAAAAGTTGTGGATTCCCCCAAACAGCGATGCCGTTATGTGTGTAAATTTCCCATACGTTTGTACACATAATCAACTGACGAGGTCACATTTATTTCAGCCAAATCGAGCATCATTTTAAGGTAAAAAAAAGCAACTTTTAAATTGCAATAATGTGAGAACTGCTTGCCCTATGAAGTTAGGAGACCATTTGTTTAATTAAATTTTGAAAGCTCTTTAAGATAAAGTAAATTCTACAAAATGTACAACTATCAAATCAACTTTGAAATTTGATGATGTGGCATGGGCCAAGTTCGCGCAAGGACTATAGTTGACCAATGGTTAACTAACGTTTGCCCGAACTCTGTCTAGTCGACGATGGTTGACTACGCTAGTCGACTATTTGGAACCAGCCTGGGGTTGGTTGCTTCGCTGGTAACCAACAGCCGCGCGCATTCATAACGCTAGCAGAGAGCCAGGATCCAGAAGTTTTGCGATGACATTTTGACCAGCATTTGACTAGAGACGTTCGCACGTTGCTACCAGTGCGCAGGTGTAAGGTACGTCACAAATCAACCACTAGTCGACTAATGGTCCTTGCCCGAACTTGGCCCTAGTGGACATCATAAGCAATGGATCTCATGAGCGGGAAGATCCGGGTTCGATCCCCGCTGGCCAAATTTTTACTTAAGGTTTTTTTCCCCCCATCCCCCAAATATAAGAATATTCTTCTTTTATTATTTTAACATGTCTCAAACATTTTATTGCAGAGTTTAGGCCTACATTTTCTTTTTCAGATTTGTGGCTGTGGAGGATTTTTTTAAAGGGAAAAAAAGTCCGAAATTGTAAAATGGTCTGATTCCCATCTTGTGAATACGAAGTTACAACGATAATGTCGGCATGGAGCCAGACTAAAATTTGTCACCGGAAAAAACAGTAACTGCGCATGTTCAGTGCATATCCGGCAAGATACATGTAACGTTTACTAAAGGTTTGCCGTCTCCGGCTAAATATCCACTGCCTTTTTTTATTACTCAAAAATGACATTTTCAACCTAAGGCCAAAAAAAAAAGTCTCCGGTGTCTGGTATGCGCGCGCGTCGCCGTAGCCATGCACGTCGGCAAAATGAAAAAGGTTTTTTTTCAATACAAGATGATGTCTCAAAACCGCCAAACTCACTGGTTTGACTGGAATCCTGCTGCTGCACAATTTTAACGTGTTTTTAGATGGGGTTATGATCGAGAATAAGCTTTATGATGCCTCTCTGGACTCCCATATATTTGCACTAAGTTTAGTCGGGCACCATTTGCAGTCATCAGCCGACATTTGAAGCCAAAAAAAAAAAAAAGCCGCGTCGCCGCACCACTTTTTGGGCAAGCTCCATACCAAAAACCGGAGACTTTTTTTTTTTGGCCTAAAGCAGACTTCTCTCAATATATGTATGACAGTTTGGCCCCCTTTTTGGGGATACTTTGTAAACAGTTTCTTAAGACTTGGGGTAGAAATATCGATTTTCCTAGGCGGTTTACGGCTGGTCAGTGTTGGTGCCGTGCAATTCAGCGCGCCTTGCACGCTCACGGTACATTGTGCAGTGATCGCCATCTTTATTGTCGTGTTGCGTTTTGTCATTGTCATCGTCATTTACCCCCAAATTTCCCTCAAAAATTCAAAATCCTGCTCTTTATCACATACATATACCTGTTTGTTCTTAATGTCGCCAACTAGTATGGTAGGTCATTGTAGTTCAAATAAATTAAAAGAGGATTTTGTTCCCTTATAGGAACCGGGCCCTATACATGATTGCCCTAAATTTGACTTTTTAAGACATATCACTTTCTGATGGCTGATGATAGGTCACTGAAGGGTAAAATGAGTGATTGCCAGAAATGGGAATCTTTCCATGCATCTTCATGATCTTGTTCAGCCGTCGTGTAAGTTGTACATGTATAGTCAGACTTTCTATTATCGTGGCAATTCTATCATCGCGGCATAGGAAATTTCTCTTTTTTTGCGTTGCCAAAACTCCTTCAAGTGGTGATTTTTATCCAGTTCACCAGGCATTAAGGACTTTTGGAATTTCTGCAGAGTTGTATAAAAAGGATGATTAAACACTGTTACAAATGTTGTATTTTTTCAGGACTTTTATTTAATGATTTTCAATAACTTTTCATGTTTTCCAAAACTTGCAAATTTTACCTCACTGTATCTGCTAAAACTGGGGGGTACTGTCTATATTTAACATAAATCCTTAATAGTGCTCTATCCATGAAAGTTCCACTGTCTGGTTCCCATTCAATCATGCCATTTCTACAGCTGCAAATGCAAAATGACGTCTAAGGACAATATTTCCACCGCAAAATCGTAAAAACTTTTATGGGATCAAAATAAAGGACAGCGCGCATAAAAATTAAACGGCACACTGTGTAAAGAGAATGGCGCCCTCAATCCCCAGTCAGTAGACTTGTCTCAATTATTTTTGTTCTCCTTTCGGAGGAGGGGCAGGGTCGTAAGAAATCATTCTTCAGGCATATAGTCTTTAATCAACTTGAACATACAGGGAAAATATCAGACTTTATTCAGGGGATGTTTTGTTCAAACATTAACTATGAAGAAAAATGTTGAGATCTTTACAAAAACCACTTCCCGCCTACCGCAGTAATAGGAGTCCTCCATTCCCATACTCCGAGTATGTTTATTTTTCACAGGCATCGTACACGGGATAAATCACACCACTGTAGGATTTGTTTTGATTTATACTTTGATAGGCCTATCAATTTGAAAAGAAAGTGTTAGGCTATACAACACAAAAGACAGGACAATTTGGGAAGTTTAGTGGGCAACCTCTATTCCGAGCGAGAAACATGATAAGTACCGCGATCATAGGGCGTCCCATCCTACTTCTTGTATGCATGTCTTGGGTCTGGACAAGCGATTAAAACCAGGCAATTTGTGCACAATCGGGCCGAGTACAAGTTACAATTTTTATGTGATTCCCTCAATTTATATCTTTGCACACATTGTTGATTGGTAATTTGAATAGTCATGTACTACATGTACTACGCCTATTAAAAATCATTTTTAACATTTTCAAAAAGCCTATAAGGAAGGCTAAAATTAGGCCTAGCCTATTGAATTTAAGAAATTAATTAGAAATTTGGCCTCATCACCGCTGCCGAAATCATCATTTTTTTTCTTCATATTTTAGTCAGCTTTGCTGTGTTTCAAATGTGTAGTTCACATAATTATTTTGGGATTCATCAGGGTTCACTTGTAGTTAAATCGATGATATCCAATTAGTAGTTGTTTACTCAGATGTAAGGCATACTAAATTTCTATTCTAATGCATAAGAAAGTGGTTTTCTTTCATCTAGCCCACAATCGATAGTTTTCCTGTATGCATGTGCATAGGCCTATATGCATAGGAGAACCAAGCTGTCGTTTGTTTAAGCCTAATGAAAGTAATGATGATGTTTTCCGCCTTGAATTCAATCTTTAGGTACAGACAAACCAGGCGCTGGACTGACAGAAGAAAGGTCACAGGTCAGCGAAGGTAGCGGAGAATGCGCCATTTACAATCCCTACGTTGCTATCTCCATCGAACAACAGAGACAGCGACTTCCAGTTTTCAAGGTACGTCAACGGATGAAATACATGTAGCTTTGAATAAATAAAGAAAGCTAAAGCAGACAAAAAAAATGCATTAACAAGCTCGATCGCAAATATCTTGGAAGCTGCGGGCCAACAAATTCATGCTCATGCATGAGTCATGTGATTGTGCCATGTAATATCTGGAAGAAGTAGTGTTTTGAGTTTTAAAAAATTCGGGTTTTTGACCTCAGTCATCCCATGATGACCTTTGACCCCAGTTTTATCATGTGACATGTTGGGGCTTGGCTACTGCTACTTTTGACAAAGTTTGGTTGAAATCGGTCAAAATGTGTAGGAGCAATAGATAATGTCAACGTTTGTTACTAGGGCCAAAAAAAAATAGTTCTGCATCCGGTTATCCTACCTACCCTATTCTGACAGCCCTTACCCTAATTTTTTTATGGGGAAAAATGAGGGGAAAACCCTGAAAACCATCAATTTCTACCATTGACCCTTGACAACACATGGACACCTCCATATGATCGTGCACAAAAAAAAATTGCAAAAAAAAACAAACAAAACATTCCCTACCTACCTTCCCTATGTTCAAATGCCATGTAATCGGAAGCAGAACAATTTTTGTTTTGGCCTAACTAACTAACGGACTAACGGAGAGACATGATGAATTGTTGAGCTGCTATCCCACAGCTAAAAAGTGACAATTATTTGAGTTGTCACATGTAAGAGTTTGTTTAGAGGTGGTATACAAAATGGTTAGAAAATATGTCTTGTCCAATCGTGATGTTGACCTCCGGTATTATGTGTGTGACTTTGTGGTGTAAGAAGACACACAGATAATGATTGTTCATTTTTCATTTTTCAAGTTGCAAATTGTTTGTCTGAATCAAACGCGATAATAAAAAAAATTACTTCAATCAATAATTTAATAATTACTTTACAAAATATAACCTTTATACGGCATTGGAGTGCAAGTCACCAGAACGTTATAGCCCAGATTCCACAAATGAGTTAATTCTAAATAGGCAAACACTTTTTTTCCCCAAAGAGCCAAAAATGATGATTTTACCAACCTGAACATGTTGTCAGTGCTTTATAGTCTTTTTTCTGAGTTTTACTAGTGAAGTGACAGTGATTTATTCTTGTTTTTGGTTTAATCAGCACAGAAACCACATCCTTTACCTTCTTGAAAAATACAAGGCTGTCGTAATTGTTGGTGAGACAGGATGCGGGAAAAGCACCCAGATACCCCAGTACCTAGTGGAGGCAGGCTGGGCTGCAGAGGGGTACGTGGTGGGTGTCACCCAGCCAAGGAGAGTAGCTGCTGTCACAGTGAGTAAATGATTCCCTGTACTGTGATGTACCTAGTGGAGGAAGGGTGGGCTACAGAGGGTACGTGGTGGGTGTCACCCAGCCAAGGAGAGTAGCTGCTGTCACAGTGAGTAAATGATTCCCTGTACATGTACCTAGTGGAGGCAGGCTGGGATACAGAGGGTAAATGGTGGGTGTCACCCAGCCAAGAGTGTAGATGCTGTCACAGTGAGTAAATGATTCCCTGTACTGTGATGTACCTAGTGGAGGAAGGGTGGGCTACAGAGGGTACGTGGTGAGTGTCACCCAGCCAAGGAGAGTAGATGCTGTCACAGTGAGTAAATGATTCCCTGTACATGTACCTAGTGGAGGAAGGGTGGGCTACAGAGGGTGAATGGGGATGTCACCCAGCCAAGGAGAGTAGATGCTGTCACAGTGAGTAAATGATTCCCTGTACATGTACCTAGTGCAGGAATGGTGGGCTGCAGAGGGTTCATGGGGGTGTCACCCAGCCAAGGAGAGTAGCCAGTCACAGTGAGTAAATGATTCCCTGTACATGTACCTAGTGGAGGCAGGCTGGGCTACAGAGGGTAAATGGTGGGTGTCACCCAGCCAAGAGTGTAGATGCTGTCACAGTGAGTAAATGATTCCCTGTACTGTGATGTACCTAGTGGAGGAAGGGTGGGCTACAGAGGGTACGTGGTGGGTGTCACCCAGCCAAGAGTGTAGATGCTGTCACAGTGAGTAAATGATTCCCTGTACATGTACCTAGTGGAGGAAGGGTGGGCTACAGAGGGTACGTGGTGGGTGTCACCCAGCCAAGGAGAGTAGCCAGTTACAGTGAGTAAATGATACCCTGTACATGTACCTAGTGAAGGAAGGGTGGGCTTCAGAGGGTACGTGGTGGGTGTCACCCAGCCAAGGAGAGTAGCTACTATCACAGTGAGTAAATGATTCCCTGTACATGTACCTAGTGGAGGAAGGGTGGGCTACAGAGGGTACGTGGTGGGTGTCACCCAGCCAAGGAGTGTAGATGCTGTCACAGTGAGTAAATGATTCCCTGTACATGTACCTAGTGGAGGAAGGGTGGGCTGCAGAGGGTTCATGGGGGTGTCACCCAGCCAAGGAGTGTATATGCTGTCACAGTGAGTAAATGATTCCCTGTACATGTACCTAGTGGAGGAAGGGTGGGCTACAGAGGGTGCATGGGGGTGTCACCCAGCCAAGGAGAGTAGATGCTGTCACAGTGAGTAAATGATTCCCTGTACATGTACCTAGTGGAGGCAGGCTGGGCTGCAGAGGGTACATGGGGGTGTCACCCAGCCAAGGAGAGTAGATGCTGTCACAGTGAGTAAATGATTCCCTGTACATGTACCTAGTGGAGGAAGGGTGGGCTACAGAGGGTGCATGGAGGTATCACCCAGCCAAGGAGTGTAGATGCTGTCACAGGGAGTCCCCATCCCCATTGTACCATGGGACAAATCGTGTGTAGTCTCCACAACTATATAATAAGAATGTGTGTGTGTGTTGTTTGCAGGTAGCTCAGAGAGTTGCTGAGGAGAGAGGGGCCATCATCGGCCATGAAGTAGGATACTCCATCCGCTTTGAAGATTGCACAGACCCTAATGCAACCAAGATTAAGGTAGGTTTGATCAAATGGAGTCATTCACCCCCCCCCCCCATGCAAACATGCATTATGTGCAAAGTTTTCCTTTCAGTCAAAGTCAATTAAGTGACTATTCAACATTTAAGAGCTCCCAGTCTACATAAAGCAGGATTGACTGGCTGTGACTGTTTAAAATGTAACTTGATACAGCTATGCTTTACCAGCTATGCTTAAACCAGCTGTGCCTACCACTTGCCCGCTTTTGTCTGTTGACTGAATTTGACTAGTCAGAGTACTTGCTTGAATTATGATTTGACTGTTGGTGACGGGCCTGTGTAAAAGGCATGGCAGGATATAGGATTGATTTTTTTTTGACTGTGAATGTTTTGACACCAGGAGGGTTAATGCTTTGAATACAGAAACAACTCTAACTCCCTATCGTCTTTTAGTAGGAACTGGACCAAGTCCATCAAAATCCATCAATCACTGTGCGTCCAATACAAAACTGCACATGACATAATGGAATCCACCGCTGATGCACTGGTTGACATTCATGGACTTGCTAAACATGGCTTTTATCACAATAGCAGTACAGGAAGCTAGGCAAAATCAATCGGATACCCCTAGCACTGCTTCAGGCCATTAGGCCCAAGTCCATCATACTCCATCGATATTGAGGAACGCCAGGCCTTCTTGACCAAGTCCCCCAAAATCCACCAAAATGGGGGGGGGGGGGGTGGATTTTGATGTAGTTTGCAATATTGAGTGATGTAATGTCATCATGCAGTGAACTTGAAATTTGTTTCCATTATATCACTAATTAGCGTTGGTTGGGGGGGGGGGGGAGGGGAGGAGTTGCTCCCATCCCCCCCCCCCCTGATCTGTCCTTTTGTTTGCAAATATAGCCCTCACTGGTATATTATTTGCGTGTTTTTCAGTTCATGACGGATGGATATTTGGTGAGAGAAATGATGAACGACCCATTGCTGACCAAGTATAGGCAAGAATGTGTTTTCTTATATTCGCATCAGTGTTGTTTACTCCTAATCGTACTCCTGGCAAATTCCAACTCTTTTATCACAGAAAACTTTTTAACATTGGAACTTAACACGCATTTTTTGGAGAAGTACCAGTACGTATGAGAAGAAATCCATTTTGTACCATTTGATAGGCTTTAGAATGTTAAATGCCTAGTTTGACTGCAAGAAAATCCTTGTGAGGATGTGTACCCATTACAATGTGCTCACACTCATGGAAAAGTCATTGTACTCGTGGAAATGTACTCGTACTCATTAAAATGTACTCACACTCATTAAAATGTACTCGTACTCATTAAAATGTACTCACACTCATTAAAATGTACTCGCACTCATTAAAATGTACTCGCACTCATTAAAATGTACTCGTACTCATTAAAATGTACCCGTACTCATTAAAATGTACTCGTACTCATTAAAATGTACTCCTACTCAATTAAAATGTACTCACACTCATTAAAATGTACTCGCACTCATTAAAATGTACTCGCACTCATTAAAATGTACTCCTACTTATTAAAATGTACTCGTACTCATTCAAATGTACCCGTACTCATTAAAATGTACTCGTACTCATTAAAATGTACTCCTACTCATTAAAATGTACTCACACTCATTAAAATGTACTCGCACTCATTAAAATGTACTCGCACTCATTAAAATGTACTCGCACTCATTAAAATGTACTCGCACTCATTAAAAGGTACTCGTACTCATTACAATGTACTAGCACTCATTAAAATGTACTCGCACTCATTAAAATGTACTCGCACTCATTAAAATGTACTCGCACTCATTAAAATGTACTCGCACTCATTAAAATGTACTCGCACTCATTAAAATGTACTCGCACTCATTAAAATGTACTCGCACTCATTAAAATGTACTCGCACTCATTAAAATGTACTCACACTCATTAAAATGTACTCGCACTCATTAAAATGTACTCATACTCCATAAAATGTACTCATACTCCATAAAATGTACTCGTTCTGAGGTTTGTACTCATGGAAAAGAATAACCTTGTTCTAATACTGGTACTCATGGGAAAGTACTGGACTACAGCTATGATTCACACTGATCTTGTGAAATTCTGGTCACGTGAAATTCTGGTCTTGTGAAAATATTCTCCTCATAAGTCTGTTACCTGTTCCCACTCTCGCTTTGTTGCGTTCTGCAGCATCATCGTGCTGGACGAAGCCCATGAGAGAACCCTGCACACGGACATCGCCGTGGGATTGCTCAAGAAGATTCAGCGCAAGAGGCCCGAAATGAGAATTGTCATTGCGTCGGCGACGCTGGACGCCGAGGCCTTCCGAGATTTCTTCAATCAGAACGAAAGTGACAATGCAAGGTAAATAATACACACCTCCCCTGTGCGTATAGTTTCTGGCTTCGTGTATAAAACATTTAAAGATTCATTCCGCATGCTGTTTTGGGGTTTCACTTACAAACAAAAAATAGATTTGTTTTTTCTGTTGTTATTTTGCCTAGAAATATTAAAGTAAATCACTTTTTGACTGAGACATCTGATAAAAAAATCCAAGATTTAGTTATCTGATTGTTTCCTCACTCATTGTTTAATACTCCTTGATAATTCCATAAGTCAACACAGTACTGGGGCGGTTTTGGGCAGTACAGGGAGTAACATGCAGGGCACTTGGGGTGATACTAGAACTAGTAGTCTGTTTTGTTTGTTCCCTGTTTTTCAGTATGTATGTGCAGCTATATGAAACAACCCCCCTCATTTCAATTTGTTTCAATAATTGTTTTTCCAGCCTAGATACTGCAGCGATTCTCACGGTGGAAGGAAGAACGTTTCCTGTTGATATCTTCTACAGCATAAGGTCAGTTAGACTTAAAAAACTAAACAAAAGAAAAATAATAACCAACCTTCTTTACATGTTAAAGGGAGGAGTGAGTCTTTGTGGTTAGGATTTGTGACTCATGATCAGAGGGTCAGGGGTTTGAATCCAGCTGCTGGCCATATGTTGTGTCCTTGGGCAAGCCAATTCACCCCCACTTGCCTTTCTCCACCCAGGAGTAAAAATGGGTACCTGCATTAGCCGGGGAGTAACCCGCAATGGACTAGCATCCCATCCGGGGGAACAGAAATATTCTCGGTCGTTTTGTGTTTCTGAAACCGGAGATAAACGCCTGCTTGATGGGCCATATTGGCTTGTGACAGACTTTACTTTTTTTTTTACTTTACATGTTGTCACATTATTCTAAGACTGATCGTTATACATAATCATATCAATCATTTTTTAGCAAATCTTGCCCCCTACGTAGAGTGCTCTTTAATGTGCATACATCTTTAGATGCTTTCTGGGGGGGGGGGGATTCCTTTAACATTCGCATTTTAATATCAAGTTTGCAGTCGAGGCCATAACAAGTCCTCATACGTGTAAGTCCATCACGTTTGAGTTTCCTCTTGAGCCAAGTCACAAGTTATTCAAATTATTTGTGACAAAAGCATTTCTTTGTTATTCTTCAGCCCCTGTATCATGTGACTGGACTTGTGAAAGGACTTGTGATTTAAGTTTTTTTCCGGAAACTTGTGATGGACTTGTGGTACACTTGTGATGATCTTGTGATAGTCTTGTGATGGACTTGTGATGGTCTTGTGGTACACTTGTGATGATCTTGTGATAGTCTTGTGATGGACTTGTGATTGTCTTGTGACTTTGACGTGACTTTAACACTGGCAGTTATTTGCTCCACGAGTGCTTGACGTTTTCGTTGCGTCAGTGCAACAAGGTCGTAACTCTATTGTGCAACAAAGACGTATCTCGTGCGAATACGCTCCGTGCAACAATGTTGTATCTCGACGTCCATTGACTTTGCGTGTATATCCGGATTATGTTAAGTTATTTTAAGTACAACCTTTTGACATTCTGAAACTCACGTTTCACGTACGGTCCATTTTAGGAGATACGACCTTGTTGCACAGACACGATGATTGGTCTTGTTTACTAATTTCATCTCCTATATTATCTGCATTTTTCCCCCTTCAGCCCAGTACCTGACTATCTCAAGGCCACAGTAGAGACCATTATGAAGCTGCATCAGTCGGAGCCTGCCGGAGACATCCTTGCATTTGTGACTGGACAGGAAGAGGTTGAGGGAGTCATGGAAATGCTCATGTAAGTGCTTTTAACAGGAGTACGGCTTTGCGCAGTGGCTCTTTCCTCGCCTTCCATCTCTGTGGCCCGGGTTCAATTCCTGCCCTGGTCCACATGTGAATGGATAATAGGGTGACAAATCAATTATAATTGTAATTCTGCAACATCTGACCCATCCGATAGTTTTGCTCACAAGTTTCATTTATACAGATTTGCCCATTTCTCAACAAAGAAAAACTACCCTCATAGTTAGTCCCTTTTTTCGCAATGAAATTTCAGAAATGTTACTTTTAAAAAAATTATTTTCACTTTCAAAGGGCATCAAGGTCCATTATAACCAGGGCAAATCCTTCAAATGTTTTGTGGAGTTTTAAGGACCTATACGAAGAATGCAGCATACTTAACTTTAAAGTGTATTTTCCTTGTTCAAAATCATTCACCAATTGTGTACTTAGACCTAAAGCCCCAGTCACACATTCACGGTTGGGGCTACAAATATCCACGGTTTGCCAAGAATCAGTTGATCACGATGAACCGTCGGGATTCGTTGAGAAATGCTCTTACCGAAGACTGCACTACGGTTTCAGGATGGAAAGCCACGACTGTTGAACGGTTTCTCTACGAATACACCACGGTTTGTCAAGAATATAGATGGATTGTTGAAGAATATCAATGGTATAACTAATAATAATGACGTACTGCCACGGTTGTCTGCGATTGGGTCACGGATGACCAAGGTTCTCCTGCAAATAAAGAATGGATATTCAAAGTACAACCTTAGCAGAACCTGGGCATATCTGTAGGATATTTGTAGCGAATCCGTAGAGATTTCTACCATGACTGAGCTACGAATACCCAAGAATATGCACGAATGATAACACTACGAACAAAAACAGTTGTCCTATGAATGTCCCAGGGTTGCTCTACGGATTAATTTTCATGATGGTTCACCACGGAAGGTATGAAAAGTTTCAAACTTCCATAGCCCCTCCACGAATACCCAAGGAAGATGATGGATAACCACGGAGGTACTAAGGATGAATACGGTACTCCCACGGTTTATCACAAATTTTAAACCGTGGATATCCGTAACTCCAAACCGTGAATGTGTGACTGGGGCTTCACCGACATCTGAAATTACCAAATGAAAAGATTGTACATGTAATTCCTTTTTTTGGAAAAAAGTTGTACCTTTCCATGATGTAAAGCAAGGGCTGATCCAGCAATGGGTCGGGGGAGGGGTGTTAACTGCCAAAAGGGTTAGCAGGCACACATCACTTTTTCTGCATGGTTTTCCTATTTTTTGCAGCCAAAGTGGGTTAGACCCCCTGCCCACCCCCATAGATCTGCAACATTGACAGACATACAAACCCAAGCTTTGTATTATAAAAAAAAAATATGAATTTTCTTATAAATATTTCCAGAAAACAAATTAAAAGCTTACCCCCGGACCACATGAAGATGTCGGCCATGCCCATGTACGCCAACTTGCCCGGCAGGGAACAGATGAGAGTGTTTGAACGGATCGGCCGCAATACCAGAAAGGTTGTCATAGCAACCAATATCGCGGAGACATCGATTACAATCAACGGCATCGGTTACGGTAGGTGACTACAAGAGATTCACGCTTTGTTTGTAGTTGTGCAACAGAAGCTCTGAATATTTGCAGCCATTTGGGAGAAGTTTTGTTTTCGTTCAAAAATGATACAATATGGATTTTTACATTTTACTGGATTTCTTTGTGTGAATTAAGGCTTCCCCACGCTATATTTTACCTTTGCCTGACTATAGTTGGACCAGTGAACTGTAGTTAACATCGGAGTGACGATAAGCCTTGGTTTTTGTGTTGCCTAAATGAAGTTTTGGGAGATACTTACCAGCCTTAAATTCTGCATGACCGTATCCCCTGTATGACTGTAATTCATACCGAAGCCTATTTTTTACGTTCAAATCAAATCGAAGTACTCCAAAACTTTGGCCACACATTAACCCTAACTCCCCAGCATAGTTTACCAGGAACCCACTCATCCAGACAAATTCCAACACCCACATGGGAAATTGTACACACACACTGTCGGACTTAGTTTCTGGAGGTATGCCAAACCCAGTGTAAAAGACCATCAGTTTAGGGGTACTGTACCTATCCCAACGGATTTAAACAAAACCTGCTGTTGGACTTTGATGGGTTGAGTTCGGTTAGGGTTAGTGTTATAACAGTTGATCGTGCTGAAGCATGCTGAGAAAGCAAAGTCTTTCAATTCAGGTCCTTTAAATGACCTCAAGCCACACTCGAAGCCAAATCCTTGGTTTTGCAAACTCCCAAGGAATCATATGAGAGGAGAAAGAACATGTCCGTATTTGAGGACGAATGATGAGAGAGCTAAGTTTCCATCTTGTGTGGCCTTCAGCCTATGTCTGCCAATTAAATACAACCAGTCAACAATTCAGATAAACTCAAATGCACGGATCGTTCCATAAATTTAGGGTCCAATTTTGTCCGTGTTCCTGTTACAGCTGATATATAAGATTTCTTTTTTTAAATTCTGAACACTTTCTTTAACGCCTTCTATCTCCAAGAGTGATTATGCATAGCAAAGGACCTGCCAAACAAATTAAAAACAAGTTTGAAGTCAATTTTAATGATACCCACATGGCAAATTTCACAGGCGGGCAACTCCATTGTTATGTAATGTCAATAACAGAGCTTGTAAGAGCTCAGTGAATAAACTGGAAACTTTTTTTTTTCAAATCTTCTACATCCATTAACCAGTAACGGTCAAGGAGATTACGGACTAGGAGTTTTGGGTCATTTCTCTGAATCATTAATTAGATATCAAGGGTAAATTGGCTCTGTTACGGACATTACACTGCCTTTCATAAGTGGAATTGCCCAGGTCAGGTGTAACAGGGATACATAAAATGTCACACTTTTCGACCCCAAATTTATGGATTGACCCATATACATATTCCTGTTTATTTGCTGCGTTAACCACTCAATTTGCGGTACAATTAAGGCGCATCCGTTGTGACATGAAAATTAGGTCTATAAACAGGGCGTAACAAAAGTAGAAGGCAAAGAAAGCCATGCCAGTCTCACAGTAACAATCTTTTTTCTTCATCCTTGCAATTCAGTGATCGACAGTGGCTTTGTCAAGCTGCGGGCCTATAACTCCAAGACGGGTCTGTCCGGGCTAGTCGTCGTGCCCGTCTCTCAAGCCTCTGCCCAGCAGAGGGCGGGACGAGCCGGCCGCATCAGGTCCGGCAAGGCTTACAGGCTGTATACGGAGGAGGACTATCAGAATCTTAAGACGACTACCGTGCCAGAGATGCAGAGGTATGATGGAATGAGCTGTATGTGGTAATGGCCTTTGTGCACGAACAGTAGTTGTTGCTTTTTTTACCATTTTGAAAGCTCTGGCAGGAGGGATACACAGTTTGCCCGTATTGGTTCTCATTGTTTATTTTATTTTGTGTCCCAACAATATGAGTCACAAGTCGCCAGAGTTACCTTTGTTTCATAAATACCTCAGACAGTTGACCCACTTCTATTGGTCGAGAGCCCGTCACGTGGCTGGTTGATAAAGACCGGCTGGCTGGTCTAAAACGCTTTTCCAGTGTCACATGAAATTTGGACTCCTATATGAAATTCGGTGCCTTTTACCCTTTTATTGGTTGAACGTTCACAATCCTCACGTAGGCATGCGTAATACTACTGGTGAGTCGGTATTTCATGGTCCTCAATTCACACTACACTGGTACAGCTGCATTCTGTGCCACATCAAGCAGTAATGATTCGTTTACAGTGTTCTCGCGAGAGGGACATACCGGTACCATAATGTAGCTTGAGGGGTGTTCCGAAAAACATGAGGTAAATTTGTTGGAAATTTATCATTTTTGACTTGTTTTGACTTTTGGACCAAATGTTTAGATTTTTGACCGAAAAGGTATTTATGAACGGGAATGAATATGTGCTTGGCCAGTATTAAAAACTGTGTTTAAGACTGGTTGGAGTCTGGATGCTGATAATTACCGGCTCGGGTAATTATCAGCATCCAGACTCCAACCGGTCTTAAACATAGTGCTTAAAACAGGCCAAGCACACAATTATTCTCTTAGTAATAGGCCTTTTAACGGAATCCTACACAGTGCAAATCCATACCTCTTTTCACCAACTTAACATCTGTATAGCGGAATCCGGTGACCAGAATTAGAAGCTGTTATTGCGAAGGTGTTACGCTTGCGTGCATAAAGACGAGGTGCGCACGCATTTTGGTAACCCTGTTGGTCGAAGGAGTCCGGAGTACATGTGTACTACCTGAGCGCGATTCACCCGCGAGCCTGATGCCATCGCAGAAACTGGCTGTTGCCGAATTACTCTGCACACATGTATGAAGATGTCAAACTGAATGCTTTCTCAACATGAAGAGCATACTTGTGTGCTTTGTACTGCATGTATTACTAATAAGCAAAAAGTTGGAATGTCTCCCACTTTGGTGGATCTAGTCAAGTTTACACTTCAGGAAAAGTACAGCAGATAATTAAATAATGGGGATGGTGGTCACCGAATGTGCTTAATACGTCCCTTGTTTTTTACAGCAATGCTTTGTGAAATTCCACCCAGTCCACCGTTTATATAGTCTGAGGAGCAGACATTCATGTGTACAGAGCCACACGAAGGAACGTCTGATATATCCTAGCATGCAAATTTGAATTTGGCCAATCGGAGTCAACTTTAGAAACTCCGATCTGAAATGTGGATTCAGCTGTTGATTGGTCAATTTAGCTGCCATGTTTTTGAAAAAAAACATTGGGTTACGGAACACTTGATAGAAGGCGCCCACTGAATGGTCAGAATCTGGAGGTCAAGACGCAGTCTTGTTTTGCATAATTAATCCCCGAATCTGCGCGAATATCATAGACGCTGGTATGCAAGCGGCTATTCCATAGACAGCCATTTATACAGCATCTACCGAAACAATTATTGACCTTTAGATTTGTTTTAGCGCTGTCTTAAAAGAAGAAGAAAAAAACCATGAAGCTGTTGTTAAAACTGTAACTCCTGTTTTCAGAACTGACCTGAGCACCGTGATCCTCCAGCTCAAGTGTCTCGGCGTGGACAACGTCCTACGCTTCAATTTCCTGTCTCCGCCTTCCTCCCGTGCCATGCGCAGGGGTCTGGAGCTGCTCTATGCCCTGGGAGGCATCGACGATCATGCCAAGTTGGCACAGCCGCTGGGCGTCCGCATGGCTGAGTTTCCCCTGGAGCCAATGTTTGCTAAGATGTTGCTTGTCTCAGGTACCTTATTGACCAAACTAGCACCTGTACTACATTCATTAACATTGTATTTAATCCCTGATGGATCCTTTAACGTACAGTGCTCTGGGCTGTTTTGGGCGGTACACAAAGTAGCAGGCAGGGCAGTATGGGTTGAGGATTTAATTTCTTTTCAAGCCTGCAGAATGGCTCAGGTTTCAAGTACAGTGTACATTATTGTAAACATTTGGTAGAACCACATGGAGTGATTCACTGTACAAGTGAATTGTGGTTCGAACAGGAATTGGACATGTAAATTTGACGGGTTTTTTTGTGAGCACGCACTGGGCTAGACGTGCTGGGCTGGACACCATGTGACCTATGGGGGCGCTCTTCAATGCCGCATTACTGGACAACATCTGACACTAGGTGGTGCTATTCATGGCTGGTTATTTGCCTGAAAACTACACCATATAAGGGAATCCTGGACCTGGTGAATTTATGGTTCGTTTGCCGACTGAAGCTCCAAATGTCGACTGAAAATTATTGGGGATGTCACACCTACCCCTACACTCTCTATTGGCCACGCCCCTCAGTTTGCAAATAGAATACACTGACTTGGCCCATCTGTTCCTGGACAGGAGGACATAATGGCCGCCAAGCTCCTCTAACTTCTTGATTGGTCTATCTTCTTCTTATTCCATTGTAGGCGAGTTTGGTTGCTCTGAGGAGATTCTGAGTATAGCCGCTCTGCTGCAGCTACAGAACATCTTCCAGACGCCTTCCAACCAAAAGGGCAAAGCGGTAAGTGTTGAGTAATGAGATATCTGAACAATGAAGCTTGCTTAAAGATTTCTTAAAGAAGCCTTACTTTCAAACTATGAAACAATAGTTTGTTTGAGAAGATTAACTGGCTTTGAAAAATTAATTGGTGATGGCCTGCAGTGGCCACTTCCAAAGAGACATGCTTAATAATGTTGCATTATTGCATCATATTGTTTTGTCTGTATGTAGGAGCAAGCCAAGAGGAGGTTTTCCGTTGCGGAGGGAGACCCCATCACTCTGTTGAATGTCTATGAAGCTTTCATCAAGGTACCAAGACAGGGGTGTGATTTTTCCGAATTTTTCCGGATTTCCAGATTTTAATCTAACGTCTGCGGATTTTTTTTGCGGATTCCGGATTTTTAACGTTTTCTGTTTCCGTAATAATATCGCCCAAAAACTTCTGGCGAAATATAGGCTCTAATTTACGATAATGGATGGACTGGTGACAAGTCTAATGCAGTGCGGTCAAGAACCTATTAGACATTAATGCAGTATGCGCAGTGGAGTACTTGAGGACCAGACTAAAAATAATTTTCAATGGGTTTGCAGCACCTCGTGTTTGTATATCGCGTGTGGATGTGTGTGTGTATTGTGCATGTACTGTGCAGTGACGATCGTGTGCTAGCAATTCGCAAACACATTATTGCCGCGATTTTGTCAAGGAATTCAAGAGTATGGCTGGAAGAACTGGTAATAAAGTGTCACTGTGGATGGAAATCAGTTTCAGCTGCAGTAGTGCTTTGAAAAATAGCCACCACCAACACAAAATTTCAAAAATGTTTTGGAAGCCTGGGAGTGGACTGGAGTTTAAATTAAAGTAAGATTAAACTTTTTCAGCACCGTTCATATTGTTTTGTGTGAATCGTTTCTCTCTGCAACATGCAAAAGTATAGCCCCATAAATGTGGCCTATTTACTGGACTGCCTCCGTAAACATAGGCCACACATCCACATGTACAAAAAACGTGTCGACTTTGCCAAATTTTGATTTTCACATTTAGGCTTACTTTGTAGATTTTTTATGCTTTAGAAGCATTCTCACCCTCTATATAGGCTAATCAGAAAGTGCTGCCTTTTTCAGATGTTTAATTTTTGTGAAATTTCATGTTGAAATTTTGATACGCAAACGTGTGCAAATGTATCTGGAAATTTCACGAAAAAATGGACATCTGAAAAAGGCAGCACTTTCTGATTAGCCTATATAGAGGGTGAGAATGCTTCTAAATAAAAAAAAACGTAAAAAGTAAGCCTAAATGTGAAAATCAAAATTTGGCAAAGTCGACACGTTTTTTGTACATGTGGATGTGTCGCCTATGTTTACGGAGGCAGTCCAGTAAATAGGCCACATTTATGGGGCTAGCAAAAGTAATAACATCACACACAGAAAAAGCCTTTATGAATCAATCACATGGATAATATTATTTAATGACCAGACGTTTTTTCTTAATTTTTCCCCCATTTGTTTTCTTTACTGAAGCGACAAAATTTGCTAACATTACAGAAATTACAGTACATAAAATGTACATGCCCTAGGCCTATATATGGGGGTATACGTGCATGCATATGTATACATGTACATCTATACAAGTACATGTACAATAATACATGTACATGTACATGTGCATGTATATTACATGTCAACCGAAGTTCGTGGATTTTTCATTTTTGTCCAATCACACCCCAGACCAAGAATCTGCTTCTGTAGGGCTGTCCCGATTATATCGAAGATTCAATTATCAACTGAATATTCGAATAGCCTTTTGTCACTTTGAATGTTAGAAAAAAAATATGCACGTACACACACGACTGTGATATTATTTTAAACATAAAGTTGCAGCGCTTTATTGTCAAACGCCACATTTTTTGTCGACGGTATCTTTTTTGTTGACGACGGGTCATTGTGCCTTTTCTTTTAGCAGGTTAAAGCCCTTGACACAGGCATGCAACTTTTCCTCAGATCCGCTGATTTCCTCGTTCTTTGCTTCTCATGAATGCCATTACAAATTGAAAAATACTGTACAAAGTCTGGTGAGGTTTGGAGTTTCCTCATTTTTCTAGATTCCCAGTTGCATGCCTGTTGACAGTTATGAAATACTTACTACAAAACACTTCAAGCTGGAGTTGGGCTGTTGTTATCCAAACATTACACCTGCCAATCTGTCTGTCAGGTTTAGAGTAATCAATTAGCTAAATGGTATTCATCTGTGGCCCATGATAACAACCGCCGCACGCGCGTTTTAAACCGGTACGCTTTACGTGTAACTTTTGAACGACGCGGCACGCAGTTGCAGCTGGTGTGTCACATGTAAAACTTGATCAGTGAGTTTCAAATATTCAAATATTTGGTCCATTGCAGCTTCGAATAATTGAATACTACATTATTTGAAAATGGATGGCCTATCTGTTTCGTTTCTGTCTTTCAGCTTGTGATTTTATTTTTTACAAGTTCTTGGCCAGCGTTGAGTATACACTGCTTATGATATTGCATTGTTGAAAGCTAAAATCTGTTCTAAAATTGACATCTTCCAACAAAAACTTTAATATTTTTTACTTCTTCATTCTGGGAGAATTTGTTTTTCCATTTTGACTACATGTACATATTCATTAATCTTCGTAATCATTCAACTATCGGTTTAGGATTATATTGACTCATGCCAAAGCTGTTGAGTGTTTTTCTTCTTTCTGTCTTTTGTTTTTAGTTTGGCAAGAATTCAAAATGGTGCCATGAGAACTATCTGAACTATAAAGGTGAGCAAACAAGAGATTGTCTTTTCATTTTGGACAACAGGAAATATATAGAGGGAAAACTTGTTCATTTTCGGCAAAAGATAAATTGACAATTTGAATGATTATTTAGCTGTATGCTCTCCGAGTGATCCCTGTTTGCTATTTTCCGCGTTTGTGGCATTGCTAATGTTGCATCGTGACTTTTGGGTGCGATCCCCTGGCTACATGGGATGTAGTGGTTTATGGCTTACTGATTAGCGCACCTTGAACAAAGACATTGACAAAATGGGGAACCGCCAACATAGGGCTGGATAGCTCAGTTGGTAGAGCACTGGAACGGCAATCCGAAGGTCGCAGGTTCAAACCCCACTCCAGTCAATTTCTGTGCTCAACTTTCAAATTAAAATAATGTATCAGGACAGAGTTAACTGTATTCTTTTTTCATAAAGCATATTGGTCCTAAATCAATTTGGAACACGTGCATAATGTTAACACCAATTCAAGCAACAAGCATAATACCACATGTATAACATTCGCATAAAATTATCTCAAACTCCTCTGGACAGTACTGTGTGATTGTATGGGTTTTGACTGAGCTTTGACTGATTTATCAAGATTTTATAGTCTGATAGGCAAGGAGAATCCTTTTCCAGAGTGTCAGTTAATAGAGTTAAGACCAAAAACCAAAAAAACTCCCCATTTGCAAGAATTTTTTTTCAGCAAGCACTTGTCATATCTGCCAGGTCTCTGTCGAGCGCTCACCATCCGGGGCCAGCTCAGGAAATTACTCAAGAAATTCAAGGTGAAGATGGTGTCAAGCGAGGGCGATGTTGATATCATCTGTCGCTGTATCACGGCGGGTTTCTTCGCCAATGCGGCCAGGTTACATTCCACCGGAGAGTACCTTACAATTCATGACGACCATCCTATCCATATACATCCTACCTCAGTTCTGTACACAGAAAAACCTCCACAGTGGTATGTGCCCATCTCCGATGTTGTCTTTTCCTTAAAGGATTTTCATTGATTTTGTTCCAAGTTTTGGAGATATCTTTTACCCTTTCGCCTTTTTTTCCATAGATTTTTATTTAAGAGCAGATGTAATGTAAGTTTTTTGAATGGAATCTTTAATATGCGTCTGATTGTCCCATTAAACTTTTGTTTTTAATTTGCATTATTTTTGCCATTTTCAAGGGTTTTTATGGAAATGCGAATTTCCACATTCGTGAGCAAAAGTGTGATATCATTTGAGGCAGAAAGCTTAGTGTTGCAGCTTTTTCAGTACAAGCTGCCAGAATTTTGCATATTTTGCTGTCTTTTCTGTTGGCATTCGTTGTTTCAGTACATGGCAGTAGGCCAGTGAGCAAAGTTTGCCCACAATTGTTTTTAAATGAGCAAAGTTTTTGGGTTCACAATTTGAACAGAAAACCCCTAAACTGAACTGTGTCTTCCTGAAATGACATCACAGCAACAGCGCCCTCATTTGTCAGGAAAACTTTTGAACATTTTTAATGTTTAAAGAAGTGCACTTTTCAATAAAATTAACCAAAAAAGGGATGTGAAACAGTTTTCATACATTTAAGAGGAGTAGAAAGTTGCACAAAATATGTAATATGTAAAATAGTGTAATATAAGTAAAACTCATGTCAGGTCCTTTTAAAATCTCCCAAGGCTCTGTCTAAAATCATATTGAAAATTGGAGGATTAAGAACTGTTACGGTTAAACCTAACCCTGCCAAATGTAACACAGTGCAGCAGGTGTTCTGGTTCTGGTTGAGTCGGTAAAATTCGCTCAAGAATATCGCACCAACTGTGTCAAAGTACGTGGGACATTGCTGCATTGAGCCATCATCACCGGTGCATAAATGGCCAATTCTGAGACAACGGGAGCTAGTCCCATTGAACAATGCCATGGTTGTATCCTGCTGCAATGGGTGACCACAGACTCTGAGGCAGTCTGGCCTTGGGATGTTTGACCCCAGAGATCTTGCTACACTGGGCAGGCTTCTCAGTTTGACAAATGTTGAATGTTATTGTGTTGGACTCGGTTCAGGGTTAATATTCATCAATGCAGCCTGTGGTTATTGTTTTTGTTTTCCATTTTATCCAGGGTGGTGTTCCGTGAGGTTCTTCAAACCAACAAGGACTACATGAGGGACGTGACAGTTGTAGACCCTACCTGGCTGTATGAGCTGGCTCCTCACTACTATCAATATGGAACGGTCAGTACAGATGAAGCATGCTCAAAGCTCCGATACGGAATGACGTCATGCTTTGTTTACATGTGTGCGTTCCTATAGGAGCCAGATGTCTGAGAAAGCACACATTTTAATAAATAATGAAAGGTTTGCGGAAACACCATGTGCGAATAATTTCTCAACTAAGAGAATGGTTCTGAAAAGAACCATACCTCTGGTTCTTTTCAGAACCATTCTCTTAGTTGAGAAATTATTCGCACATGGTGTTTCCGCAAACCTTTCATTATTTAGTATCTCCACCATGCAAAGCCTCAAATCTTACTCACATTTTAATAAACAAAATCATGATGTCATTACATCTTTGGGCTTTTCGCAGTTGATAAAAAAATTCAGGGTTGAGAACTGATGTGGTCCCGGGCCAAACACCATGAATGAATTCGTTGTTGAAAGCTTCCACACAGGCCCAACCCCTGCCATCATTCAACCCCTACTCTGGGAGCTGGGGCGATTTCACGAGACTCATCTTATCTTGCGACTCATCTTAGGACTTAAGACGAGTTGCTTTAAGATCGATTTAGCTATGATGCATCCTAAGACAGATTTCACTAAACTCATCTTAAGCAAGACGTATCAAAACTACCAATTCGATGGCTGTTTCATGTTTGTTTTTACCGGTTGACGAAACAATCGTTGACAAGAAACGCGCAAAACCTATTTCCCTCGTGCGTGCATTGAACACGAACTTTAGCCAGAAAAATTACTCTACTCAATAAATTTCACAGGCGAGGTACATCTACGCAAGATATATCATTCTTGCACCCTGTTTCAACACTCTTGTTTTAAAAAGTCGATTAGTAGTTGGTGTATAATACAATTTTGTAATAAGTTATCATTTATTAAAAATACCCACGCATCAGAAATCTTGTAAAATCTGTTTCTACAGCGGTTTTTTTCCTCCAAACTATAACTCTAGGCCGACACTCGTCTTAAACGGCAATGATTTCAGGAGGACATACAAATTAACGCACGCGTTAATGAGGTAAGAGGACCCTCAGACGGATCTTAAGTTAAGACGAGTTCAGCCGTGTTGATAAGGAAGTTAGGATGTGTTAAACGCGTCTTAAGTTTGGTGAAATCGATCCTGGGACGAGTCCCGAGTTAAGACGAGTAACCCTTCCTAAGACGCATCTTAGAGTTTCGTGAAATCAGCGCCAGGTTTGATATATTTTCACCCAGGTTTTAATGTTTAGCCTGTTTTGACAAAGCATGTGAGATGAAAAGAAGCAGGGTTGAAGTTTGTTTGGTATTTGTAAAGCAAGCAAATCAATCAAAAGTCGCGTGCAAATCAGATGACCTAAAAAAAGTTGTGTGTTATAGAATGCTTACGTGCTTCATAATCCCTTATGTGTACACATCTGGCCACTTCTAAGTGTTTCATTTATTTATTCTCCTGCTGGAGTGGGGTTTGTACGATCCTATTGTGCATTTGTGCTGGATGGAATGGGAGGTTTAACCCATTAGCACGTGTGTTAAGCCAAAAAAAATAATAATCGGTCTCTGGTCAGACCGAAGTTCCGGAATTGATGCGGCGACGCCTTTTTTTGGGGGGTGGCTTTTTTTTCAAGCTTGAATTGTACAGACAAGGTGGGTACTATTTTATTTTTTTGTGTCCTCATTATACATTGGTGTCCTCCATAATTTGCCTTGGTGCCCTTTATCATTTGCCTTGGTGCAATTTCCCCATTCCTTGGTGCTCCCTTGGTAAAAAAAATTGAGGAGGTGCGACAATAGAGGGCGCTATTGTAGCTTCCGTGTTAATTTGAAGGAAAAAAAAGGTTGACGCGAATGATTAAAATCGATGCGCGCGCTGACCAGAGACCGAGTATTTTTTTTTTGGCCTTACATTGTACTACATTGTATTCACTCCTTCATGAAACCATAGAGTGCTGGGGGCGGGTTTGAGGTGGTATAAAAGTAGCCTGCAGTGTGCTTAAGGGCAGTATACGGCCTAATGGGTTGCTTTGCCCAAATAAATGAAGTGCTATTTGGTTACCATTCTGGAGGCTATTGCTGTTGCTTTTTTGGCATCAGAGAAGGTATGAAAAGTTTACAATATTTCTCTAAATAAAATAATGAAAAAGTAATTAAATGGACAAAATCAATATTTGATTTTTTTTTCTTTGCTTTTCATTGTCTTGTTCAGGATATGGAGATTGCAACGAAGCGTGCCAGGACAGAAGCCACACCGAGGTGACACCACTACAAGCCTCGTGTATCTTCATATGAGAATTAGCAGCATACTCCAAGCTGACGGATCGCAAAGCCAAGATAACAGACTCAAGTTGCCATCTGGAGAGAAGTTTGTACCATATCCAAAAGAGGCCCCTGTGAACTGTGATCTTCGATTCCTCATAAACAACCAGATGAAATAGGGTTTTTTTTCTGGGGGGGGGGGGGCCTTCTTATCCTCCTTACTCGCATCTGAGAAGCTGAATTGCGAAGGAAGCGGCTTGAACGTGGTCGAGCCACAGGCATTTAGGCGCCTTGCACTGCCACCATGACCCATGTCCTACCACAGAGGACAGCAAGAGATGTGGCACGCTGTATGCAGAAGTGACTTAAACCATCAGTCTCAGGCCGTTTCCCAAACCCCATCTCCGTCTTTGTCTCCAACATCCTCCCCCCCCCCCCCCAATCTCACCTCAATGCATAGTTTGTCCATATGCCACGGCTGGAGATATCATACACCTGTATGACAACCTATGATGAGTTCTTCTTGGACATTATAGACTTTTATTTACCTCATTTGTGAAATTGTATTTAAGATTCTCGAGGGAGGAAAGTGAAGGGTCTTGCCTAGGCCAAGTTCGCGCAAGGACTATAGTTGACCAATGGTTAACTAACGTTTGCCCGAACTCTGTCTAGTCAACAGTGGTTGACTACGCTAGTCGACTATTTGGAACCAGCCTACTGGGGTTGGTTGCTTCGCTGGTAACCAATAGCCGCGCGCATTCATAACATTAGCAGAGAGCCAGGATCCAGAAGTTTTGCGATGACATTTTGACCAGCATTTGACTAGAGACGTTCGCACGTTGCTATCAGTGCGCAGGCGTAAGGTACGTCACAAATCAACCACTAGTCGACTAATGGTCCTTGCCCGAAGTTGGCCCTAGATGACTGTACCGACGCCCAGCATGAGGAAAACACGGATTGATCATTTAAACTTGTTGAATTCTTGTTTTAATAGACAAACCAGTTTCTGCTTAAACTCTGTTTAAAAATTAATGAAACATGCGTCCATGAACCCCTCAAACTTCCAAAATAATGTGATTAAACAATCTTTTGAAAATAATGTAATTGATGTAATTTTGTGATGTCCATGTGCAAAACTGCCACATTTTGATAACATCATTGCACAATGAAATCCTGAAAGATTCCATCCGATTTCAAATCCTTAACCACCCAGGAAATATGTAAAGATCTTCCGTGAACCAGTCAAAACCAATAAATACAGCGCATAACATGTTGGTTGGTAACCTGTTCTTTGCTAACCAAATATTTTCTGCACTTTTAATAAACTTTCTAAGCTCCGCTCCGTGAAATTGTGGCTAGATTGTTCAAACACAACTGTCAGAACCATGCAGCTTTATGAAAAAAAAAGCTTGTTGTTGTTTTTAAGCCTTGGAGCTGCAAATTGTACATCATTCTCCAACTACAAGAGCCCAGGCCATGTTAGTAGCACTGCTTGTTAACAGCAGAAAACTTGTCCAAACTGTAGCAGGATAACTCTTGAAGCTTACGTTCACATGGATATTTCTGCATCACAGTGATGCAGAAATATCCATGTGAACGTAAGCTTGTGTAAACTGAATAACACAGTGATTCACTGTGTTATTCAGTTTACACAAGCTTTGCCTTTTATCCCATTAGCAACTGTACTACATGTATAGTACATGTACATTGTGTTTATGCACTGAAGAATCCCCCAAACCACAGAGTGTTCAGACAAGTTTGGGGTGCTACAGGGAGTAGTAGGCAGGGCAGTTTAGGGCAGTACAGTGACTGAGGATATACTCCTTGCTGTGCTTGCTGCCGACAGTCTCTCGTGTTTGCTGTCCACGTCCAGGAAATTGGGCCCTGATAACAGCCACACTGAAATGCGTCTATTGACCGGCCTCAGGAATCCAACGGATGTTTTGCTGAGCTGCTGGTTTTTTTCTGGTTCAAAATCTCCTCAGCCATCCTCCATGAAGAATGCCACATGAGCCAAAACATCTGCCAAGAAACAAACCAAGATACTAAAATTAGAAAAATGTAGAAATGAAAGACAGATTCCATATGAATCAATCTAAGACCTGAACAAAACAGACCTTGAAACCCTACTGTCTAAACCGGGATTGTTTTATAAAGCCATAATGCTTGAAGGAAAAAGACTTGGGAGTAATAACATTTATAGCAAAATCTTGTTTTCAAAATAATTGGGGCTTGAGTAAGCTCGGAGTCAGTCACATTAATTACTCTTACTTTTCACAGCGGTCAGTTCCCCGTCATTTCTTTTCCACCTGCTAACCAAACTTGGGAACTCGTCCAAATTATCGTAAGAGATTGTGTCATACAGCCACTGCTTTTCAGCATATCTGGAAAATAGTTACTTGTCAAGGAATGAACTTAACATTTCAATTTAAATCCCAACACCTCGGGGGAAAAAAATGACACAATATAGAAAACACTGAAAAGGATACAATCTTCGATAGAGTAGATCCACATCAGCAAGCCACTGAAGCATGTCTGCTATTGACGGCCATGTTGCAGACCTCACCAACCCCTTGGCCACGCCCACCTCCCTGTAATGGATGTGGTATGCATTGAGCGAGTAGGCACTGTGCTGGGTGTGTTTTTTACACACTCCCTCCATAGTTAGCCTGCAACACAAATTATCCAAGCAACAAAGTAACACAAAGACTTCAGAATCAGTAGTTTCTATTTGAATTGCTCACATGATGTTTGTTAAATGTATGCTCTACAACCAAGAGTTTAGACTTATCTGCTTATTCAGAAATAAATCAGAAATTATTGATAATCTGACACTTTGATATTTTGGTGAAACCTGGGCCCAATTTCATAGGCTGCTTAACAGTTAGCAGTAAAGTTGTAAAGCTGAAAATCATGCTGCTGCTTAGGCGTTATTTCATGGCATGGATGTACTAATAACAGTTGCGCGCGCTTGGAGATTTCTATTGTTACGTCACTGATTTAAGCAACTTTTTCCTCTGGGGTTAAGCGTGCTTTCGCTGTGCTTACTGGTTACAGTCTCTAAATAGACGGAGGCTCTGTTAGCACATAATTGGCTGTTAAGCAGCGCTATAAGATTGGGCCCTACAGGCTAGTATGCTGGGGGATGATGATCCACCCCAGTTACTGTTCTGAGAACAGACCTCGACCTGCTCTTCAAATGTTGGTACATGTATTAGTTTTATTCACCCTAATTCCCTAGGCGTTTTTGCTAGGATGCAACCTCAATCCTTCAAAATCCTCCAACTGCCTCCATGTAAAAATAGCATGCCGTGGGGCAGCCTCAATCCTGCAAAATCCTCCAGCAATCACTGTCAGTATGTTGAGGCAGAGCCAGTGACATCCTGGAACAGTGCGGAGGATTTGAAGTATAATCTAGGCCTAATTTTATGCACAACACAAGGTTCGGCCCCAGACCTTGACACAGTGCATCCTCCCAAATCAGCCACACATTTTTGCCATAAAGCCTCAGTCCTGCAAAATCCTCTATTTTGCAAAGTGGATTTGGGACGATTAGGGTTAATAGAAGAAATATCTCCATTGGTGTTCAGCTTCACAAATCATTTGTCTCAAGAGGCGACAGTGAAAGTAAGGGGTTCCACTCCCTAACTTACAGCTGAGATTTCAACCTGGCAAGGATCACCTCCATGGACCCCAACAACTTGAATTCCAGCCTGTCCTTCAGATCAGGAAACCGCTGCAAGACGTCCGAGCAACCGTCCTTGGCAGCGCGGCGACAGCACTGCAGCTGCTCGGCGTGGTTGACCAGCGACTGCACCACCGACACGGAGCGTTCCGATGCCTCCTGCCAGACTGTCACTTGCTGGCCCACCATCTTGAAGGATCTCCTCAGCTGTTTATGAATTGTCTCTTCACCTCCAGCACTGGTTGTCTTGCGAACTGGTGACATTTTCAAATTTCATGGAGAGACTGAAGGTAGATCATGGGCTTATCTTTTGGCTGAGACTAGGCCTACTGCAGAAAATAAAATGCAAACCAAATCACACAATTTTACTAGCTCTTCAGCCAATACAAGAATAAAAACTTTACCCCAGCTCTGCTCATTGGGAATTACTAGGGAAGGGGGAAATGTAAATTGTAAATCGGGGAGATGCGCTTTTCAGCATGTTTCACGGGGCACAATTTCATTTAGTATTTACCAAGACATAAATGATCCAAGCTTTAGAGTTTCCCTTTCCCCATGTGAATATTGAATTGTTCCCGCCCCAGGGTGTTCCCCACACATGCCAGGCATGCAGTGCACTAGCTTGAGTAACTCCAGCTGACATGCTCCATATTCATTCACATGAATGAATATGGAGCATGTCAGCTAGAGTTACTCAAGCTAGCAGTGCACAGTGAAGGAGCTTTAGCCTAGGGTTTCTCAAGCTATGTTAATAGAAAGGAATTGCAAGTAATGAGCAGTCCTAACAATGTGAACACATAATACTGCATTATCATAATTAAGTCCAGACACTATTAGCACACATTTCAATAGGCCTAGTCTATAGAGTACAGGCATGACAGGTTTTCGGTAGCAACTACAATCGATGCACACACACACTTACATATTACACTGACTATGTTTCTTCCACAAGAGGGAGCCCTTCACATATTTGTGTAAAAATATATTGTTGAGAGAGGGCGCCCTACTTTATCGGATAAAACTAATTATGTCACAAGAGGGAGCCCTCCATATAATTTTTTAAACGCTTGTGACAAGCGTTTAAAAAAGAGGGAGCCCTTCATATGACGTTCAAAACTGTAACTGCTTTGTGCCCACGAGAGGGCGCCCTATTGAATTTTTCGTCAACGATTCATTTCACAAGAGGGCGCCCTGTCTAATTTTTAAAACTTGATTCACAAGAGGGCGCCCTATCATTTTTCACAAGAGGGCGCTTTTTCTTCTGTCCTGAACAGTTACGTCACGAGAGGGCGCGCTAACATATTTTTGATTTGTTGGCGGTTTTCAATCGACAAGATTTATCACAAGATTTTGCATGTTTGCATCGTTGATGTTGTTTATTTCCGTTTTAATTATTTTAATGTTATCAATATCAATAATATCATTTTTTCGACTTTTTCGTGTTGATGTACACCGAATTTATTCCTTTCTATTACGTGATTCTAAGGTAAGAGATATCGATGTGAAATATTTCGGAAGAAATGTAAAATTCAGACATGTCAGTCACTTGAACTTGTCATGGTCATATGTAGCCCCATAAATGTGGCCTATTTACTGGACTGACTCCGTAAACATAGGCCACACATCCACATGTACAAAAATTGTGTCGACGGAGCCAAATTTTGATTTTCACATTTAGGCTTAGTTTGTAGGTTTTTTTTGCTTTAGAAGCATACTCACCCTCTTTACAGGCTAATCAGAAAGTGCTGCCTTTTTCAGATGTCTAATTTTTGTGAAATTTCATGTTGAAATTTTGATACGCAAACGTGTAAAAATGAATCTGGAAATTTCACGAAAAATATACATCTGAAAAAGGCAGCACTTTCTGATTAGCCTATAAAGAGGGTGAGTATGCTTCTAAAGCAAAACAACCCTACAAACTAAGCCTAAATGTGAAAATCAAAATTTGGCTCCGTCGACACGATTTTTGTACATGTGGATGTGTGGCCTATGTTTACGGAGGCAGTCCAGTAAATAGGCCACATTTATGGGGCTAGGTCATATGATTAATTGTTTGAAGTGGCTATCGTTACGGCAGCCGTTGTTTAGCGCTCTACGATACTTTTTTGATACGCATGCAGGTATATAATTATTTGTTTTTCATGTTTTAGCAAGCAGTGCGACAGCTCAGTCGATAGAGGGTGGGATTTTGCACCGTGAGTTTGCGGGTTCGCACCTCAGTTTTGCACTCGAATTTTTTTCCTTTTCTAACCTGAGGGTGAGGCTTTGGAGGATTTTTTTTTAAAGGGAAATAGGCCTAACGTCTAAATTTCATAACGTTCAAATTCACTTTTTTCCTTCTAATTTTGTATTTTCTTCTCATGTTTTTATAAAAGTTGCAGTACTACTACTACAATGTAGTAACGATAGAAAATGGGAAATGCGTTACGGCAGCCGTAACGATAGCCACTGCGTTAATTGTTAGCCCCATAATGTGGCCAATTTACTGGACTTCCCTCCGTAAATAATGGCAACACTTCCACCATGTACAAACATGACAAAAAACATGTCGAACTTTGTCAAATTTTGCTTTTCACATTTAGGCTTAGTTTGTAGTTTCGCAGTGGCTATTGTTACGGCAGCCGTAAAGCATTTCCCATTTTCTATCGTTACGGTAGACTGCAACTTTTATAAAAACATGACAAGAAAATATAAAATTAGAAGGAAAAAAGTGAATTTGAACGTTATGAAATTCGGACTTTATTTCCCTTTTAAAAAAAATCCTCCAAAGCCTCAGGTTAGAAAAGGAAAAAAATTCGAGTGCAAAACTGAGATTCGAACCCGCAACCTCGCGGTGCAAAATCCTACCCTCTATCGACTGAGCTGTCGCACTGCTCGCTAAAACGTGTGGAAACAAATAATTATACACCTGCGTGCGTATCAAAAGAGTATCGTAGAGGGCGCTAAACAACGACTGCCGTAACGATAGCCACTTCGTTGTAGTTTATTTTTGCTGTAGAAACATACTCTCCCTCTTTATACTGATACATGTAGGCTTAATCAGAAAGTGCTGCCTTTTTCAGATGTCTATTTGTCGTGAAATTTCCAGATTCGCTTGCATACGTTTGCGTATCAAAATTTCAACACGAAATTTCACGAAAATTAGACATCTGAAAAAGGCAGCACTTTCTGATTAGCCTATAAAGAGGGTGAGTATGCTTCTACAGCCAAAATAAACTACAGACTAATGGGATGAAAGCATGGAACCAGACATGCCAGGCAAAGAGTAAAGACACGTCACGATAAGAATTACCAAGTCCAAAAACTACTCGCTGCCATAAGTGCGCGTGTTCAGTGCAATACCGTTTTAATAACGAAAAAAAATTAGCAGATGGGACCAGTTCACAGTCAAATATCCACTGCCAAATTTGACTGTAGCCATGTAGCCATGTTGTAAGGGCCTATGATTATTTATACATGTAGGCCTAGTCCTATATCGAATCGCTAAGCCTAATAAACAGCTTTATGGAAAGGATGTTGCATCCTCATGATGCCGCTTTTTTCATCATATATCATCTCAGTAGAGGTTAGTCATTGCAAAAATGTTGAAAAGACATGAATCTGGGACTGGGAAACATTTCCAATTTTGTTAGAAAATACTTTGAAAATTACACTCGACTGTCCATAGACTTAATTGTACACAACCAATGAAGTTGCATCTGGACCACCTTCTTTCTGTTATTTCATTCAGTATTTCAGTAAGCCTACTGTCACCTACATGTATGTAATGCATCATGACATTTACTTTCTAGTAAGTTTGTGCATTTAGTGGGTGAAGAAAACGTAAGATAGCATCATGCCAAAGAAGCGTCGGACTAAGGTGGTGGCATCGGCTGCCAAGACTGTGTCAGGAGATGAGAGCGGCAACTCTAGCAACGAGGAGCGACAACAGAAGATAGAGACCTACCTCAAGGATTTTGACATGAAAGGTTAGAACAACCAATCCTTTCCATCAGGCACTTATTCTTGGAAGACCTTTTTGGACACACTGTGTGAAGGGAATGTTTAGGATAAATAAAAAGATGGTTCCAAATAAAAAATAAAAGATGTTTACTTCATATCTTAGTCCTGTCGTCAGTAAAATGTACTGCATCATTGTGCATGAAGCATTAGAAATACTAGAATGTCAAGGCAACACTTTTTGCCCCAAAACCACATCTTTATTAGAGATAGTAGCTTCACATGGTGTATACATGTACATGGCCATTGCTAAGGGGGAGTTTAGGGGTGTGAACCCCCCCCCCCCCCCTTTTCATTATCCGGAAAATTGAAAAAGGAATTTAAAAAGAAATCTACCATAATGGGTTGGTTTCAAGTCTCCAAATGTCAAAAAAAAACATTTCTAGGTATTTAACATTTGGAGAAACCCAAAATGATATTGATAATAAAATGAAATAAATTATACAGATGTTTCATGACTGAATATTTCAAAAACTGATTTCACTGTTATAACGTTGGCAAAAAAGATCCCTCTTTGGTTCTTAAAAAAAAGTCTCCGGTTTCTGGTATGGAGCTTGCCCCAAAAGTGGTGCGGCGATGTATTTTTTTTTTATTTTTTTTTACCGTTTTTTTCTTCAAAGGTCGGCTGATGACTGCAAATGGTGCCTGACTAAACTTAGTGCAAATATATGGGAGACCAGAGAGGCCTCATAAAGCTTATACTCTATCGTAACCCCATCTAAAAACACGTTAAAATTGTGCAGCAGCAGGATTCCAGTCAAACCTGTGAGTTTTGAGACATCATCTTTCTTTGAAAAAAAAAACTTTTTCATTTTGCCAACGCGCATGGCTACGGCGACGCGCACGCATACCAGAAACCGGAGACTTTTGGGGGGGGGGGGGGTCTTTGGTGGTTTTGCTCATTAAATTGTTTTGTTATTTAAACTTGTTAGTTGCCAACGTCATTGCTCAAGCTCGCAGTGAGGCCAAGACGATGTGTAACGCCATCAATAGCGCATTCACCATGGAGTTATTTAAACTTCCCAAAAGCATCCGAGAGATGACCAAAGCAGACTTTATGGGTAAGTAAAGCAGGCAACTTTTTTCGAACATCGGGTTAGTTTCCTGTTCTGACTTTCTATGTGTGCCTTAAAAATTGAAAGTGGAATATCCTTATTTATCCTCCTACTGTTTAAACAGTCACAGACAGTCAAAAATACCATCCGCTTCCCCTGCCATACCTTTTACACAGGCTAGTCACAAATGGTCAGGTCATTAAGCAAGCACTGTGACAAGTCAAATTCAGTCATCAGACAAAAGCAGGAATCTGGGTGAACAGCCGTTTTATCAATCAACTACAGTCTGAGTCAAAGCATAGCTGTTTCAAGTTACATAAACAGTCACAGCCAGTCAATCCTGCTTTACGTAGGCTGGGAGCTCTTAACTGTTGAAAACAGTCACTTGATTGATGTTGACTGAAACGACAACTTGGCACAGAATGTATGTTTGCAAAGGAGGGTTTTGAACTTCTCAGTTAGGTGTATGTTGACCACAACAACCCAACTCCCTGATAATGCAATTTTGCCCTTGTTTCAATGTACAACTTTTTTTCGACTTCGTGTGGGTAACCCAGGCAATAGGCCAATCGCCATCACAACTCAACTTTTGTTTTGATGGAATCAAAGCTCTGATTTTAGCTGATTCTAACACCTTAAGAATTGATTCCAGATAGTACTCAACAATTCTAATCACATACCGTACTGTCTCCTGAATTAGTTCAGGAAAAAAGGGAGGAGTGATTCTCTAGAATATTTGAGAAAAACTGCGGCTTTGATCACTGTTCATTGTAAAGACGGTGACTACACTTTTTACAAATCTCAGTGATTCAAAACTTCATATGTAGTTAATGACTTGTATGTTGTCCAGGTTTGTCCTTTTTATGTCAGGAAATACACTCAACCAAAAAAGAAAGTCCCCCCTTCCAATACTTTTTTGTCTAACTCAAAAACTACTGAGCACCTCTCGCTCAAATAACGACTAATCAGTACAGAAATTCATTAGCAATCCAGCCATACTCTTCATTTGGCCCAAAACGGTAATAATATATACAAATTTATGCAATTTATGACAAATGATACCGAAAACAGTTGGACTTTTGTAAACGTGCATGTTGCGGTTCAAACTCACCTTGCAAGTGTACAAAAGTGCAACTTTTTTTTTCGGTACCATTTGTCATAAATTGCATCATTTTGTACACATTATCACTGTTTTCAGCCAAACAAAGAGTATGGCTCGATTGCTAAGGAATTTCTGTACTGATCAGTCGTAATTTGGGCAAGATGTGCCCAGTAGTTTTTGAGTTAGACAAAAAAGTATTAAGGGGGGACTTTCTTTTTTGGTTGAGTGTATTTCAAGTCAATGCCAAGCAGAATCATTACCCCTGGACAGAATCAGCATCAGTTCCTTATTATGTCGAGTCACTAAAGCCAGCATGTGTGGAGTCAGGTTGGCATAGTTGTACCTTCGTCTTTCACCTCTTTGACCTGGTGGTTTTTGCTTTTTCCCTCTCAACAGCTCGCGGAGGCAGCATCAACAACAACGCCTTGCAGCATATCACAGAGATAACGGACTCGCTCGCATCCTCCATCACCACCCAGACCTTGATGCCTGCATCCAAGAAACGCAAGGTGACCCCATCGTCCGTGGAATCATCAGCGTCTGAAGCGCAAAGCGGCGTAGGGGAGATTACATCTAAGACTGCAACGACTGCAAAGAAGGTAGGTCCTCCTGCAATAGTCTAAGCTGTTTGAGTATTTTACGTGCCGCAAAAATTCCCTTAAAAACCAAACAAAAATCAGAACAATCTGCTGATCTTATAACAAGCGAGACATCCACAATTCCACTACAACATTGTTGCGAACCCAACAATGTGACCAAGTCTTCAACATTATAAAGTTGGCGCAGAGCTTGGAAGAAGAAGAAGAAGAACAATTATGGGATGATTTGAGGCTGTTCTTATAAAAAAAACCTGTTATAGAATTATCAAACGTTTACAGAATTTTGTTCTATACATTCAAGGAAATGTACAAATTGGTGTGCCTCATTTCACTTCAAATAAAGTCACATTACCTGTGGGGGGGCTACCCAATGTTCCCCAATACCTATGTTCCCCAAAATACTTAGGGTTAGATGGTTACGGGTAGGATAACCCTAAGCTATCCGTAACCATCTAACCCTAAGGATTTTGGGGAACATAGGTACTGGGGAACATAGGTATGCACCCTACTTCTGTTCAGCATGACTCCAATTATTTATCATGCTCTGATGCCACAGTCTTGCCAAGTAAGGATCAATTCACAATATGACTGAATTTGTGTCGTATAACTCAGTGTTATATTATTCTGTGTTCTAGAAAGGAGCAAAGGGCAGGAAAAAGACAACCACAGCGACAACGTCTAAACGTTCAACAAGGACACAGAGTGTACTGACAGCCAATCAGAATATGAACATGCAGGACAACGCAGAGCCACAGACAGTCCGTAGGTCCACCAGAAGGTATGTCTGTCCTCCTCAGTGTATAGAACTTGTCAAATTCATTTTACAAAATTGGATTAGTAAACAAGTCGTAAACAAGTCTTGAAGGTCAAGGATGTCAGTCTTGCTAGTCAAGCAACATTACATTGATTAAAGGTACATTTTCAAAGCACAATATCTACAGAACTACAAGTGCAATTGGGTTGATATTTGGAATGTACTTAGACAGAGACTTGTTATAGGTAAAAATTGAAGTGAGTCATGATGATGTCATCAGGTGTCAAGTTACAATGTGCATTACATTACAGGTGCATTATCAAAGCCCTATATCTACAGAACTACAAGTGCGATTGGGTTGATACTTAGTATATAGACAGGGACGTGTTATAGATAAAAATTGAAGTGATGTCCTGATGACATCATCAGGTGTCAAGTTATATTACATTAAAGGTGCATATTTTGAACCCCTATATCTACAGAACTACATGTGTGATTGGGTTGAAACTTGGAATGTACATAGACAGGGATGTGTTATAGATGAAAATTGAGATGACCTCATGATGATATTGTCAGGGGTCATGTCACATCATGTGATTTTGTTATGAATTTTTCAAGTTTTTGTAGCATATTGTAACAACAGAATTACAGAACATATTACATGTAAATGAAATACAATAATGTCAGATTGCACAGGAAATCAATCCCTACATCCAGAAAAGCCTGTATTCTGTTTCTAAGTAGACATAATTCTTGTTTCGTTTTTGATTGGCAATTCTCCCAACTCCAACTGTTTTTGGTTTCCTTTTTTGTTTGCAGGAAAACCACGCGGAATCAGTTTGTGACACCTGCGACCAAGACGGGCAAATCAGGGGCACTATCATCAGGCTGGGACACACCCATGGTCACGCCCAAATTCGATCCAAGGTACATTTTGCGCCCCTCCTTCCCCAGTCCCTACTGTGTCTATCCCTCTCAATATTCAAGAGCTTTCAGATGATCTATTGAAATCATATTTACTGGTATGAATTATTCATAAGATTAAATTTGCATCAGGGCGATGTAAATTCAATGTTGGGTTTTGCCCGTCATCGTGAAGTTTTTCTCACAAACACTTGAAACAGTATACGGTACATTGTTTATAAAATATGTAGCCTTTAGTCAAGTCCCACGTGCTTACCCGGACACGTGACGCACCCCGGATGCTGACACGTAAAAAGACTATAGCACGAGCGGCGAAGGCGTGAGGGCCTTTACCATCTCTTCATATGTACGAATGGCAATTCTGCTCTGTGTGCACGATGTATATGTGAAAATTCAGTTTTTACGGCGCGTAGCTACGTGATCCGATTTTTATGTTTTTGGTATCAAAAGATGCGCAAAGCTCGAGGCTAAAAAGTCATAACAGCTCGGGTCGCGAAAATTTTTTTTTTAGAGGCTATCACGGAAAATGTTGAGGGGGGGCGGATTCCGCCCCCCCCCCCCCCCCCCCCCCTTTAGGGTTAAAGGGCTCATGACATAAATTTTACTTGGGAACATATTTTGTGTAACTTTCTACTCCTCTTAAATGTATGAAAACTGTTTGACATCCACTTTTTGGTTAATGTTTATTGAAAAGTGCACTTTAAACATTTAAAAATTGTCCATGCTCTTCCTGATTAATCATGGGGGTGCTGTTGCTGTGATGTCATTTCAGGAAAACACTGTTCAGTTTAGGGGTTTTCTGTTCAAATTGTGCACCCCAAGTTTGCTCATTGAAAACATTTGTGAGAAACCTTTGCCCATTGGCCTAATGTCATGTACACACACACATTAACGAATCACCAAAGAAAAGAACATTTACGACGGCAAAATGTCCCAAATTCTGGCAAATTTTGGTGCTGAAATAGGTGTAGCATTGAGTTTTCTGCCTGAAATGACGCCACACTTTTGCTCGTGAATATGGAGATTTGTAAAAACAACAAAGGCACCAAAATGCCCTAAAAATGGCAAAATGAAAATTGAAAATAAGGTTAAATGGGATACAAAGGGTCATTTACAAGGAGTGCATTTAAAAAAATTACATTACATGGGCCATTTAAATCCAAGTTTCAAACTGTGCACTCTCTCAGAAACGATACCTAGCTCACAAAGTTTCTTTTTGTCACACTGTCACTGCAAATTTCCTCACAAAATCCTTACAAGTCAATCACAAGTCACGCAGTCTCAAGTCCGTTCACAAGCTATTCAATGGAACTATGACGAGACATTCCTTTATTCTTAATCATCCAATGTTACTTGCGAATGAGCTCGTTCAAAGTAATGCCTTGTGCAAGCTCGTCTTTTTGAATCATGTGTTACATTTGGTGTTGTAGGTTACCAGTGACGCCGGCTACCTGCGTGATGCGAGAAGCTAAACGAGCAGAGACAATCATCTCTCTGTCGGGCAGTCCCATCATCATGCCACCCAAGAGAGATCTGTCCAAACCAGAGGTTGTGATTCCGTTGGCAGACGGCACGGTAAGTTTCACACTGCAGCACTGGAGAGAACCTTATTACAGGGTTCCCCCGGTCATGGAAAAAATCCTGGAATTTAAAGCTATCCCAGAAAAGAGGGATATTGGGATAATGTATTCTGTATGTGTGTCCGTGTGTATGGGTGGGTAGGCCTACACGGCGTAAGTGGGATTTTTTTTTATCGTCAGGCAAATTAAGACTGAGTTATGGGGACTTTTTGCTGTCTCCACAGTGTTTTCGATCCCCAGAAATTCCTTGTACAGACGAGTGTATGTGTACGTGCGCGAGACTCGGCGCACGACTGCAGTCTTTCAGTGGCCAAATTTCTGTCAGGACGCCACTGTCGGCAATCATGGCACGCGCATTTTTCTACATGTTCTATGTAAGTTCTATGTGCAGACGCGGCATATCACACCCCTAGACAAACCATTCCGTACATTTTGTAAACAAGCTCAGATGACTCGTTTATCCTTGTAAAGAGGATCCGTGATTAGAGTCAGCCCTTGTTAGGTAAGTAGAAAGAGACCAGATTTCATACCAGTCCAAATTTTAGGTTTGGTTTTCTCTCCTCTCCCCCAGGCCCTGACGGTTGGTACCTCGTCTCCCCAAGTTGACTTGACAATGGACGAAACTGCACGCAGGAACATCCTCCTACTGCAGAGTAACCTGGCTAAGATCCTCAAGAGGTGTCCAGTCCAGGGAGAAAGCTAGAAATTGCAGGAAAATTTGAGTGCTTTTCTGTGAAAAACACGTCACCGAGTCAGAGAATGATAGAAAAGTTATCTGGCCTGGCCAACAGGCGAATGAAACTATTGGAAAAGTTGTGGGAAGGATTGGAAACTTTATTCGAAAACATTTTCTGTAGTCTTCCTTAGGCTGTGTCAGGCTCTTGTCTAAAGCTACTATCTATAATCTGACAGTCACAACTACATGGGCACATGTTGACGACAGACATAGACGTAGCTCTAGGTGCCCAGTATCAGATCGTCGCATCTGTGCAACAAGGTCATATCTCCTAAAATGGGCCGTGTGTGAAAAGCAAGTTTCAGAATGTCAAATGGTCGTATCTCACTTAAAATAACGCGGATGTACACACAAAGTCAAAGGATGTCGAGATACGACCTTGTTGCACGGAGCGTAGTCGCACGAGATATGTCTTTGTTGCAGAATGGAGTTACGAACTTGTTGCACTGACGCGACGAGATACTCCCGATTATTAGGGAGCTGTGCAAATGACAGGTAAGAAGTAAAATGGAAAAGTCCTGGAAAGTATGGAACACTTTTTTAAAAATGGTACCGGTAATCAAAATTTGCAGTGTTGAAATGTATGAATCTTATGTGCATGTTTAGAATTGTACCCCCTCCTAATAGAGTTTTCTGTCGTCGATCAGAGGTAAAAGGTGAAAGACTGGTCTTGTCAAATTTCATTGACAACCTCTCCCTCCCCCCATCCCCGGAAGGAAAAGGATGAGAAAAAACACAAGATGTAGCAGAGATGTAGTCGAGTCCATCACAAGTCCCTGCAAGTCCATCACAGGTCCTCCAGTCCCAATTCAACTCACAAGCTATGCAAATCAGCTTTGGCAAAGGCATTCCTTTGTTATAGTTCATCCACTGTTACTCGCGTGACTAGATTTGTGATTAGACTTTTGATTTTACTTGTGACTGGATTTGTGATGGACCTGAGATGGACTCAATTTACATGCCGACATGTAGATGACTTTTTAGTCCCCTCGCAATCCAAAAGGCCTGCTTTGCCCTATAACATTAAAGGGCTCCATGCATAGGTGTAATTTTTAAAAGCAAACCTTGAAAATGCTCCTTTGTAATCCCATTGAACCTTATATTCAATTTTCGTTTTGCTATTTTCAGGGATATTTTTGTGCCTCTTTGGTTATACTAATACGAATTTCCATGTTCATAAAGCTAAAGTGTGATGTCATTTCAGGCAGAAACCTCAATGTTTAATTTTTCAGCACCAAAAGTTGCCAGAATTTTGGACATTTTGTAGTCCTAAATTTCTTTTTCTTGGGTTATTCGTTGGTTTGTCAGTACAAAGAAGTAAGCCAATGAGCAAACTTTTCTCACAATGTTTTCAATGAGCAAATTTTTGCATTCACAATTTGAAAGGAAAACCTCTAAACTGAACAGTATCCTCCTGAAATGTTATCACAGCAACAGTCTCGCAGTTGTCCAGAAAAGCATGGACAATTTGAAATGTTTAAAGGAGTGCACTGTTCAATCAAATTCACCAAAAAGGGATGTCAAATAGTTTGCATACAGGAGTAAAACGTTGCACGAAATGTGTTCCTGATAAAACTTCATCTCATGGACCCTTTAACAAAATTGTACATACATGTACATCTATAGTGTACGTTACCTGTGGGGTTATGCTTTATTGTCCAGTATATTAAAAAGTTGACAAAGGTAGCTTCCCTCATGTTTGTCATTAGACCTAAGTTTTTATAATACTCATCATTTTGATATTACAAACGAAACCATCAGAATATTTCTGTAGATTTTGTGTACAACTGAACTCTGTAGATAAGCTAGCATTTTAACTTCTGTGTCTCTTTTTAAGGACATTGTGCATGTATGCAATGTTCATATTTTGTTTTCGTATTTGTGTTTGGAAAAGTATATGCACAGCTGATGAGAAAGTAATTGAAAATGTGGTTTCATGGTAATAGCGCATACTAAGCCGACTTGATATTTTAACATTGCTTTGTTTGATTTTTGAGAGTTCGAAATTTAACTTTTTGTAACAAGAGACACCGACCTGATCATAATGATAAAGATATATGGCACTCCTCAAACTCAGCAGAAGCAGATGAAGAGTTCTTTCCAAAACGCGACATAATCCGTTTTAAAAAGGTACAACAGTTTGCACGGTTATGAGACATGAAAGAATTAAACAGTACAACAACTGTTTCTAAAGTTATTTGTCCCCCGCTCTATTGTATTTTTAAGTTGTGTTTAAGAACATAGCAGCAGTCAAAATTGCTTTTGGGCAGCTAGGAGAAAGCAGGATTGCAAAAGTGAACAAAATGGCGTATGTCGCTTTTTGGTAGTAAACTTCAGATGTAATGAAGGATAAGTGTAACAAATTCAGCTGTGTAGATATATCAGTTGAAACACTATTGACAATGGTCCTTGGAAATGCCATTTGGTTATTATCAGGCATGCAACTTTTCCTCGGATCAGCTGATTTCCTCTTTTTTTTACTTCCCATGTGTGCCATTGAAAATAGAAAAACACTGTACAAAGTCTGGGAAAAAATTTGAATTTCCTCTTTTTTTGTGATATCCCAGTTGCATGCCTGTATTATTACTTCGCACAACAACTGACGGCTGTAACATAAATTGTGGATTTTTTGGTGCAATTTCAACAAACATGGATAGACCAATCAAAATGGTGCCTTCTGAGCGTTTCTGACCGGCCACCTTTCAATGAATCGGAGTTCCTGAGAGAAGGCCATTAAAGAAATTCATTGTTTTACCGAAGCTATTCAACAATATGAGTAGTCCACTTCTTTTTATAAGATGCCTTATAGTTATAGCCCTTATTTTGAGTACGCAACAATGTCCAATAGTGTTAATAGGGCGCAGGATTACAACTTACTTGGAACAATTTATTAAATCATTGTATCATACCTGTTGATACTGTTTTATTTCTTCACGATTCGTTATTATAATGATTAATGACTACCCAACGATCGTCTAAAGGATGTCTGTACCAGGTGATCTAGATTTCAGGAAAAGAGGGGTGGGTTTGCCGACCACTTTGCCGACTTGGCCTACGCGGGCGCGCAGGGTGGTCCAAAAAAAAACAACCGGAAAATACTTCTGCCACAATTGAGACTCAAACCACCTGTACCCATTGATAGAGAATCCTTTTAATAAGAAGATTTTACCAAAACATCCCGAGTAGGTCCATTTGCTGCCGAGACTATTTTGTGAAGCACATTTCTTTCATGTGGATATACATAACAATCCCTCAATTACAATGCAACTCAAATTCCCGGGCGCGGTTTAGTAATTCATCGGGACAAAAATGACTCCCACCTTGCTTCATAAAATAGGCTCTAGAACAACTACTGGACCGAATCGGGCAATCTTGGTTTGATTTAGGCTTCTAAAAAGATTATCCATGCTTGTGGTTTGAGTTTCGGGGCAGTGGAAGTATGCCATTCTTGGTGGGGTTTTTTTTTTGGGGGGGGGGGTGTACCCTGGGGGAGCCGCGGCCAGGGAGGAGGCTGCGGTTTAATTTTTGTGATTGGCTGCAAAGAATATACGCCGTCATCCATCCAGCATCGACGAGATGATCTGGCCATTCACCAATTTGATTGCGCACCAAAAGGGACGGTAATAGCCCAATCATATGTTCAATTATAATTAACACATGCCTTGTATTTTTTACCCGCGAAACCCGCACGTTACGTTACCGTTTGAAATAAAAGCAACCTATTTGGCGCCACTTTCTGCCTGCCATCGAAATAAATTATGTGTTCATAAATTCATCTAGCATGACTCGAGACAGACTTAATCCCCCCCCCCCCCCTTGGATTGGCTGTCGTGCGTCACGACAGACCGTACCACGGACGAGAGCTTTTGTAGCTCCATGACATACCAAATCCAAATACATTGTATGATATTCGAGAAAAAAAAATGAGTCGTCTTCAACTTCATGTCGGCGTCCACTATAGGCCGACTATGACTGGGTCTAATGGTCTAGTTTCATGAAATTCAATTTTCGTGTGCAGCATTTTGCGGTGATGCCTATTTGCCGTGAATTATTATCAGTATCCCCAGTCGTTTTGTTTTTCTGTTTTACATTAACAGTGTAGCCTTTTCTCAGCTCGGAGCACGATAGGGATTAAAAAGTCCCGGCCAATATATTAGGCCAAAAAAAAAAGTCTCCGGATTCTGGTATGGAGCTTGCCCCAAAAGTGGTGCGGCGACGCGGCTTTTTTTTTTTTTTTACCTGTTTTTTTTTTTTTTTTTTTGGCTTCAAATGTCGGCTGATGACTGCAAATGGTGCCCGACTAAACTTAGTGCAAATATATGGGAGTCCAAAGAGGCCACATAAAGCTTATTCTCGATCATAACCCAATCTAAAAACACGTTAAAATTGTGCAGCAGCAGAATTCCAGTCGAACCAGTGAGTTTGGCGGTTTCGAGACGTCATCTTGTATTGAAAAAAAACTGTTTCATTTTGCCGACGCGCATGGCTACGGCGACGCGCGCGCATACCAGAAACCGGAGACTTTTTTTTTTGGCCTTAAGACGGTCTTCAAAATTTTTTGGCCAGTTTGTTTTTTTCATCGGCAACGCTTGGTGGCGCTGTTCGATGCGCGCGGAATGCATGAACATTTCAGTCAAAATCAAATGCAAACTTTTCAGTTTGGGGGCTAATGATTAGATAGTTTTACGTTATTTAATCATACCAAACTATGTGGCTTTTAGAAAACATACGAGTGCCAGGTATGTATTTCAATGTTTCTGTGTTAATAATGGGATTAAATGGATGGAAATGGAAGATAATGAAACCATCAGGCATACACTGGTCACTGCATCATGCATGTCATGTGCATCAAGTAGAATGAATAAACACAATCCAGTGATGTAGTGCCTTGATGCTGGGCCTTGGCCTTAAGGCTGCCTTAAGGCTGGATTTTAGGGCCTTGGCCTTGGCCTCGAGGCTTGAGGGCAAAAGCCTTGGCCTTGGCCTTGGCCTTGAGGGTTCAGGGCCTTGCAATTTTGAGTCAAGGCTCTTCAAGGCCCAAAGATTTTTGCATTTTCCAGATAAATCTGTTCGAAATTTTGCTGTTACCTTTTTAATCGTATTACCATGGAGGAGGGAAACACCCTATAGATTTGTGTGTTGGGCACACTTCCACTTTTGTAGCATCACATTTTGTTACCATTGTTGTAGATTTGCTGCAAAAAATATTCCGTACACTTGTGGGGCTGTCACGCCCCAACTATCGCATCGGTCCCAACTAATGAAACTATAGTTGGGACTGTCCCAACTATAGTGCGGCAGTTGGGTCGGCCCAACTATAGTTAGGACTGGAGTTGCGCCGGATGCTTCATGCTTGATAGATCTTGTTGGATTAAATGTTCCGCGGCGCTGGCACCGTGTATTCATCGTGCATGCATGCCGCAAGGCTGGCCGGTCACGTGGTACTGCCTAGTTGGATGAGTTGTCCAGCTGCTGGGTTGATTGTCCAGCAACATTTTGCAAAATTCAAAGATTGCCATGGCCGGCCAACTATAGATGGGCCCCACCCATAGCTAATGTCAAAGGTCCCAAGTAAAGTCGGACAGTATGTAACAGAGCTGTAGGGAATGTTTTATAGTCGTCGTACATCAATGTAAACTATAGTTGGGACCGCCAAATAAAAATATTGCGGTGGCCCAACTACAGATGGTCCCCACCCATAGATAATTTCATTGGTCCCAAGTAAAGTCAGATGTGTATTTTAGAGTTGTAGGGAATGTTTTATAATCATACAACAATGTACACTATAGTTGGGACCGCAAAATAAAAAGATTGGAGTGGCCCAACTATAGATTCGCCCCATCAATAACTAATTTCAGTGGTCCCCAGTAAAGTCAGACGTGTATCAGAGCTGTAGGGAACGTTTTACAGTTGCAGTTGTACATCAATGTAAACTATAGTTGGGACACCGCAAAATAAAAAGATCGGAGTGGCCCAACTATAGATGGGCCAGCCCAACAGTGGAACTTACAGTTGGGATCGTCCCAACTATAGTTGGGACAGGCCCAACTATAGTTAGGCCAGCCCAACTGTGGAACTACAGTTGGGACAGGCCCAACTATAGTTGGGACAGGCCCAACTATAGTTGGGACCGATGCGATAGTTGGGGCGTGACAGGGCTAATGAGATGATCACTTTAATTGCATATAATAATAATAATAGAGAACATTTATATAGCGCCAAAATCCGTCTAAAGAAGACGCTCAAGGCGCATATACATGTAACTATGGAATAGATCTGATTGGTTGTATATGTCTCCCTGATAAGTGCTAAAGATTTGCATGTATCTGTTTTAGGTAATGCTGATATTTCTGACCATGTTGGGCCAGCAAATAAAAAATTTCCCAAATCAGTTTCTTGGATCCCCCTTTTGATACACTTGGGAGAATTGTGTGTCAATATAGAAGTAAATCATTATTTTGTCTAGTTAAACCATATTGAAGACCTGAACTTATACTTTAATAGATACAGTGCAGTCATAAAACGATGTAGGCCTATGCGAGCATGTTGATTGCAATTAAAGAAATGTTGTTCTTCGTAACGAGCAATTCGTGATGATAAGGGCGGATCCAGGGGGGCCAAAAGGGGCCATGCCCCCCCCCCCAAAAAAAAACGAAACCGTTTTTTTTTTAATGTGACGTCGTAATAAAGGCAGGCAATGAGTACACCACCATCTTTTTCTCAAAAAAACATCGGTAAAAATGGTCAGAAATTGCCTCAAATCGCACCAGTGACCACAGAGCATATCTGGAGTACAAAAATTTTTCGGGGCCCTTAAGCGGGCCCCTAAGCCCAAGCCGTAATTTTTTGACCCACTTTTTTTTGGGGGGACCAAAATTTCTTTGCCCCCCCCCCCCAAATTGTGTTCTGGATCCGCCCTTGCGTGATGACGTGTCACTCATGTGACTATAATTAGTTCTATATCAGTGGTCATTTCATAAAACAGTGCCTTGGCCTTGGCCTTGGCCTTGAGGGTTAAGCCTTGGCCTTGGCCTCGAGGCTTGAGGGTCAAAGCCTTGGCCTTGGCCTTGAGGGCCAAAGCCTTGGCCTTGAGGGTCAAAGCTTTGGCCTTGGCCTTGGCCTTGAGGGTCAAAGCCTTTGCTCCAACACTGACACAATCAACATGATCAATGACCGTCCATGCATGAGACGATCGTGTAGTGTAGGCCCGGTTCCTAGTTTAAGGGAACAAAATCACTTTAAAATTATTAGACCGACCAAACTAGTTTGCGACATTTGCAATAAACAGGTATGTCATAGATGCATGGCAGGCATGGCAGGGTTTTGATTTATTGAGGGAAATGTGGCGGGGGTAAAAAATGACGACCAGATGACAGAGCGCGCGCGAGCAGCGACAACACGCAACCCGAAAATAAAGATAGCGATCACTGTGCGATGTACCGTTACTAATTTTAGCATGCACGGTGCACTGAATCGCAAGGCACAAACTGCGCAGGAAAATCGTGATTTCTACCCGAAGAAACTGTTCAAAATTGCAAAATGGATGTTCTGGCTGAAACATGTATTTTAACCCATGAACCCCTTCGCGCGAAGCAGTTTTTGATAGATTCAGAACTGATTAACTGATCCGGAACTACCGTAGGAAAAATGACATTGGTAATTTTGACGTCGTAAAGTCAAATAAAAAGAGTTTTAATTTGGGGAAAAAAAATTTGTAGTATTTTCATCACTCAAGGTCAACTTGCTTACCAATGTCACTTGAATTCGTGGAGTAGTTGAGCCGAAAGCAGCCTGAATGATGTTTGCTATCCGGAACTAGGAAAACAACTGTAATCCCCACTTTTGTTGCTTCAAACTAAAAAAAAATTCACTTCACTCAGCTCATATCATCATATGCTCATCACTATATGAGCTGTAGTTACTCAAGCTAACAAATGATATGCAAAAGAGTGTCCTTTCATGCCTTTATACAATGTAATTTAACATGCTTGAAGGCATGAACATGATGACAAGACACCATTTCATGTTTTTGTTTGAAATGTACAAAAGTGGAATCAACAGTTTGCATCTACTTCAAAACACGAACTTTTCTTTGATTTGGTTGGTACCGTGCTATGATTTTACACGCGTGTGGCGAGCTGTTTATCCACAGACTCTATTCGTTGTCATCTGATGCGCGCACGCGTAGCTACATGTATAATGTTTGTAACGCCAAAGTGGCTTATATTCAGAACCAGAATTGATAAACGTTTTCTCAGGTTTTCTTAATAGGCATTCATAATCACTCTGTGGTTATTGTGTGTGTGGTATTGTTGAACCTGAAGTGAAATACTTTGTTTCTGTTTAACTTTAACATTCATTCGGACATAAAGACAAACAGATCATTTCCAAACATTAATAAGGCATTACAAAACATTGGTTAATTGGTACATTTGGAGACTCTTCACTATTCTTTATCATGTCGTGCGTGTAATTTTTGGGTCGTGCCTGCTTGCTTATTTTGATCTTTTGAATTATGAAGAATCTTGTTGCATTGAGCATGATTAGGGTGATAACTAGCCTTGCAGTGATGAGGCTCAGACATTTAAATCTCAGAATTTCTTTGTGCATCAAGTGCAGACTGTCCCACCAAGCGAAGATTAATCCCTCGCAGTATGGCTTTGCAGTCAAACAACTCTGAAAATATGAAAAGAAAGTCTGTTCAAATTTTTCTTTTTCTTTTACTCTTTCTGATACGTTGCTGCAGGTGATAGTTTCTACCTCCTGGAGGGACAGAATTACACAGTTGGCCGCAAAGGTACGTAGGTGTGAGGATTTGCCTATCTGGCATTACTGATAATGGCAGTTTCTCTCCAGCCAAAGACACTGTAGCGAAATTATGGTCCGAAGTTAGGACGCCCTCTTTTAGTTAGTTTATTCATGAATGCCGTGACGCATGCATACCGCACGGCTATATAAGCAGTGCGCGGTGGCGGGAAAGTCACTCTGTGGCGGGAAACAGTTCGAGGCAGTCAAAGTCCTGTGAGTAGTTCTGTACCGTCCGTCATTGTCCCGTCCGTCGTAGTTACTGCAGAGTCCGCACAGAGTCACGTCCGTTGAAGTCCCGTTAGAGTCACGTCCAGTTTACTGTTAGCCTTGTGAGTAGTTCAGTGTAGTCCAGTGCACACCTTTTTGAAGTAAATAGACCAAGTCACCGCAGATAGTTAAGCTCTCCCAATTGACCAGGAATTGTGTTTACTCAGTGTGTAACCCTGTTTAGGTGATCATAGGCGCCACTAAGGTGATTGTTTTAATAAATCATTACTTCAATTACACATCGAGTTTGAGTGCTGTTTTGTAGAAACACCAGACCCCAGTCCCATCCCATTCCCCTGTGTCCGCCCAAGTACAACTAGTGTCTAAGCCAACCCCGGTGTGTGGGAGGAAGCAGCTGCGAGCGCCTGGCGGTAGACTGCCCCAAAACGGACCTGTTCCCCTGGCCTTCCCTACAACCGCTCGTCAGGTCGGCAGGGGGCAATCCCAGGCTACGTCAACACAGGCCGCCACAACACCTACCCACACATGCTGAGCGATAGTTATTGTGGGGAGCAAAGATGCCGTGGAGGGAGAAGAAAGTCCCCACAAGATCAGTCCGGGTTTCCCTAACAATAAAAAACTTGCTCCAAACGTGGTCACTACTCACGCAGGAATACATACATGTGCAGTTTCAAGTTGTCTGGTGAGTTTTTTTACGGGGAAAGTTTAAACACATCTTGACAGTACTACGGGCGAGGCACCCCCCATCCCCCCCCCCCCCCCCCCCCCCCATGATGACAAAAAAAAGTGAGGGGGAAAAGGGAGGGGGTTAGCCACGCATAATGATCAACGTGCAGAATATGCTCTTAGCACACAGCCTGCTTGCATGTGGCACACACTATGCGGATGTGGTTGAGACCATGCATCAACGGTAAATTTGTTGGAAAGAGTTCCATACCTGAACATCACTTGACACCCTGTGCACAAACCCTATGAGATTGGTCTGAAAAATTCTAATTGTTTTCTCAGTAAATGCTTCAATATTTTCCCTGCTAAATTTGACTCTTTAGGACATGCTATCGTTTTCTGATGGCTGATAAGTCACTGCAGGGAAAAATTAGTAATGTCCATGTATGGACTTCTACCCAAATTGTGTTGGGTCAATCCCCCCTCAACCCTGCCCGCTATGCTACTGCAGTATCTGGTGTGTAATTTCTAGTAGATGAATTCAAATTGATTATTTTTTCTTCAGATTGTAAGATTCTGGTTCTAAACGATAGCTCTGTGAGTCGTAAACATGCAACGCTGACTGTGACGTATTCCGATGCCAGCCTGGTATGTTGCAGAAATGAAACCTTTTTTTTAGCTGCTGGATAGCAGCTCAACAAATCATCATGTCTCTCCGTTAGTCTGCTAGTTACATGTAGTTAGTTAGTAACAGACGTTGACATTGTCTGTTGCTCCTACATATTTTGACCGATTTCAACCAAACTTTGTCAAAAGTATCAGTGGCCCAACCCCAACATGTCACATGACCAAACTGGGGTCAAAGGTCACCATGGGGTAAAAAATCTTACTTGTTTTACTCAAAACACTACTCCTTCCAGAAATTACATGGCACAATCACGTGACTCATGCATGAACACGAATTTGTTGGCCCGCAGCTTCCAAGATATTTTCGATCGAGCTTGCTCAGCAAATGATTTGGTTTGGTAAACATTGACAAGTTTTCTGTAACCCATGTGGCCTGCTTGTTTTCTGCCTGTCATTGCTACGTAGGTGGTTTGGCTGCTTAAATGTTTGTGTCTCATCATCTTAGAGAGGGAACATTGTGTCAAGGAGCCAGCAGGTTCATCCCTTCATGGTAGGATGGGAGAACTTGCACCTTCTCAAAATGTTGCCATTTTTTTTTTAGGAATTCAAAGCTCCGACTCACAACCAGCAGTAGCACACCCCATTTCTAACACTTTTTTTTCAAGATAAAATCAAATTGAGGTCACTTTTTTTATAGACAAATTAGAAAGAAATGTTGTCTCCTTCTACCCAACGCAAAAGTATATGCCACAGCCACTGCTTGCAGGCCTGTAATTTAATTGAGACAAACAATAAGCCTGTTCGGTATTCCGACTGCTCATGTGCACATGAACATTTGAGGAATTTTTTTTCAGGATAAACATTTGTGATGCGATCAAGCTAAATGAGTCATTTGTCGGGAATTTTTATGTGGAGATACAGGCCAAAATAGGGCCACTTCATCACATCACTACATCACATCTCTTGGTGTTCCGACTTCCATAATTTTTGAACTAAAGATGGTATCAGCATGCGGTTGTCACAGCAGTAATGCTGAGATTGTGCTCTTTTGAAATCTGTAATAATTTTTTTTTTTGACCAGGGTCGACAAACGACTCATGTAGCTTGATCGCATCACATTTCATGGTATGCATGCAAAAGCATAGTGGGGTACCAGCAAAATTGAAGAGATTGTCATGTCTTGAAATAACATTTTGCAAACAACGTTTGGACAGCGAAGTGTTTTTAGGTGTCTTGTGTGTCCAAGCGTTTGTGCGAACCAAAGTTTCCATCTCTCTTTGTTTGCACGAAAAATTACACAAAATGCAGATCTGGTTCCAAATCCCCCATAGCTTTGTGTGCATTTATCTGCCGCGTTTATCCGGGGGGAAAAAACATGGAATCTTGTTGTGCACCAGACTATTTTGGAATACCGGACTGGCTTATTATTGGCTCTGTTTTGGTGGCCTCTTGGTGTCACAGTTGGGCAGTTTGATTTTTTTGCACAAGTTTATCAATTCCTTTCCAAAACAAAGCGACTGTCCATTTCACAACCCATTTCTGGACTTTGAGCATTGGACAAGTAATATTCTCCTCCATGTTTTGGTTGCTTGTTTAAATTTACCGTCAAATTTAAAACTCCAATTTCAAAATGTTGATTCAGAAAAAGGTGTTGACTCAAGCCAAGAGATAAATATGGTCCTGTGATGATATTTCTTGGTTGTTTTTTTATTTCCTTTTTCTTCTTAGAGTAAACCTGAAATAAAGCCTGTCCTTACCTTGATTGACTCCTCCAAGTTTGGCTCATTGAGAAATGGGAGCAAGATGGGCATTGGCAGCAATACAAACCTTGAAGATGGGGACCTTATCGTGTTTGGTGCTATGAACTCCAATCAGTGGAAGTTAGTAGAGTTTCTTTCATTTTAGTTGTCTTTGACACCTGGCTCCTGGCTCAAAAAGAAACTAAGCGGTTTTCATAATTACCCTCGTTTGGGCATTTCTCGGTGAATATGAAATGCATATTTTGTCACAGAACTTTCTGGTTCAATTTGATACCTCACTTGGGAACTGTGTAAGAAATAACGAGAGCGCAAGCGCTGAAGCACCTGAAACCGCAGAACTAAAAGTTGCACCTAGCGAGATTTTCAATAGGCATTGCAACACACAATTGAATGTGGGGCTTGCAGCATTGCATCCAATTGTGTGTTGCAATGCCCGTTGAAAATCTCGCAAAGTTTTAATTCTGTTTTAACACAGTGTTTCAAAGTGAGGTATATTGAACTGGACAGTTTCCGTGACGAAGTGTTTATTTTGGATTTTTTGTTCACCGCGAAACATCCAGACAAAGATGATTGTAAAATGCCTAATTCTTTTTGTGCTAGGTGTATTCTTTTTAATAAAGTAATCTTTTTAAAGGGAAGATACAACATTTGCAAACAATAAAAAACAAAACGATTAAATTGCCATGAAATTCTTTACTGGACTGTTAGGGTATGACAGTCTAAAGCATCCCGTACAATCATGGCTCCTGGTGTACTGAAATTTTTAAGTAAAGTGGTATTTTTGTATCAATTTCAAACGCTGGTCGGCCGACCAGTGGTGGAGAAAACTGTTTTTTTTTTCAAAAACTGCTCCTAATTTTTCATATTTAGTTATTCCCCATTTTCTTTGCAATTGATTACACACCTGTGAAGGGGTACAAGCCAGCTAGACTGATTCTCTGACCTTATAATTCCCCAACGTCTATAAATTGCTTTGTTTCATCTTAAGTGGGGTCAGGGAACCAGACTACAAGAACAGGATTGGTTTTCTTGGTTTTTCAGCATCTACGATCCAAAAAAGTGAAACAAGTCAGTGTAACAATATTTACTTAAACATACTATTCCTCCAAATCCAATTATTTCTGAATATTACAACAAAAGAAAATGTTGTACATTCCCTGAAGGGCTGGTTAACTTGGTCAGAGGAGTGTAGGTGAGATATTCCACAAGTTACAGATTTTGAGTCACGTTCCTAATACTTTTCTTTGCTTAATTTAAGATTAATATTGGACCATGTAGATTTCCCAGTATTTATTGTTTGAAGATGAAAGCCTATCCCGTGCTTAATTTCACTAGATTTAATTAAATTTGATTACAGTGCACATGTACATGCAGGCAGCGTCTATAATCTATATGTACATGTGTTCCTGAACACTGTTTTCCCATCCAGATAGTGAGAAGCAAGTCATTTACAGTATCTTTCCCAGGGAACAACCTATACCCCAGACTGCTTGCAGTTTACACTTAATGATGATAATCACAATCTTCCGGTAAAGTACACTTGTTCATTTTGGGATGAACACTACAGTTAAACACTAAATATAGTTAAACACTAAAAAGGATGAATTAAAGATATAGGCCTAGTCCATCATTTGTAATTTGTGCTTTTTGTTCGTTTGAAGGAACAAAAGTGTTCAAAATCTAATGAAGGATACTGAACAACTAACCTGATGAAGTTTCAGCTCAGCTTCAGCTGTATATTCCGGGAAAAACAGCATTCTAGGATCTCAATTTCAAATCAAAAGTTGCTGAATCATGTTTTGAATTGTTTTGAATTGCTTGCGCGCGCTGCGCCGAATAACAAAACAAAACTAATTTAAATTTTCCTACGTTGCGTCTTAAGACGCACCATTGGAAAGGCCTTCTATCGTTGATTACTTCAAAATGATAGCTTTCCAGAAAGATTAATTTCACAGGGAGTTTACTCCACATACTATCTTTCAACCAAGTATTTATTCAACAATAATACGCCAGTTACTTTTTCGGATGGCTGCAAATGATGGACTATAGCTTTAAGTAAGATTATTAAAGTAATCCTCTAATAGGACATAGTTTAAGTGACATTGGTGTTGAAATAGCACATGTATAATACATGTTCACTCTCCGCATAAATTTACATTATAAATCTACTCTCTTCTCTACAGAAAATATATACAGGACATGAAATGGAGTTGTTTCATGAAACAAGTAAACCCCAACTTTCAAAAAAGTACAACCAACCGGTTCTTTTCAGAACCACACTTCTTCTGAAAAGAGATTATTCCACATGGTGCTACTGCAAACTCACTAGCAGTAGTATACACTAACACCATGCAAAGTTTCAAATCTTGTGTACTTGAAGAAAGTTTACTTAAACATGTTAAAAAAATATGTATTTTTTTAAGCACAGAGTATAGGCCTATTTATGCTAATAAAATTATGTTAAACAGTGCTTATAAATTACGTCCGTGAAGGGCATGACCCAATACTGAAAATGGAGGAACTTATCTTCGTTCTTTTTAAACTGAACAAAGATTTGACATCTTATGCAGTTCTTTCTTACACTCGTCTCTGAATCGTCTGTTTGACAGACTGTAAATCAGGGGATTGACTGCGTTATTGATGTAGCAGGTTGTAGGTATGTAATAATTGAGAATAACCGAGAGGTTCTTGTCCTTTGAGTCACTGAACACAGTCACACCTAAGGCTATACTGGTCCAAGACGGCAACCATGTTAGTATGAACATTAGGCTCGTGAAAAAGAGCATTCGTGTCGTCTTTCTCTGAAGCAAAGCGTTGTTTGGCGACTTCCCAGCAGATGTGTGTGATCGCAGCGTGCTTGCTCGGTTGTTCCATCCCACATGTTTGTTTGTTGGTCTCACTGCTGAGCTGTCTGTCGACTCGCCAGAAAGATCTCTTCCTGTTACGGGCACAGGAAGAGCTGGTTGACGAACGATGTCATTCATTTGGATGACGGAAGTATTGCCAGGGGAGGGTTTGGTATTTCTGTCTGTTCCGAAAGTGCCTTGGTCCTGTCTGGACCAAATACCGACTTTAACATGTCGCCGAATCCTCATGTAAACCATGCTGTAGCATACGGTGATCAGTAACAAAGCCGTAGCAAATCCTCCAATTTGGATTATCCGTGTTAATATCTCAGTCACTTCTATGTTGAAAATATTACGCAACATGTCTGGAACCTCAGAAAACATTGAAAGAAAGGCCACAGTGACAATCACTTTCCTTACCCGACGAGGGTTGAACCAGCGCTTTTGCGGACGGCACACGCAGTCATATCGATCGACTGCAATGACGGCCGTGATTTCTACAGACACAGCGACCAACATATTGGTTACATTGACGACTATGTACAGCTTTTCCGAATAAAATTGTTTTCCGGCGAGAGCGAAACTGGCTTCGGTGATGTAGAATGGCTGGGTCAGGCAGACTATTAAATCAGCAGAGGCCAGTGCCATGATCAGGATGTGGGTAGTGGTCTTACATCTCTTCATCCAGTACACGCGGAGGATAAGACTATTACCCAGAGTTCCAAACACAAACACTACGGCACAGAGAACTATTTCCATCACCAAGTATGGATATATGTTTACCAAAGCTTCTTCCTCCTCATTCATATCGGAGAAATTGTATTTGAAGTTGTCGTTGTCCATAGTTGAATTCTCCATGATTTGTTCCCGTTGTCTTCACTCTGTACACTGGTAGGGATGTTGCAGCAAAATTTGAAGTCAGTCCCTGGGCCTACATTGTAAAAATGAAGTTGGTGTCTATGCGAATAATCAGGAATGTGCTGCTCGAATAAGTGTTGGTTCCCATTCCAAATCCAAGCTCATATAAAGAAATGTTCCTTCATTTTCAACGATCTGCACCCTTTCCAAATCGGAAGTTAAGAGGTTTTTTTGTTGAAATAGGCAATACATGTAGGTGCTATTTCATAAGCAACAAATGGCATTCACTACTACCTTGTCGCAACACTCAGGCTCACAGCCTACTGACACACCCGAGCGGGCAGGACACTCACAGCCACACACAACGGGCATTCCACTCAAACACAATGCCCAGCAGACAACCAATCAGAATCCAGCAAACACAAGCACCAATCACAATGCTTCCCATTCACACTCCCAATCCTAGCACCGCCTACTTAAGGAGCAGCATCTCCAACTCTCCCCAGTCTCCTGATGATGATTAGAGCAGGCTGGTCAAAACGTGGAGACTAATCTTGTCTCACTCAGCCTCAGTGTAGATTATTGCGAGAAATCCAACCGCCTTCCAATATACTTAGCGAAAGTAGAAAACAAGCAGGACAAGTTCTTTTGAACTATGCTGGACAGTTTCAGAACCAAATCTACTGAGCAACAGTAGTTATTACCACACAGAGTTACTGCAAACCAAAACTACACGTATATAAGTATTGTAATCAATACATCATAGTAGGCTGCATTTAAAAGAAAAGGAATGAATTCAAGTATCTACATTGTTGCTACAATTGTTTATTCTAACGAAACAAGCAGATATGTCATATCAGACAACAAGTCACGAAGGGAAGAGAACATGTGAACCACACGATGCCGTTCCATCTGTTTCTCTTTGAATGATACAAAGTACAGTCAAGTGTGCCTAGCCCCTTCGTTTGCTTGAAATGCGGGCTCTTGTAACTGACGGTGACTGAGTGAACCGAGTGAAGTACATGTACACATCCACTCCACTTCATGAGAATAAATCACCTCTTGACAAGCACATGTGATTCTGACACACTTCAGTGGCGAAGAGAATGACAAACATAATGGATTGACCTCCCCTTGGAGTTATTAGAGTTAATGAATAAAGGACGTGTCGCTTCATTGTCCCATTTCGGTCGGCCCAAGACTTAGTTTACTTCAACTTGATCTGTACACTGTACTTTGTCAAATTGACTCTGGATTACAGTAGTTTCAGTTTGGATTTGGATTATACATTACTGAACAGATAATAAAAAGCAAATATGAATAAGAAATGAGGTTTTTTTAACACAAGTGTACATGTGTGTGCGTGTTTATGGTATAAATCGAGGACACACATGTACATGTATAAAGTATGTGCAACATCATCGATGAATTGAGGACAGAAACCGAATCGAGGACTCCTTGGATGGAAAACGTGTCCAAAACCAATTAAAGCTGTTGCGAAAATGTTCAAGTACAAACAAAGGAAAAAGGAAGAGGAACAAAAGAAAATCCTCGATTTACATCATAAACAAACGTGGGTGTGTGTGAGTATGTAAACACCGGCAATCGTTGACCTAGGACAAGAGGGTTCGGGCACAAACAATATGTCCCTGATAGCATAGTCCACACTTAAAATTCGTGTTTAAAACCAATGATACATTTGTAGCTGTTCCTAAAAAGTTAAGTACAAACAGATTACAGAGATGTGTGTGAATTTGTTTCTGCATTCAATAGGGGACGTTGAACAATAGAGGACAGTAGGGTCCCCAATTCTCGAGAGGTCCCCAATGATCTTATTGATTATCAAATACCGTGCAGACTGGGCAGTATCTGCTCTCATTTCAGTTTTTAATGTAGTGATTGATGAAGAGCAGACAGAGAATTACAGAGTGACATATCTGTGGAGTAAATGAAGAAGAATGGCTTTAATAATCCTTCACTGCGCCGAAATGACATCATCGAGCTGTACACTCCCATTGGCCAAGGGAGCCAAGAGTGTATTTGGGATGATCATGGGTAATGTAAAGTGCTTTGATCTTAGTTTAGTATATTACGCAATAAACCACTCAGACGTGTCGGTGGCTGTGTGGTTCGCCCACACAGACACAAGGGCAGTCTGAAAAAATAGCACACTTATGAGTGAAGATGTTATTCTGTCCTGTGTATGAGCCTCTGTCCTGTGTACGAGACTCAACGCGCCGCCAGCTAGGCAAGCGACGATTGCGGCCAATACAACATTAGTTAAAAGCGCTATATGGTACATGTACATTGTTATTATTATTATTTATCCCACAAGCACAAGTTGAACATGGAATGATGCAGTGTGTTTATGTCCCACATGCCAAGAGGCCAAAGGCCGAATGTAGTACGCAGACGCACGACTTTTTCTGTATTTCACGAGCACAAGTGGCATAACAAATTTGTTTTCAAGCAAACTTGACTTGAATTGATGGACAAGCACGCTGTAGTAGCGGCTGTATATGAACTTCTCAATGATTAAATCCTATTACACATGCGTGCAGCGGGAATGGTGTGTGCATCTTTGAATAACGCGATAAGCGGAGTGCGGTATGGACCTTGTTGTACTGGATAATGCAGCACAGTTTGTTGCCATGGATCGACCAGGATTCAATTTTGCTTGAAGATAAAAATACATACAGCTGTAGAAAACAATATTCTGATTAAGAGATTCAAAATGATTACAACATTCATACATCGAGCATGAAAGTTCGTTTCCTGTCCCATTATTATATCAAGTAAATAAAAGATAGCTTTTTGGGACTTGAGTTACAGAGCTCGTATCAGGAGCTTGCGACACCATCATGGTGTCTTTATTAACAAGAACGGGTTGATGAAGACACTGTGATGGTGTCACAAGCTCCTGATACGAGCTCTGTAACTCAAGTCCCAAAAAGATATCTTTTATTTACTTAACATTCATGCAATTTACTGTTCAACAGCGGCAGAGAGTGTATAGTTTGTGCAGTTCCCTCTTGCAGTCATCCCTAAAGCATCTGTTTGCAAGCCCATAAATCAGAGGATTTAACACGTTATTCATGAGATAGGTATATGACACCAAATTCAACAGCACACACGCAACATTCTTGTCTTGTATGGAGCCAGAATAAAGGATTGCCAGGGCGATCCAAGATGGCAGCCATGTAAGTATGAACACCAAACTGGTGACAAACAGCATTCTTGTTGTCTTTCGATGCAGTTTGGCGTTTGTTGGTCGCTTATGGGCAATATCCCGCGCTGAGCATTCTCCTGAAATAGTCTTACAAGGTTTTGGCCGAGGATGAGGTTGGGTTGAAGAACACGCAGAAAGTGCCCCACAGTTAGGAGAATCCAAACTTGAATCTGGAGCGGTCCAGACTATTCTTTTCTGACGTCTCCTCGGCGTCTTTTCCTCAATCTGTAACCGACTGGTAGCATTTGCGTCTGCAAGGCGATCATGAGATGCTCGGTGAGTTGAATTGGTGATGCCAATTCGAACATGGCGCCGGATTGTCGCGTAAACCTTGCCGTAACAGAGACCTATCATCAGCAGTGCCAACACAAAGCCTGCAGCTTGGATGGCCATGCTGTATATTGTTGTCACTGCACAAGACTGGATGATAATGCAAACTAAATGAGGAGCCTCAGCAGCAACAGCTGTAACTACCACTACGAGAAGAATCATCTTTGCTCGACGAGTGTTTAACCAGCGCTTCTGTGGACGGCATACGCAGTCGTAGCGATCCGCCGCGATACATGCGGTGATTCCGACAGTGACTCCCATCAAAGCGTCATTCAGTCCTATTGCAATGTAGGACCATTTTTCAGGAACTTGTTTGCCGGCGAGAATCAGGCCGATTCTCATGATGAAGCCAATTAATGTGATGCTGGCCATGAGGTCGGCTACTGCCAGCCCCATTATCAAGATGTGCGTAGTGGTTTTGTGCTTCTTCATCCAATACACTCGAAGGATAAGAGCGTTACCTGGAATCCCAAATGCCGCCAGTATACTCATCCATGTGATCTCCAGCACCGTGCCTTTATACACTGTGTTTGCATCTGCCTCACACACATCAACTGATGAGGAGTTCAGGTCTGCCATGCTTGTTTTTACAAACATTTTTGGAAACTTCCCTTTCTTCAGTTCTCAGATGACTGCACTGTTCAATACATGTTAGTCAGACTCTCAATCTAGGGAAATAGGTAACAGATGCCAACAGTGACAAATTATAAAGTCAAACAGCATACCAATATAGAACGCTGTTTCAAGTCCAAGAACTGGATGTGTTCATGAGAATGTACATGTTTACAATGTAATTGTACCAAGCTGTCTCTGTTTGAACAATGGACGCGGTCATTGTAGATGAAATGATATATTAATTAACCTGTTAGCTGGATTTTTGCGAGAAGCGAAACTTTATTGTTATCCGTAGATATACAGTACATATGTACGTTTGACATACCGATGTCAAATGGCTTTAATAAAAGGAGCTTGAACTAGAAAAGAAAAATGATTGTTTTTTTAACCTACTTAAATAATGATATAATTTTGAAGGCTTTGAGGGGGATACAAGAATATATTGCACGAGCTATGCCTATAACAATATTGTTATAATAAGTGCAATATATTCCTGAAATGTACATGTATCCCTCCAATACAGCCATCCAGTATTATTATTTATCAGGCCGACATGATCTGAAAGAAAGAAATTTCACGACGCTGTCTTGTAACAATCGCCGTCTGCTTTCCTCACCTCCACATTAAAGTTAATTTAAAACTTCGACAAAATGCCAGCTAGCGTAAGCTTTTCCAGTGTCTCAAAATCCGTCGGTAAATTCTTCTAGGCCAGATGATACGCTCACAGAATTTTAATGGCATCTTGGTTGCTTGCAAGGTATTTACAACCTTTCTAGTTCTCAGCTTCTGTTGAATTATTCTTTGCAAATCTTCCACCGCTCGATGCTGCCTTTGTTTAGCTGATGACAAACAGTGCGTACCGGGACATACCCCGCATGCACATGTGCGTGCACGCACTCTTGTTTACTATACTCCCAAGGACAATGCATTGTGTTTTCCTTTGTCCCTGTAATATAGCACTCTCCCATAGACTAAGCACACGAACCTACTACAGAGGACCGTTTTGAACAAAAGACCCAACTCCCGAGGACTGAAAGGATCTGTTGTTCTCCCTTTGTGTGTCTGTCCTCCGGGGTTATGTACATGTAGAACAATTTTGTACACCCACACCGCACCCTAAGTTCTTTTGACTGATTGACAACTGTGACTTTCTACACTCTTGATTGATTAGGAATCTGCGAAACCATAAAATGCCCGGTTGTCTAGATACAATATCAAAAATGATATTGTGCAGCCATCCAGGTACATTTTCCAAAAAACATACAATATGCTGGAGGCCTGATGAACATGCAAAAAATAACATCTGTTACTGTTTACTCAAGGCAGGTAAACAAAGTGTTGATCTTGGTTCTTTCATTTCGATCTACACATTAGAAGTATTTAAAATAGAATTACAGCAAGTGGAACATATGCCAATAAAACCTAATATTCACATCTGTTTGTATCCCCAAAACTGTGTTACCAATTTGTAAACCTTTACATACAAATTTTACATAAAATACAAACAGATTGACTTCAAACTAGGCAAGGACAAAGACCCGAAGGTTAGGTTGGCCCTAGACAAGTGATGACATGATGATATAATTTTATATTTTATATCTAGAAAACTGTATGTCCGATGGGGTTGGAACTTGGTATGTACATAGACAGGGACATGTAACAGACCAAAAGTGGGTGACGTCAAGATGACGTCATCATGTATCATGGATATCTGGAGAAGAACAGCTAAATAAGTCATGGAACTATGTCAATTCATAAAAAGCATAAACTCACAAAAAAAACACCCATACTGAAATGTGTATCCTTGTGGAGTCATTTGTTTGTTCTCGTATACTAAAGTATTCGAGTTTGAAAGTGTACTTTCAAAATGCTCCTATTTTAACCAGAATGAATTTCCTGGGCCGAAATTTGGACTTAATATCCCTTCCATAAAATACTTCAATTTGCGACGGATCAACACACCTTTGAAATTCCTAGTTATTGAGTAAAATCCATATATCTATTTTGTGATAACCTTGTGGAGACGTATTCACCTATAGAAATTGCCCTGTGGAGGCGTATACAATTTTTTGTTCCCTATTGTGCACATGTCTCCGGAGGGTACCGTGTAACAGATCATACATGTAATGAGGAAAAGCCCTATTTTCTGATCCTCAAACAAACATAGATCTAGTTGTCCTTTTTTTTTCGCCTTCTTCTAGAGTGACGTATAAACCACTGGTCGTAGCTTTCTCATCTCTGCCCTCTGCCGACAAGAGGTCTTTGAAGTCGCTGATCCGTAAATTGGGAGGGCATGTGGTTCCTGAGTGGAGTAAAGAATGCACGCACCTGATCATGACTCAGCTGACTGTCACCATCAAGGTATGACATCATTTCATTTCAAAGTTATGGCAACATATTGTTTTCAATTGTTTTAAATTGAAACTAAACTTTATGGATCATGTTTATGGATCTCCTTTCAGCCTGGCAGTGTTCAACCTCAGGCACTCAAAATATGTTTATACATGTACTAGTTTGGCTTGTGTGTCTCTGTCAGGATCAAAACGTCAAATTTTTGAACTTTTATGATATATGTATATTTTACGTCACTTTTTGTACAAACTTTGGGGCAGGTTTTCATTTGTAGTTTTCATTTTTTGTAATATTTTATTGCTAATTTCTTCTAAAATTGTCTGTACGACCATTTCTTTTTCAAGTAGAAAATGTGCAGCAGCCATTGTAAATGAGCCTTATCGCAAATAGCAAAGTACAATATTGTGCAAAGCATTATGGGCAGGATAAGAGGGCAAAGAACCATGCACGAACGCCATGTTTGAACGCGCGCTGTCACCGCCGTGTTAAGCCATGCATCATACGAGTTGACACCATACGTGCATACGTACGGTGTCAACTCGTATGATGCCCCTGAGTCTTTACCTGATGCTCTCGGATTTTGCTATTTTCGATAAGGCTTATGGACCCTACGATTCTGTGATCCTACACCGTACGTTGTTTTCTTTTGCAGGTTATTGGTGCCTTGGTGACGTGTCGACCCATTGTCACTCCAGAGTATTTACGCAAGTTGGAAGGAGCAGCCTGCAACAACACACCGATGCCTGATCCTTCTGAGTAAGGACATCTTTATTTTGACATTGTGTTTACTTTCCCATTTATTTCAAATTGACTTTGATGTATTTCCTTTGATGCAACTCTACATGTTGAGGGAATTAAAACAAAAAAGAGAGGAAAAATGGTTCGGTGCAATTTCAAAACAAAAGGAACTTATAAAATCTGAATCAAAACTAACCAAACAAGTAAATTTGCCGAAACAAAAACAACATGTTAAGTTAAGACAAATATGAAAGCAAAAAAATAGTTAGTGGCCTGACGTTTCGACCCTAGCAGAGTCTTTCTCGAAGGCTGAATGACAAGACTATAAACATAAACAGGTACATGTATACATTACTGATGTAACAAAAGCAGTCAAGTGGAAATATGAAAGATGATGAAGTCGAAGTCCAACTAAGGATTTATTATAAAATAATGCAAGTCGTAAAAGTAAGCTGCTGTACACAGTACTATACATTATGTGCCAAGTTGTCCTTTCAGTCAAAATCAATCAAGTGACTGTTTTCAACAGTTCAGAGTTCTTAGCCTGCATCAAGCAGGATTGACTGGCTGTGACTGTTTATGTAACTTGATACAGCTATGCTATGACTGTAGTTGATTGATAAACCAGCTGTGCACACAACTTGCTTGTTTTATATGTTGAATGAATTTGACTCAAGTCACAGTGCTTGTTAGACATATGTGACCTGTTCTGTCAAAAGCAGATGCTTCTGGGCAGAGGTTGAAATTCAGATAGGGCCAAAAAATGCTATGGGGGTGATTTCTTTTATTTTCATATTTTTGCATCTTTGTAATCCTGAACATGTCTAAAATCTGCTATAAAAGTTTGAAACCCTAATTTGAACTCTAGATATAGTATTTTTGATGATTTGTTAAGGTATATCAGTTTAAGAAATAACTGTTTTGTGACGTTCATGGACATTTTCTCCGTTTTCTACTTTTCGACACAATGAACTTCAAATTAGCATAACTCTGCCCAGGAATGACCGGTTTCAAAAGTTAAACAACCTATTAAAAGGAAACGGAAAAAGGACATATTTTAACAATATGCAAAAATCTCATTTTTGACCTTATGCCCAGAAAAGTCTCACATACATGTATGGTCTTACTATTGTTGACTAGCCTGCATAAAAGGCATGGCAGGGGAAGAGGATTGATTTTTTGACTGTGACTGCTTACAATAGCAGGAGGGATAAAATGGGTGATTTGAAGAGTGTTGAGTTAGCAAATTCTCTTGTACAGAGGCTTGGTTCTGTTCTGTATTGTGAATTATTTGAAATACTACACGAAGCTGTTTGGTGCTTCATCAGCTGATGTAGAGAGATTTAACAAGTAATGTAACTCTCTGATGTTGTTGAGTCTTTTTTGTTCAGCTTTCAGCCAGTTATAGCAGAAACGGCCATCAAAGAGGATGATGTATCATTCCAGGCAAACACGCATCGCAAGACACTCTTCCAAGGAAAAACAATGATGTTCCTTGCTCAAAAACAGGTAAAGCTTCTGACGAAAGGAAAAACAGCATTGCACTTATTTTTGCAAAATTAGGCCAAATAAAAGAAAAAATGTTAAGCAATTCGCCCGTCTCCTTTTTTTTTTAAACAAACGAAAAAATGATTTGAGAAATGAGAAAATGACGTCATTTTGGCCTCTTTCTCTGTTGCATCTAGCCCTGAGTCCTGAGTCCACTTTCCTGAGTCCACTTGGCGGCCATCTTAAAAAAAAGCCTGGCCGGTCGTTTTGGAAAATGGGTGTGGCGGCCAATTTTGAAAAAAAAGGCCTCCTTCCTTTTTAAGGCAGGATGCAAAACATGGTTTTTTTTTATTTGGCCTTACCTATCACAAGCCCATCACAAGCCCTCACCAGCCTATCACAAGCCCATCACAAGCCCTCACCAGCCTATCACAAGCCCATCACAAGCCCTCAAGCAGCCTATCACAAGCCTATCACAAGCCCATCACAAGCCCTCAAGCAGCCTATCACAAGTCCATCACAAGCCCTCACCAGCCTATCACAAGCCTATCACAAGCCCATCACAAGCCCTCACCAGCCTATCACAAGCATCACCAGCCTATCACAAGCACATCACAAACGCTCTTTAGCCTATCACAAGCCCTCACCAGCCTATCACAAGCCCATCACAAGCCCTCACCAGCCTGTCTCAAGCCCTCACCAGCCTGTCACAAGCCTATCACAAGCCCTTACCAGTCTATCACAAACCCATCACAAGCCCTCACAAGCCCTAGCTCAGAAACCCATCACAAGTCTCTGACAAGCTATCTAGTCTTAAGTCAATTCGCAAACTATTCAAGTAAACTGGGACGAAGCCATTCTTTTATTATTACTCATTCCTTGTTACTTGTTACTGGACTTATAAACTTGTGTGTAAGTTTGGAGCGGACTAGTGACTGGGCTGGACTGCACTGGACTGGACTGGTCTGCAATACTGGTTAAGTTTGCTTGTTCATTCATGGCTGTGATTGGTCCAGATGTTAGGGGCGGGGCTCAGTGGTTCAGTCTATTGCAGCTGTACATCCAGCATTACATGTAGTGTATTCCTTAGCCAAGACTTCATGAATATCTCCCCATGTAGATGGAAATATGATCATGCATACCCTGCACAACAGTGACAAGACTTTTGAATTGACTTGCAATTTAGTTTTGACCAAACTTGTGATAAACATCATGACTGGTAAGGGTTGAGATTGCTTTTTTTAATCTTTTGGTTTTTCTTGGTCTAGTTCAAGCAGCTGGCTCAGACTGTGAAGCTCGCTGGAGGTAAGGCGTTGCTGGTAGAGGAGGGAGTGACAAGCAGAGAAGAGGATCTCCTGGTAGATCCTAACACCCTCGTCATGTATGCGGATCCTCAGGATCAGAGTCAGGTCATGACCCAGGCAGGTCAGGAATGGGTCACGGAGGTCATGGAGCTCCTGAAAAGGTCAGGCTTCTTATAATAGAAGTTAAAAAAAAATTGAAAACTGGTCCCAATTCAATGGCTCTGTTGACCACAGACGTTTGTGAGTACGACATATTCTGTGCTAACAGCGCCAGCAAAAGCAATTCTGTGCTAACCCTGAAAGCACAGAGTCCTTGCTAACCCATGGAATATGATGACCATTTAGCACAGAATTGAATGCTGCAGTAAGCTGGGATTTTACGCTAACGGTAAGCAGAGCCATGACATTGGACCTTGTTCTTAGACATCTGTTACCACTGGCTATTACACATAAGCCTATGGAAGCAGTTGAATCCAATTCCTATGGACCCGTGTGCCTGAATTACTTGACAAGCTGTAGCCAAGTAATTCAGATACAGACTAGCTCAGAATCGTGGTGGTTTCACAAATTGAATGTTGGTCTGTTATCAGATTTTAAGAATGGGAGTTTTTTTTATGTGCTTTGGAGCTTAAAGGGAAGATACAATATTTGCAAACATCACAAAATGAAATGATCAAATTATCACGAAATAACTTACTGGATTGTTAAGAAATGATCAAATTATCACGAAATACCTAACTGTTTTAAGCATCCTGTAAAATCGTGGCTCCTGGTGTGCTGACATTTTCAAGAAAACTGTCTTTTTTCAAAAACTACTCCTAATTTTTCATAATTAGTTATTCTGCATTTTCTTTGCAATTGATTATGCACCTGTGAAGGAGTACAAGCCTGCTAGACTCATTCTCTGACCTTACAATTCCCCAAAGTCAATCCCCATTTATTTCTGAAAATTGCAGCAAAAGCAAATGTTGTACATTCCCTTTAAAGAGGTTGTGGAATGCTCGAAGACATTTCCGTCATTTTTCGGGTATATGTAGCCTAGGGTGTGATGAAATAAAAACGACTATTGTTTCTGTCATGAAATGAATACAAAAGGTACTTTTGAGAGCTGTTTTTCAGGTCCTGTTTCGACCCGAACGTGCAATTTGTGTAAAAGTCGTCATTGGGGGCAGCAAACAAAACATAGTAAATCGTGACGTAATAAACAGGACTCCCGATGCAGCGTAGTTCCAGCGGAACTTTTTGCAAATCACTCCGCGCAACGACATGACTTTGTTTACAATTACACTGAGCGACATTTTGTATGGGCAGCCACATGCTCCATAAATTCAACCGTAGTTGGCAACAGCTTTTACCCCCGAAATTCTAATGGGCAAGTTCAGAATTTAATAGGAAGATATCTTCATTGACTTTTTGGTACTTTCTATTGATTATTCAGTGTTTTGATAGTTACATATCATTTTATTTATAGATCGGGGATCATTCTTTTGTGTTTGCCCTAACGGCCAACCATAGTAAGAAATGTCTGCGTTACCAACATCGTTTGATCGTTCACATGCACATCGCATCACCGTGTGACACCGCTATGTAAAGCTGGCTGGAAATTCACGGGTGTACTTGTGCCGCTGGCCCGGCCGCTGGGACCGTAGATTTTGACACCGGTAAACGGTGTTGGAATTTCAAAATAATTTGTTGTTGATACGTGTACGGGTAGCGAACGCACTAGGCCAAGGCAAACCTATATGCCTATAATTGTGTCAGTCGCTGGTTGTAATCACACCACATTTTGTTTGCAATAAATTTCCAGCTTTCCCGTCCGGGTGTCAGCATGGAAAATGATTGGAGGAATAAGAATCCTCCGTAGCCATGCAGTTTGTCCGAATAGAAGGAAGGGTACCGTGCGAAACGCGAGATCGGATTTCAGCCAAATTAACGGGTAGAGCGCTGATCATGCACTGTACATTTTGTACGGCAAGAGTCTTCTTTTCTCAAGAGATTTGTTGAAATTGGACAAGAAATAATAGAGATATGATTTGTTAATGATTTATAGGGAAGACTGTTTTGGACCATTTGTCCATTGCCAATCTTGAAGAACCGTAGACCCGTTCAAATGTATCCTCGACCCTCCATTATCTGCGCAGCATACGCGCACGCGTTGTCACACACAAATTGAAGGTAAATGCGTAGAAAAAGGACCGCGTAGTTTTCCTTACGTTAGTGCTGATTAATGTGACAGGCCTCCATTTTCCCTAGAACTTCTTTTGATCGAATGACAAATTCTCTGCCCCTGGAATTTCTTGAATAAAGTCTTAATTAGGTACTGAAAATAATGATAGTGCTCGTTAAATTTCGGGAGCAGTGAATTTTGTTTTCAACCGGGATCCCGAACTTGTCGTAAGTCCAGAGATTTTTGTTTTATGAACGGAGCATGACTATGATTTATGAATTGTACTTTTTTTTGTAGCCACGTTTACAGGCAAGGTGAAGCGCCAGTCCCATGGTCTCCTGGCATTGTTTTATGGTTTGTTTTTTTTGGTAAACAATAAAGTTAACAATTTCGAAATTCAAGTAAATTCGTAATTATCGTTTCAGGATGTTAAAACAAGGGTTAAAATGCACAAGGAAAGAAAAGAGAAGAGGACTAATTTTTTGTGGCGAACGTATACATAAAAAGCACCAGGCAACGCAAGGAACTTGACCGGGGCCCGCGACGCTGCTAACCGTACAACATTAGTTCTGGACACGGTCGACCACATCCACTGCCGTGATGTGTTATGCGTGCCGTACGCGTATAATTCAAAAACAACCTGACGATTTGTCGTCTCTTTGGACTGAATATTCACCAGAATAACGTTTGAGATTGTCTGTAAATCACGAAGAAAGTTGCGGTAGGACTGTTGATGCTCATCTAAAAATGTTATCATGAACATAATACTTTGAGTCCTTGGATAAAACGCAGCTCTTTTTTCACACAAACGTCGCAGACCTACCACTCATCAGAGCCGTGTTGCCTGGCGTTTTCAGCTGGCCAGTTGCAGTATCCGTGTTTTCGCTGGTCTCTTTTTCGGGCAGTTGGGGCTCAAATTTATACGGAAGAACAGCTCAGAGGTCACCGTGTCCTTGTTCAATATACTCATCCAAAAATTAAGCAATGGGAAGGAATATCAATCTCCGCGAGTCTTTTACAAAATGTTGATTTAATTCACTGCTTGACTGCGAGTCACACGTGCTGCTGGGGCGGGTGTGGCAGCAGTAAACAGTCTTGTATAAACGAGTCCTGTTTATTACGTCACCCTTTTTCTGATTTTACGAAGAGTCCGACGACTGTTGATTTCAAATATGCGCTCGCCGACCAACAAATTACTCGATGAATTTCAGTTTTATAAACATATAAACGCACATTAGAAAAGAATGGGAGTTTGTCATTATGCTATATATGGGTCTACTCTACAATATAAAAATATAAAAAACAAAACGATTTTCAGCATTCCACAACCTCTTTAACATCAAGTTTACTAGTCACACCTTCATTCAAGTTGTGAGAGTTTTGTTCCTACTTATTGTTGCAGATGGCACGTAATTTTGCAATAAATACATTTCTGAAATAGCCAACTTTGATGGTGATACCAATGGAGGTCAAGCATTGCTTAAGACACCCCCCAAAAACCCCTGCTTGCATATATCCACAAGTCTGTGTCATATAGTTGCTCTGGTCACTCATTCAGATCATGTCTGTGCCTGCTGCTCAGAAAAAAAGAAAACAAAATTCTATCAGGAAAACTAACAGTCAGTGAAAAAGGCAAATGAATTTCTTCATGTTTATATCAAATTTCCTTTTTTTTTTCTCCATGAAATATCAGGAATGGCCTACGTCCCATCCCCCAGTCTGAGTTTGGTCTAGCTGTGCTGTATGCATCCACCAAGGTCCACTGTAATCCCAGAGTGGCTCAAGGTAAAGGACATTCCCGTTAATATCATTGTTGGATTGACATTGTTAAGTTATTCATGTATAAGTATGGGCTCTGTGCACAAAGTACCCCCTCAACGGTAAGAAAGGGAGAGATGGGGAGGCCACTGGGAAAAACAACGCATTGCCGACGATGCCTGATGCTCTGAATGCAAAGACATCATGGCTTCTTAAAAAAAATTTAAAAATTGGTTGTTCCTTTTTTTGTGCTAAATGCGTGCGAACCAGTACAAGTACGTAGTGTGTCCCATCCACTTGGTTCTCGAAAGTGGTAACAAAGCACCCTCTCTTGTTTGCGCACGGAACCATACAGGTTGCAGTAGTGTCAACTTGGTACTTTTACAAGGTACGACAAGAAAGAAGGTACATGTACTATTCATAAGATGGAATCTGCATCGGGGTGAGGCAAATTCCATCTTATGAATTAAAATCAGTGTTAGGTTTTGTCCTTCACGGACGTATAAACACTGTATACTCAGTGTGTTACATCCTGAGTGAAAGTTGGAAAAAAAATCAGTCGGGTGGGACTCGAACCCACGACATCCTGCTTTCCAGTGCAGACGTCTTACCACTCAACCACCAAGCTTGCGGGATCGATTAGCTGATGTGTGGATGTAAATGATAAGATAGAAGGAAATTTTAAAGACAAAAACAAGCGAGTGAGTTGTAGTAGCAACTATGACATTGTGTATCTGATATCCTTTCATGTTTCAGCTGGCCTGACCTTCATTCATCCAGTGGCCGCTCCCTCGCTCACAACTCAAGACGTGTTAGCTTCCGAGACTCAGCTGTCTGAGATGGCTAGGCCCCACCCTGCCACGAGAAGCAAGCCAAATGCATCCAAGAGTGCCCTAGAGTCCATTGACCAGAAGGAGAAGACAGACAAAATTGCAGACAAATCGGGGCATACTCCATCCAAGAAAAGGTGAAATGAAATTGTAATATCGTTATAAGTGAATACATAGCTGTTCAAGACACCAAGGTGGAACGTTAGCTATGGACTCAGTGCACCAATAGTAGATGGTGCTTTTTGACTACTTCTGAGAGCCCAGTGGACGGGCAACACCACGTGTGTGCACTGATTCGCATACACATGACAAATTTTAATCTGAGTGTGTACAAAGCCATAATGTCTTTGTGTGAGTGTCTCGCATCGTTGTCAATGCCTTCGAAAGTCCTTCCCAGTGGTCTCTCCAACTCTTCCGTTGTAACCATTGAGGGGGGGGGGGGTACTTGTGCACGGAGTCCATAGTGGACAAGTTCCAATCAACTTCTTTTCTATTTTCTACTTTCAAAGGTTGCGAGATGATGACACAGCCAACTTTACCTCGCCAGCCAAAGTCCTTAGGAGGGAACCGGGCAAGTCAAACAAACCTCCCTCAACACCAGAGACTGTGCCACAGACAGCAAGAACCAACGGCGGTCCTGTCCCTGGAACATCTCCAGAGCTGCCGTACATAGGCAAGCCAGCATCCCGACTCGGGGAACAACGGCCCGGTGGGTTTGTGGACTGCAAAGACAAAGCACAAGAGAGTAGCAAAGTCTCATCTGATGCAAAGAAACAAGACAACGTAGCAGTATGTACTCGGAATCGGTTGAGCAGAAATCCTCTGAAGGGTAGGAAGAGATACAAAACAGCTGGCATAGACGACTCAGCATACCCTGGGTCTTCTATAGATGATGACATTATCTCACCCTCGGAAAGGATAAGTGAGGGTAGATCGAAGATCAAGAAAGAGATTGAAAGTCCTAATTCGCATCGGGGAGATCCAGCATGTACTTACCTTGACCCAGTCAAGGAGACTGTCGAGTCCATCATTGATGAGACTGAGGACAGTGTGATCCCCCCATCAGGGGTCAGTGTGAGAGGCAGGAGGTTGGGTGGTAGAGTACAGGATTTGGTTGTTATGGAAACTGATGAGGTCAGAGAGGATGAGGATAGAGGAGCGGAGCAGGGGATGTGGAAGAAGAGAACCAAGAAGTCTAGACATACAGAGGAGGTAGATAAAGTCAATTTCAGTAATGTTTCATCATTGCCTGTCGTCTGTTTATCATAAATAACACTCAAAACTGGAAGACTTTAGGACGAAACATTCCTCATTTCTGTTTTACAGGACATCACGATAAGCAGCACTTTCAAATATCTTCTCTAGAGATATCATTTTCTGTTTTTGGTGGATCCGAAGGACTCCCCAACTCTCCCACTGATTGACTGCGTGAATCACTGACTGACTGACTGACTGAATATTACTTATGTCCCAAATTGAGGCATTCAACAAAGAAAACCTATTCTTGTTAATAAAAGTCTTATACAGGGTGAGTAAAAAAAATGAAATCCAAATGTCCTGAACATTGTATTGGTGAAGTTCTGGGTGTAGCACTTTCAAAATCTAGGATATGAAAGCCCAATTCATAAGCTTTCTTTTAGTACAAGAATCATTCAAATCACTCATGTAATTTTTAAGTTACAAAATTTAAAACACAACCAACGTTTTAAAGTCCTGTCCACAGATAACAAAAAGGTAAGTGTTCTTTCAGGAAAACGAAAACAAATCACATAGGGATGTGTGTGAATTGTTTTCATTTTGTTAAAAGAACGCACACCTTTTTTTGTGATTTGAATGATCCTTGTACTAAAAGAAAGCTTATGGATTGGGCTTTCATATCCTAGATTTTGAAAGTGCTACATGCAGAACTTCATTAAAACATTAGTCCTGACATTTGGGTTTTGTTTTTTTACCCGCCCTGTATGTAAGAAATTGCAGCTAATACTGGAAGTGGCAATCTGCATGGAGCGATTTTCATGAAATCAAAAGAAGTGAAACAAAATTAAGACCAAATCATAATTTCATTGTTGAACACTAGGATAACCAAGTGAATGATGAGATGAATGCTGATTCCAGCTCTAGGAGAACATACCCAGCCCAGGTCATACCTACAGGTTACATCACCGCTAACAAGACAATCAAGGTCAGTAGATATCAAAGTGGAATGATGTGCATGTGTGCTGGGATAACAGGCTTATCAATCTCCTACAGTTAAAGCATAGCTGTGTCAAGTACAGTCGACTCCTGTTATAACGAGCTCGGTCATAACGATAACCCGGATGTAACGAGCACATTCTCCCAGTCCCGATCAATTTGTGTACATTACTATGGGGAAATATTTGGTTATTACGTGCACGGACATAACGAGACTTCGGCTATTACGACGATTTTGGCTGACCCAATGCGAGGAAAAGCATTGTTCTCAACCCATTTACAACGACATCTTTTCAAAACTACGGGCATTGCAGCTTGTCAACGACAGACCTTTTGTCCCGAAACGGGTATCATGCTCCCGTCTTCCAATTCAAGCAACACACTTAAGCTTCACCCATCAATGTACCTTTGTAAAGACTTCAACCCAACGTTATTTTGTCTCGCCGATCTTTATAAATAAATTCAATGGGACTGTGATAATCGGCGCAGTGGACCGCTGGTCTAGTCGCTAATCCCCCGCTGCGGTTTCCCTTAGCGTGACCAGGTTTGAAGTTTGCTTACGACTGCGGACCACGTTTCTATATTATTACAAACTAACAATAGGGGGTGCTCAGGAGTTAAGTGTTAACATTGTAAGGAATAGCCTTTAGTACTACCGCCCGAACATCGGGTGCGTAATTGCTCCCTATTGTTGGCTTGTGGCTATAAAAAAAAATACGAAGTAAAGAACACAGCATCCCAAAACAAACGGCTCTTTTCAGAGCCACCACAACTTCCAAAAAGAGATAATTCAGTCTGTCTTAAAAAAATAAAGTTTAAAACATACCGTGGTTCCCTCCCCCAAAAAAGAATCCGAAGAATAAAAAAATACAAATCTTAAACAAATTAAGAACCCCTCCGGCCCCGCCGAAAAAACAATCCCAATGAAAACAGGTTTCCAAGATCTTCAAACGCCCCACCACATATACATTGTACAAATTTTAATCCAAAATTATTACTTTTGTTTATTTATTATTATTATCTTAAAAGAATCCCTCCCGACAAACAATAATCACCAATTGCTGCGAAATTACACATGGAGACACTTAAACAAGGAAGTAATATTAGCGCCCTCTCTTGCCCGATTCCAGCAAATGCAAAACGAAAGCAAAATGTCACTTGGCACGAATGTGCGCTATAGTTAACCAAAATAATTACAATTTCAAAGAATCCCTTCAGAAACAATAATACCCAACTGTTCCAAAAAGTCAACAACCAAAAGGCATCTAAGGATCAGGAGTCATTAAAACCCGGAAGTAATGCATGTATTGGCGCCCTCTCTTGCCCGATTCCAGCAAATGCAAAATGAAAGCAAAATGTCACTCGGCACGATTTGTGCGAGTGACCTACTTGCCTGATTCTTCTCAGCGATGATGCCTTTTCCTCCGGATTCAGGTCCTCAAATATTGAACAATGTTCCCTTAAAGGTATTTTATTTATTTCATTTATTCATCACCATCAGTTAAATATTTAATATACATTATTAACAGACATACATACCAACAAATGACCATCTTTTCATGTCTTCGGACGTGCGTTACACGATTAAAACACGCATGCACATGTACCGTACCTTGTGCACAACGAATGGGGAAAACTGCGCTCCGGTTTTAGCGAGGTTCCGGCTATAACGACAGTATTGTGAAAGTCCATCGGACCTCGTTATAACGGGAGCCGACTGTATTAACAAAACAGTCACAGCTAGTCAATCCTGCTTGATGGTAGCCTCTCGCCAAGTCCATCGTGGCTTAACTTGTCAGCATTAGACAAAGCGGCGAAGCCACGAAGCAACTGGAGCCGGAGACGACACAGGCGAGTGGCGAAGCCACAAGGCCTTTTCCAACTTGTCAAGAATTTCTTATGTTTTTCAAAAGAGTAGCAAAATTCCAGCCAATCATTAGAATTTTAGGGTGCGCGTGGCTTCTACCCGGACGTGTGCGTGCGCCCCGGATGGTGGCACAAAATTTAAAAACAAAAAATGCGAGTCACCTCACGTGCGCGCTGAATTAGTCTTCGCTCCTGACGCTCGCAGCTTTAAGCCATGATGGCCTTGGCAAAAGGCTAGTTTGATGGAGGCAGAGAGCATTCAAATCTTAAAAATAGTCGCTCAGTTGATTTTGACTGCTGAGAGGGAGGGTTTGATCAGCCAGAAAGGGAGGGTTAATGGGGATACCTAAACAAGATATGCAATTTTTCAGTATTAAATTTGTTATTTGTCAAAATACAGTCGGAACCGACAAGCCCTCAAGACCCCAGCCTGCCCGTCGACGTTGCTGTGGTTGAACAGGTAGCCTTGGCTATCAGGAGACCTGCGGTGAATGGAACTCGCTCAACAGCTGGAAGGAAAGGAGTCAACAACTTCAAGAAGTTCAAAAAGGTAAGGAATTCATCCGGAATTGCATCTGTGCTTTCTCATGGGAAAAATATAGCCAGAAGGTTACTGCAGGCACGGATTACCCCCCCCCCCCCCCACAACACACCCCCCCCCCCGACACTTTTTTTACAGCAATTTTCTAATAGTTATAATAAAAAGATGACATTCTGCCCGTCCGTAACAATCGGACATAACATTTGACGGGCCTGACTCTCCCCCCTTCAAAAATTCCCGGATCCGCCCCTGTAATGTGCCCATATCCTCAAAAATCGGTAAGAAGGTTTTGCAGGATTTTACAGGAATATAGAGCCTAGCCTCTATCACTTTACATGGATCTTGATTTGCTGCTTGAAATTATTGTGAAGTATTTTTAAAGCAAACCACAAAGGGAAACTGACCAGGTGCAGTATCATAATTTTTACAAATGGAATAAAGAAATTGACTTGAGCGGGGTTTGAACCTGTGACCTCTGGATTACCATTCTGGTGCTCTATCAACTGAGCTATCCAGCCCTGTGTTGGCGGTTCTCCATTTTGTCAATGTCTTTTGAACAAAGACATTGACAGGAGCGATGTTGACACAATGGCATTGACAAAATTGGGAATCGCCATCATGGGCTGCAGGGCTCATTTGATTGAGCACTGGAACGGCAATCCGAAGGTTGCAGGTTCAAACCCTAATCTAGTCAATCTCAACTGTAAGAAATTTGAAGTACTAAGAATGGGTCAGTGCTTCTTGCACACTGGGTGTTATGCTGTCTTTTTCTTTTAATTTTAAATTTGTCAAATATATCATATAAAAAGTTGATACTATTATTAATTGACTGATGAGTGATAATATTTATCTGCTTGACTGTTCGTTATTTCATCAACTACTAGGCAAGCTATGCGGGCCAGCACAGCATGCCCCGCATCATCGGTGGCTCTGACCTAGAGCATCATGGGATTGGACACATCCGAGAAGCAGAGGAGATGATGGAACGAGAGCGAGAGGTGAGGGGGTGGTGAATTGCATCATGGGAAGGATTTAAAGCGTAAACCTCATGTTGAACAAAAGCCCAGAAAGACAATTCTGTGAAGTCTTAACAAAGGATACTCTTTGTATGCAAAACTTCAATTGTAACTCTTTGTCCTGGTTTTGTTTGTCTTGTGACCAGACACTACGTAAACGACATAAAGAAAAGGATCTGGCCGATCAACTGTTTGACTGGGACCCAAGACCCTCCAAACGACGCCGCTAGAAACTCGCACACTTCTAAACTTTCCATAGGTAAAATATTTTGCTTTTAATCATAACACAGGTTTATGTTGATGTATAATGAATCTTAACACAAAACAAACAGACAAGCAAACATTTAGCTAAAAGGTTAATGATGACGAGGTAAAAGGTTTGACCTCTGCCCCCTTCCATAGCAACCAAGATGGCCGCCACGTATGTCCCAGCATGCTCTGCATCATGCACCAATGAGGAAGTCCATTTCATTTTGTCGTGGTGTTATTCCCAGAGCAGACATTGCAATGTGTGAAGCGTGGAAGCTCCGTTTCAGAGACCAGAACTGAGCTCTTGGGATTTCACACAACAAGGGAAAGGGAAGGGGGAGGGTTTTTGTAGGATGGGTGGGTCTGAACTGTGACTGGGTGGCGGGCCTGATTGGGGGCTTTGGAAGCGCAGAGGATATGATAACATGGCAATGTCTGAAACCTTGCAGCTATTCAAAAGAATACAATCACTGACACTGATTTTTTACATTCTCATCAATGGAAACAATAACAACAGAGACTTAGAAAAGGCAGGAATTAATTCACATCTGCCTTGCAGTCATAATGGATACATTTTGAACGCTGAATTTGTTAAGATAAGGGAAATTTTTTCTTGCCCTGTTTTACGTTCAGTGTTTAATTTAAAAAAAAATTGTTTCAATATTAGGTTTTGGCCTTCACCGACGTAAAACGCTGTATACTCGGTGTGTTACCTTCCAAGTGTAACAAAGGAGTTGGAAGTTCCTTCTGAAAGTCAAAGTTAGAAAATAATCACTCAGGTGGGACTCAAACCCATGACCTTCTGCTGTCTAGTGCAGACGTCTTACCACTCGACCACCCAGCTTGCAGGATCGGTTGGCTGAATAGTTTAATTGTGGTACCCACTGCTACATCAGATTCGAACCAGCCAACCGATCCTGCAAGCTCAGTGTTCGAGTGGTAGGACATCTGCACTAGAAAGCAGGAGGGCATGGGTTCGAGTCTCATCCGAGTGATTTTTTCTAACTTTCCCTTGGGAGGGAACACACTGAGTACTATACAGTGTTTATAAGGTGGTGAAGGTCAAAACCTATGTTGATTTACATCTCCCCGACGCAAATTCCATCTTATGAAACATTTGGATGTTGGGTTGTTTGTTTGTTTTTTGTTTGTTTTTAAGAAATCAAGCTCCCTGTTTACATCAAGATGTAGGAAAGGGAAACAAAATGGGAGTGCATTGTTATGTTTTTCAGGAAATTAAATTTTTGAGACTACTTTTTTTGGTTTTTTGGTTTTTATTTGTAGATCCTTTGCCGGAAGAACAAGAGTCTATCGATATCTTACATGGTTGCACAACTCAACAGAGCACCAAGTTCCACAAACATCAAACGTCCTGCCGCACAAGATCATATCAATTCCAAGAGGAGCAAAAATCACTTTAATTCCTGTTTTGCCACACAAAAAAATGACCAAAGAATATTGTGGTCCACTACACTCTAATTTCAATCCACTGCCCTTAAACTAAATGGGAGTGTTAAATCTTAGCAGGGAGGATGGGCGAAGAGACTTACGTTTTGCTGTTCCATGTTCATTGCTCATCTGTCAAAATTGTCTAAATTTGAGAATCGGGATCATATCGATTTCAAGAGGAGCAAAAATCAAATCAATTCCTGTTTTACCCAAAAAAAACCTGACCAAAGAACCATTGTAGTACACTGCACCCTAATTTCAATCCACTGCCCTTAAACTAAATGGGGGTGTTAAATCTTAGCAGGGAGGATGGGCGAAGAGATTCGTTTGCTGTTCCATGTTCATTGCTCATCTGTCAAAATTGTCTAAATTTGAGAATCAGTGCATGCGTGTACCATTTATGGGGTTGTTTTGCCTTGCAACAAGAGGGTAGTAGGATGGTTCCCAGTCCCAGTTTATTTTACTCTCCCTATCCAACATTGGATAGTGTGGGCCTAGTGGTTACGGTTCCAGACTCGTGATCACAGGGTCAAGAGTTCAAATCCAGCTGCTGGTCATACGTTGTGTCCTTTGGCAAGCCATCTCACCCCCACTTGCCTCTCTCCACCCAGGAGTACAAATGGATACCGGCATTAACTTGGGAGTGACCTGTGATTGGACTGACATTCAATCCAGGGGGAGTAGAAATATTCTCAGTCGCTTCATGCCACTTAAAGTGGAGATAAACACCGGCCTGATGGGCCATATTGGCTCTTGATAGACTTTACTTTTTACATAAGCATATGGGCCTGAACAAATGAAATACAACTACTGACTCACTGAGGACTCACTAGATTCGCTTGCCACATATTTAAAATTGTTTTAGTTTAATGGATTGGGATATTTCTGGTCGATGGGCAGTTGAAGGTGGACAAGTTGTTCCCATAAGGGAAACTGAAAATGAGGTTTGATCAGGGAAAGAATTTAACAAGTGTTAAAGGAGACATGTACTTAAGTTTTCCAAGGAACATATTTTGTGCAACTTTCTACTAAAATGTAGGAAAATTAGTTGACGTCTCATTTTGGTTAATTTAATTGAAAAGTGCACTTCTACGTATTTACATTTTTCCATGCTTTTCCGTACAACTGAGGGCGCTGTTGCTGTAATGTCATTTCAGGAAGATACCGGTCAGTTTATGGGTTTCTGTTCAAATTGTGAACCAAAAAAATTGCTCACGAAAAATCTGTGAGAAAAGTTTACTCACTGGCTTCTGCCATGTACTAACACAACAACAATCACCAACGAACAGAGCTTTTAAGACAGCAAAATATCCACAAATCTGTCAACTTTTGGTGCCGAAGTAGCTGTAACATTGAGGTTTCTGCCTGAAATGACATCACACTTTTGCTCATGAGTGTGGACATTTTCATTAGCATAAAAACCAATAAAAGGCACCACAATACCCTTGAAAATGTTAAACGAAAAAAACGAAAATCAGGGTAAATTGGACGCAGGTGCATTTTCAGTGACTGAATTAAAAAAAAATAATACTGCATGCGGCCTTTAAAAATACAGCAGTGCTTTTTTGTATGCAAACCGTTGGGATAGGTTTGGTTTTCAGTGATGTTTGACATGGTGAGCTTTTGTGCCAAGTACAGTCCGACAGTCACAAAAAGGGCTTGTCCTTTTAAAAACATTTTGCAACGCAGAATGAGCGCCAAATTAAATCTGATTTTCAATTTGTGTTTGTCTCCAATACATTATACAACCTGCAATAATGAAACTGTTGTAACAAGTCTCCTGACGTCTAGGCATGGGCAGAGCATCCTGTCATCCGTAAACGTTGAGTTCCCGTCGACCTCACGAACTCACAAAAGAGATTTGTCATACGGTGCTTCCGTAAATCTTTTATCTTGCAAGTTTAAAAGAAAGTGCTGTTTTCTTACAAATGTTATTACTGGTATGATGATAAAATTGTCACCAAACGCTTTAATTTTACAAAGACAATAAATGTATGTGAACATTTCTAAAAATTGGACGAAATACAGTCAATGATCTTTGGATTTTTGGATTATTAGAGGTAGAGGTTTTAAGCCCATCCTTTGATTCCCACGATTATATGAAATACGTTTCCCAAGAAGATATCATAATTGTATTGACAGGTGCGTACCGATTCATTTGCACAAGGGGCCATCTAGTGGTGTAAGGAACCGTAAAAATCCAGGATAGGGCACGCTTGCGCGCTTGCCCCCCCCCCCCCCCCCCCTTAAAAAAAAATGGAAAAGGGGAAAAGAAAAAGGAGAGAGAATAGGAGAGATTCAAATTAAATATGTAAATGTTAATTTAAAACGTGTTTGTAAATAAATACGCATATAAACGTTTAGGAACAGCGCATCCAAGTGTCAAATCATGCCCCGACCCCCCCCCCCCCATCTGCTTTTCGATTTTTGCGCAGTTGGTGACCTTTTCAACGTTTCTAATGAGCTTTGCCCTCTCTAGAACAAAATCCTGGCGACGCACATGATGAAGGCATCTGGCTATTTTTTGGTCATCTGAGAGGCACAAAGGCCAAAATAAAAGTCTTTTCCCCCAAGGGGATTGCAAACGCCCAAAAGCGAAAAAATGAGTTTTTCATAAAAAAAAATTAGATGATTGCGGGGACAACAACAGGAGACGTACATACAGCGTGTCCCAATAAACATTGTGCACGATTTGCTCAAAAGGTGGTTACTCAAATTTTATATTATTTTAAAGCCTATGGTCTGGTTTATAATTGATGAAAATATCAAGAATATCCATCAATGCAAACCAGAGATATCGTTGATTTTGTAAGGCTATATTATTTTCCTCCTGCACAATTAGAATCGTCAAAGAACGTCAAAAGGGTATATACAACGTTGACGCTCGAGTAATTTGCAATTAGAGCAGTTACCACGTGCTTTTGAATAATCTTCGATGAATCAAATAAACCCCTTCTATAGCTTTGCCGTTTGTCCTTTTATTTATTTACAAATGAAATCTTTTTACATAAAGGCCATGCAATATTTACCCAATAATTGGTATACAAGCAAATACTAAGTGTGGACATTGCATTGTGCAGCGCAGGTCGAGAAATACATAGTCTTACCGTAAATTCAAAGATTGTTGGATTTTCTTGATTTTTTCCACCAATTATAAACAAGACCATAGGCTTGAAAATGCTATAAATTTGATAAGCTAGTCTGACCAACTTTTGAGAAAATCAGCAATTTCTAATTCATGCACAATGTTTATTGGGACACGCTGTACATGGTACAACATGCGCAATACGAACTCTACGTCTGCACTATTTTTGAGAGTCGCCCCGAAATGTTTTCAATTATTATTACTTTTTCTGGCAATATAACCGTAACGGTTGTTTAATTAAAAATGAGACACTATTAAGCGAAAACAAAATCCACGAATGTTTAGTTACATGTATAGTTACTTGATTAATTTTGAATTAAATGCCGCCCGACAAAAACAATGAGTGGCAATAGTGGAGGCGCAAAAGTATACTCAATAAACTCATTTATTTAGGGTTGCAGATACCCAAAATAGACCATAGTTTCTTCGCTAAAAGGTAGTTGCTCATACAAAACAAAAGTTCGTTAGAGAAGAAAAGAATCCAATTTGTTGAAGAGCACGAACAGAAGTGCCAAATATTTATTTTAAAAAGCACAAAAGTGGGCACGGCAAGGCATAATAAATGGTGTATTTGAAAGCTTTTATTGTACAGTACATCGATATAACATCCGGGACTGTGCTAATCGTGACGTCACGCGAGGTTAGCCGTTTGACTACCGCCATTTTCTGACAACGTCGTTCCGCTCACAAATAAATCGTTCCAAAATGCCTCGTCCTAGAGGCCCTAAACCGAGATATCGGCCAGAAGGGCAAGATGGTAAGTTGTTCAACTATTAAAGCTAATTGTAACGTCAAAATCGACCGCGGTATGAGATTGGAAAACGTGAAAGTAGCAACGAATCTAGGCCCTTACAGCGATGTAGTCCCTAGTTTTAGTTTTTATGTTGTACATGAACAACAGGTACAGTAGTGGTCATGCATTATTTTTCGCATCGGCTTGTACTGTGTGCGTGTCACGGCGATGTCTTTGTGCGGAACGATACGCACGTCCCAAATGTTTTCAAGATATTCTTGCGAGGGTGAACTGTCCAAAAGTTCATCAAATCACCATCTTTGTCGTCGGGAAGTGCAGTCGACAATGCTATGGAATTCCGTGTTTTTGAATGGTGAAATACTGAGGTGATTTATGATTTTGAAACGTAGTTCATGCCTTTGTTTGAAGTAGTCATACACAGTGCATAATGGTGCATGAGGCGTTGTTCAAAATGGCCGTGGCATTGTTGCGGATGTCTGCACACTCTCACGGCGCGGCCTCGCCGCGCCGCGCCAGTGCGATGTGCCTACCGGTCGCGCGGTCGTTGGTTTGTGGTTTGTGCACATACTACGCACGAGTGACGGGCACAAGTGACAAGGCAATAATGGGTCAACCATTTGTTTTTCCTGTCATTGCCTGTATTAAAGTTTGTGCAATCATTTGTGCAATATTATTTCAAAAATAAACTGAGCAGTTTAAATCAGATATAAAAAAGGACTAAACGTAGGGCCTAGCAATTTTTAACAGGGGAAATTGAGAATGAGACTGAATCACTGGGTGATTGATAACTTTTTTTTTAAAATGTGTTGTTTTTTTATATTTGGAACCTAACCATCATTCAGGTATTTAGTTTAATTAACTAGGCCGAGTAAACAAAAATAATCTTGCCCTGGCTTTTACGAATAAGGGGCCCCCTTAATTGTGCCCATATACATGCTTGTTTTCTTTTCTTTGCTGATAATAAGTTGTGTCCAGTTGTGTCAAAAGGACACCATTTTGATGGAAACCAATAAAAATATATTGACAATATATTTGCAAAATAGGCCTTTATTGCAAACGAATTAAAAAGAAAAGAAAAAAAAAGAGGTGGGCAAGGAAAAAAGAAGTGGGTGGGGATGGGATGCCTTATTTGGTACAACCTAGCCTCGGCTGTAGCTTTACCAAAACAAATTTCCTAAACATTAAGAAAAGAAAGTGGTTGTGATGCCAGAATTCGAGTCTGTTTTTTTATGCCTTACATTGTTTTTGTTCTTTTCTGTTCCAAGTCATCAGTTACCTAATGTTTTTTTCTTTTACAAATAATGTTGCCCATTAACCCTAACAGTCCTGAATCCTCCAATTTCAATACGATTGTAGCTGAAAGTCATACAAGGAAAAGGACAAAGATAGGCACAAGGGGCCGTTTAAGGACAGGATGGTCAAATATAATGTGAAAAATATATTTATACTACCACCTCACTAACTGATTTAAGACCGATTGTTCACCCAATAAAAATCCATTGCATAGGTGAAATGTGGCATTCAAATTGACAAACAACCTGACGAAAACTAAAAACCATTGTCTTCATATTGCCTAATGCTGGAATATATTTCCCTATTGGGTACACTTTTCTTATTTTTGGTGAATTAAGGGACAGAAAAATGCGATCACCTTCCATACAGTTGTCTGGCTAGGCATGGTACATTATGTAAATTGCCAAAGGTACTTTTAATATCTTGGTGTTGGTGTAAGTTATTTATTTGAAGTACAGGATGCAATACATTCGTTTAACTGCTGTGTTAAAATACAAGCTATTAAGTAGGTCAACCATTCACCGATTTGGTTGCAGGTCTGGAAGACAATGTGGGCCCCAGGAGCCCAGGCACTGGTCCCTACCAGTGCGAGGTACCGACGTGTTCCCAGACGTTCAGCCGGTGGAATCAACTCAAGCGCCACGAGCGAAACCATGCCAGCGACAAGCCACACCGATGCGACAAGTGCCCGTCATCGTTCAACCTGGAGTATAACCTGATGCTGCACAAGGCCACGCACACCATGGGCAAACCGGAGTGTCCAGACTGTCAAAAGACGTTCTCACGGGTGGCAAGTCTGAAGGCCCATATCATGCTGCATGAGAGGGAGGAGAACGTCATGTGTGCCGAGTGTGGAGATGAGTTCAGTCTACAGGTGAGCTTTGTGGATCTGGAATAACCTTAACACCCAAGGCATAGGACCAAAAATTTTAATGATACAAAAGGATTTTTTTTTATTTTTACAATAGTTCTTAGTATTGAATGATACTTAAAAAAGGATGTACTCTAAAAAGTAGACTTAAATTGAGAAAATAGCATTATCATATTTTTTTTTTCCATTTCCAGGCTCACGTCCCTTAAAAGATGAAAACTTCAAAATACGTGCTTTAAAAAATATATATTCTATGCCAAACAGACCAAATCAAAACGAAATGAAACAAGACAAAAATGACTGAATGTAGAGGTCCTAGTTCTAGACATACTTAACATAAAAGCTTATTTCAGCATTGTATTAATGTACAAATGTGCATAAACATGTACACACGAGTACCCTTTTCTAGCAGTGGTTATAGTACAAATTTTCACCCAGATGACTGCATATAACATTTGAGAAAGAAGAACTGATTAAGTTTATAAGTAAGGAGCAAGTGAACAATCAGGCTATTTCAACTTTAATTATTGCACTAACAAATTTATAAGGTAAGTTTAGTGACATCCGAGACCTCTTCAAAGATCCCACTTAACAATTATTCACAGTGTGTGCCAACATTGTTCATTATTCTGGCCAAGTTTGAGAAAGGTTTTGAACTGTCCTGCAATCCTTACCCTAACCAGAGTCAACTTGACAAACACCTTCTGGAGCACCAAGAGGAGGCTTCGGGAACCCTCTATGAGTGCAGGTTGTGCAACAAGGAATTTGTGGCCCAGATCCTTCTCAAAGAACACATGAAGAACCATCAGAGGATGATCAGGTATATCTAATAAACCAGTAATTGTTTTCTGTACATTCTAAAAGTTGTTAAATATGTTCAACTTTTTGGGATTTTATAGTCCTAATACATTAACCAGTTTGCGCCGGATGATGTGCATACACGCAAAGGTTTTGCAGTATTCGGAACGGATGACGGATAAACACGCAGGGAGCGAGGCCGGAAATATCTGTCAGGGACCTGCTCGCAATGAGCGAGGCTGGAAAAATGAGTGTGCTGCCCGAAGGTGATGGCTTCAACTCGCCTGGCATTGAGGTCGAGTGAAAAGTAATCCCGCACCTCGTTCTGTTCTTGTCAAAATATTCCGGGCGTGAACTGATTAAGGCAAGCAGCTTTCAAGTTGCTTATTAAAACAATATGACTGATTTTCCTGTTTAAAGGATTAATTTTGGTCAATGTTCATTGATAAAATTTATGAAATGGCAAAACTAAAATCTTGCAAAGTTCTCTGGCCATTCTATTCAGACTCATGCTATGATGACTCCTTGCTACAGGAAAGTCACTCAATTTTTGTTCTGGCACTCTTACATACCTTAAGAAAAGATGAAAGTCCATGGCCAAAGTTTTAATTCCAAAATTTAGTTTTGAAATATTTGCTGAGAAAAATTTTGCAAATATTCTCTGCTGAGCTGTATGTAATGAGCAGAGTCGACACTTGACTTTTATATACCTTATTCATCCTGTTTGTATTTGCTTTCATTTTTTTATGAAAAGGTCCCGGGTTTCCAGTGGGCAGACCCAGGCCAGAAGAGCTGTGGACCGTAGCATGTTCCATCAGGAGTGTGATTTCTGCCTGAAGACCTTCAAGAAACCTAGCCAGCTTGTCAGGCACATGCGCATCCATACTGGTAAGAACAGAAAATTGGGATCAATGCCCATGAAGCTTACAAAAACACAGGTTACAAGACAAAATTGCATATGCATATTGGCCCTTTTGCTTTTGGATGGTCTCACCTGATAAATATGTAATTAAATTTGGTAAGCTGTATTTTCTACATACCAGCTCTATTAAATATGGTCCTAATCAGTAGAGGGCTCGTAAATGATGAGTAAATGTGTAAATATTCATGCTAAGGCTAATATGTGTAATGTGATCAATTTGCTGGAGTCATCATTGCTATATTGTAAATCCATTACATCTTGTTCTTGTCTTTCAGGTGAAAAACCATACAAATGTAGTGTCTGCACAAAGTCGTTCAATCAGAAAGGCTCCCTCCAAATTCACATGACAAAACACACTGGGGACAAGCCCCACAAGTGTGAATTCTGCCCGTCAGTGTTCTCTCAGAAGGGTAACCTACGGGCCCATGTTGCTCGGGTGCACGATCTGAACAAGGAGGTGGCTATGTACCCATGTGAGGCATGCTCCTGTTCCTACCGCAAGCTTGGCAGTCTCAATTCACACATCACCCGTGTGCACGGTGGGCTTGTAGCCACGGATAAGGAGAACGACGCAACATCCGATCTTGGCGAAGGCACATCAAACCTGCAGCTTGACGGGCCAGCACTGTCATCCAGCATGGTCAGTGATGTGATCCAACAGTTGCTGGAGCTCTCTGAGCACTCTGAGGAGCATTCATATGCCCATCAGCAGATACAGCAGATTGCCTTGGGAGCCGGTGGTAACATCACCTCCGACATCTTACAACAGGCTCTGGAGAACTCTGGGTTAAGCAACGACAAGCAGGAAGGGTCTTCTGATGTGACATCTGCTAGTCGGCAGGTGGCGGTATTTGCAGAACTCCTGCAGAAGCAGAAGACACTACGCCTGAGACGTGGTCGCCTCCACTCCTGTAAATTTTGCAGCAAGACCTTCAAAAAGCCCAGTGATCTGGCAAGACACATACGAATCCATACGAGGGAGAGGCCGTTCAAATGCACGCAGTGTTTTCGCAGCTTTACCGTGAAAAGCACCATGACAGCACATCTAAAAACCCACACTGGCATTAAGGAGTACAAGTGCCATGTCTGCAACAAACTGTTTGCCACACATGGCAGCTTGAAAGTCCACCTGCGATTGCATACTGGAGCCAAACCTTTTGATTGTCCACACTGTGATAAGAAATTTCGTACAACAGGGCACCGTACCACTCACATAGCATCCCATTTTAAGGAAAACTCACTGCGCAGGGCCAAACCGCATCGACAGAAGCAAAAGCTTCCTCGCCAAGATTTAGATCTGCCAGATGTTCAGTTGCAGGAGCCAATTCTTATCACTGACACCGGATTGATTCAGCAACTGCCACGCAACAGTGCTATGTACAACAATGAATACATCGGCAATGGGCTACAGCAAGGAGGCAGCAGCATCGACCGGCCATACAAATGTGCCTACTGTGCCAAAAGCTTCAAGAAGTCCAGCCATCTCAAGCAGCATGTTCGCTCACATACTGGCGAAAAACCATACAGATGTCTCCAGTGTGGAAAGTCCTTTGTATCCTCTGGTGTCTTGAAATCTCACAGCCGTACCCATTCTGGCATCAAATCTTACAAGTGTTTGCTTTGCGCCTGCACTTTTACCACAAATGGCAGCTTAAAGCGACACATGTCCACACATAGTGAAGTTAGGCCATTCATGTGTCCTTACTGCCAGAAGACCTTCAAGACATCTGTAAATTGTAAGAAGCACATGAAGACACATAAGCGGGAGTTGGGTCTACAAGCTCTGGAACAGGTATCTGCTGCAGCCCAGGAGACAGACGAGAATGAAAACCCTTCACAGACACAGCAACTGCAGGCTCAGCCAACATCTCAACAGAGTATCGTGGATCAGTTGGCTGCTGTGGGTGCAGTTTCAGTGCAGAACCAGGCATCTTTGCTGGGTCAGCTGAGCAGCCAGACACAGGAAGTCCTCAGACAGCAGGCTTCTCTTGAATCATCAGACACGAACCTCTCTTCACAGGCGTTGGCGCAAGGTGCACTCGCCCAGTCTAACCTGGATGCCTTGACTGCACAGGACACGCTATCTCAAGCAACTATTAACAGCCAGACGTTTCTGCTGACCCAGCAGCTGGCCAACTTGGCCAACAGCCAGACAGGATTGACCCAGGAGCAACAAATCAGCCTGCAGACGCAACAGATCCAGCAGCAGCTTGAGGCCATCACTGGCCAGTCGTCGGGTATCTTTCAGCCTAACGTTGTGGTCCAGCCAGATCAAATTCCCACGCAGACGGTCAATCAGCGAATGCGGCTTCTGCGTGCTGAGATGGAAGATGGTAAGAGGACGTATAGATGTGGTTACTGTAACAAGGCTTTCAAGAAATCCAGTCACTTGAAACAGCACATCAGGTCCCATACAGGAGAGAAGCCCTACACCTGCATTCAGTGTGGACGATCCTTTGTATCATCAGGAGTGCTGAAGTCCCACCAAAGAACTCATACAGGAGTTAAGGCATACGCATGTAACATTTGCAACACCAGCTTCACTACTAATGGGTCTCTCACTCGTCACATGACAATTCACAGTGATGTTCGTCCATTTGACTGCCCAAATTGTGACGAATCTTTCAGAACAGCCATTCACCTGAAACGCCACATCAGGGCAGCCCATGAGGAAATAGAGCGGAGTGCAGGTGCAGAAAACCGACGCACAAGAAATGTGGTAGTCTTCACAGATGAAGAGACCAAGGAGCTCAAGAAAACTCTGCCTCCTCGCAATGCCAGTGTGTCAGAGAAGGTTCTCATCCAAGAAGTCTTGGACAAAGATCGCATTAGTGAGATCCAGGACAAGAATGAGATCCTTGAGAAAGGGCCCAAGTTTGCCAACAAGTGTGATCACTGTCCCAAGAGTTTTAAGAAGCCCAGTGACTTGGTTCGACACATTCGCATTCATACTGGTGAGAAGCCATTCAAATGTGATGAATGCGGCAAGACATTCACTGTCAAGTCCACGCTGGAATGTCACATGCGTACACACAGGGGAGGGAAGAGTGTCACCTGTCATATCTGCAGAACTGTCTTTGCCACCAAGGGCAGTCTGAAGGTGCACATGCGTCTACATACAGGCGCAAAACCGTTCAAGTGTCCACACTGTGATGAACGTTTCCGAACCTCTGGTTCAAGAAAGATGCACATCATGGCCCATTTCAAGCCCTTGACGATCAAGAAGGTGGGCAAGGCCTCCCACAAATCAGCCACCACGAATGCAGATCAGCAGTACAACCTTGCCGAGTCCACTAACGCTCAAGCTGCAAGCAATTTATCAGTCGAGGAAACTGAACAAACTTTGCTTCAGCAGCAGCAACAGGCTTTAGGTGGCCAGGCTCAAGTCCTTCCTATCACGATTGCCGGCAATGAAGGCCTGACGTTTGGAGACGGTGGCATGGGAGGCACAGTCATGCAGGGACTAGAGGGGCTTCAGCTCCAGCTGACCGCCACAAATCTGGGACAAGGTCTGCAGCTGCAGGGGCTTGATCAGAGCATCACTGTACAGATAGATCCCAGTCTGCTTCAGCAACTCCAGCATGGCAGCTTAAATCCGATCATGCTGCAGGCTGGGGACTTGAACTTGGGCCAGATTGGCTTGCAGTTGCCGCAGAGTGATCAGGGTCTTGTTACCACAGCTCCAGAACAAAACCTCCCTCAGTCAGGCTTTACTCAGGTGGCTGATCCCCAGCAGCATCTGCTGGTGCGGATTGACCCCAGCATGCTGCAGGTGCCGGTAGACAACCCACCGTTGGTATCCAACACAACTGATTCCACACCAGTCACACTTGACTCAAGTCTGATAACACCAACCCAGCAACAAGAGCTGCCGATCATCCCTGTATCTTTTAGTGCTGGCTCGTCGCAGCCTTCAACATCGCAAGTCTTAATCCATCCCAACGTGGATCAAGCGTTGAATCTCAGCACTGTCAACAGTGGGGCCAGAGCACTGCCTGAGGATCTGACGCACCCTGCCCAGCAGCTGAACCAACCATTGCAGTCCCAGAAACGGCCACAGATGGCCATGTCGGATGTTGCGGGGGCTTTAGTTCAATCCACAACCCCCATGACATCACTGGTGACTACCCAGCCGTCCATCATCACCTCTCAGACTGATCCCATCATTAACGAGATGTTGCAGACTGTTCACGATGAGCGATCCCTGGCTCTGGGTGACTCGGCTCTCACTGCTGACCCATCCAGCGTTGGTCAGCAGACCTTCCAGCTGTCCCTAGGAGGGGAAACAATCAACCTCTCCCAGAACATTGTCCTGCAGACTGGAATTGGTGCCATTACCGGAGCCTCTAATCAGACCTCTCTCAGTCAGCCGGGAGAGGCCAGCACCAGCATGAGCCAAAGTACAATGGAGGTCCTGAAAGTGAACATTTATCAGGACCCAGAACAGGATGCATCAAGTAGAGAAGAAACACTAGATGAGAGCCCTGACGCATCTGAAGCAAAGCAAAGCACCATATCTGTGACTGAAGCAGCAGCATCCATAGGATCCCTGTACACATGCAATGCACAGGACTGCACTCTGGTGAGTTATGATAGAACCACATCTTTTGTTTATATTTCTGATAGTGATCCTTTGCAGGTCTTCACTTTAAAGGAAACATGCAGTGGAAATTCAGCTCACCTTTTTTTATGCTTATTACTATGTGTTACAACAATACATACAAGATCTTAATACTTGTTTTCATTGGAAGTGACAAGAAAGTGGTAATTTTTCAATTATTAGAAAATCCTTCCATCAATACTTCTATTTTGCTTTTGTCGCACAAGGAACTCCTTGTCAAAACTGCATATGAACAGTACGAAAATTAGTCCTTTGAAATTACCTACCAGAAAAGTTTTGAAGAAAAAATTGCCACTACTCCAAACAAGCTGTTTAACGTGATAAACAGGTAAAAAGTGGAACTTACTCCAAGAAAATGAAGAAAAGTTGGACATATATTTGTACACAAAGCTATGGAGACACTACTGTTCTGCCTTAAGTTGAATGACATCACGCTTTGGCTCATGAATATGGACATTTTCATTAGCATAAAAACTAAAATGTTGAAATTTCTCCCTTTTACTGCTACAAAGGAAGTGGGAAAGTCATAGTAACATGGCAAGAAAGCTGTTTGCAAAGTATTTATGTCGTAAAAATCCTATTACATGTTCCCTTTAAGGGGAAAAATCCACTTGTAGGTTAAAGTATTATTACATGGTCAAAACATTGTTACAGGCTTAATTTACCTTAAAAGTACTTTGTGACGTTTGTGACGTTTGTGCAGGGCTCACTTATTACATTCATTTTGACAACAAAATCTTGGCACTGATTGCATGAAATTTTGAATAGGCTGGCAAACTATATGGAATTGTAACAAATCTTGTTGATACAGGGGAATGAAACCATTGATATTTCAACCCTGAACAGGTGTTCACCTCCATGAACCAGTTGCGCAAGCATCAAAGCGACGCCCACGGCGACCTGCGACCTTTTGTCTGCTCCATCTGCAACAAGGCCTTCAAGCGGCACAGCCATCTCAAGGAACATGAATCCACCCACCTGCCCAAGACCCCAACCGTCCGAGGCTCCAAGACTACACCCTTTAAGTGTGACATCTGCGCGAAGGCCTTCAGCAAGCAGAGCCAGCTGCAGAGACATGTCCGGATACACACAGGTGATTGACAGCAACGGCCATCTTGGTCATGCCCCCTGCTGGCACTAATGTGATCACTACAGTGCGGGTTTATCAAGTAGTGGGTACCATGCTGTGTCATGGTCATGTCCCCTGCAAACCCGATGTACAGTATGTCCCCCCAAAAAATGTCCGTCTGACTATTTTTGAAATAACTACAAAACCATGAAGCCAATTTCGAAAATGCTTGATTGTGCAGATACTCCTTATCCTTGGCCTAGACCCCTATGAGTTTCATTTTATTTCCATCACGCCTCACTGCGCAATGGTCAATTAATCACAACAACGTTTTCGGACACTGACCAAGTTCCTTGCCTTAATTGATTTCAGTGCTGTTTTATGTAAGCTGTGTAAAATCCTGTATGTTGTTATAAAAGGCTGACGTGGTTAGGGATTGGAATCATTTGCACTTGAGCATTAAGCTGAGGTCGTGCCATGATGACTGATAGCCAGGCAAATGATTCAAATCCCAACTGCAGCCCTGTTCACAACATGCAGGATTTGACACAGCTTACATGACACAGTACTGAAATTGATTAAGGCAAGGAACTTGGTTACGGTGCTAAAAAAATGTTGTTGTGATCAATTGCCTATTGCATATTGTGTAGTGATGCGTGACTGAAATTACATGAAACTCATAGGGGTTTGGGCCAAGGATAGGGAGTATCTGCACAGTCAAACATTTTCAAAATTGACCTCATGGTTTTGTAGTTATTTCAAAAATAGTTAGACGGACACTCTCTGGGGGACATATTGTAGATCATTGTAATGTTGGTCGTTTGTAGGTTTGCCATAGAATGAGTAATCCTTCTTGCAACAGCTCCATTGTTTACATTAGCATTTGATATTTTCCAGGTTTTATTCCAGTGAGAACAAGTGTATACAAATTTGAGCAGGCAGTGTAAACATTTTCTCCTCGCTAACGGCCTACTGTACCTTTTGTTTGATTTTAGGGGAGCGGCCGTTCACCTGTCCGCAGTGTGACAAGGGCTTCAACCAGAAGAACAGTCTCCAGATGCACATGATGAGACACACTGGAGAGAAGCCCCACCAGTGTGAATTCTGCAACATGGCATTCTCACAGAGAGGTATATCCCATCGTCCATACATGTACATAGTCAGTGTTCTCAACAACAAAATATTGTCGCTAATTGGAATTCCTACACAACGATTAGAGTCTAACAAAATACCCTAGGAATTCCCAAAATGGTCATATTTTGTATAATACTTATACGTAATTTGTAAATATCTAAGACATTTTACTCATTCCCATTGGTTGAGAGCCCGTCACGTGGCCGGTCTTAAACGGATGATAAAGACATGGCTGGCTGGTCTTAAAAACTTTTCCAGTGTAACATGAAATTTGACTTCTATGAAATCCAGTGCCTTTCACCATTTTATTGGTTGAACGTTCACGATCCTCACGTAGGCATGCGTAAAACTACCAGTGAGTCAGTATCTCATAATCCTAAATAGTACAGAAAAGTTTAGATTTTTTTGACCGAAAAGATATTTATGAATGGGAAGAAATACGTACTTGGGCAGTATTCCAGACTCCAACCAGTCGCAAACAGTGTTTAACACCTCCAAAGCAGACATTTATTCCCTTATTAATGCACCATTGCTATTTGTCACCATTACAGGCAACCTACGAGTCCACAAGATCCGGGCTCACAACACGGGGACGTTTGACCCGGGCCAGCCAATACCGACAGAGATGGAGGATGGTGAGGACATGTCAGAGGTCATGGGTAGCGTCCCGGCCGGGGAGACCAGCGGGGCCCAGGAATCCATAGACCTGGAAAGTATTGTACCAAACTTCTTCACGTAGTAAAACTGCTGATGGTGGACAAGATATAAATATGGCAGCGACTGCCTAAATTAGGATGTGAACACTGCGACATGACTATGAGCTTGATTTGTTTTGTCAAGTTGGTGCCATTTAGTTTCAATTGGTTGACTTGCTGAGTGCAAAGAGTTCAACAGAATTCTATGAGGTCCGTTTTCAGTGAAGTTGTCTAGACGTTAAAAGGTTGCTAAACACATTAACCCCCCTAAGCAAACACACATGCTGAGCCATGCTGTTACTTGGGTCAAAAGTGACCCATTGGTGTGTTAATTATAAGAATATAGCAGGGGAAGTGGAAGGTGTGACTTTTTAAACAGCAGGGGGTTTAATACATTACTGTATTGATACATGGTGGTATTAACAGGCATCAGAGACTCAGGTTTGCTTGAAGATAAGCACGAATGAACTTTGTGTGTGGGCTTGGCTGTTTGAAATTAGATACATTTGTGGATTACAACCCTAAACATTGCTTATGGTTTGTGTATTAAGCTTACGCTTCTGTAAATCTATGCTCGCTATTAAGGCAGCAGGCTGAGAGAAAGAAGAGTTAACATTTCAAACGTGGCATTAAAAAAAAGTATGCAGGATTCTTTTTTTCTGTTTTGCAGTTGCGTTGCTTGTCAAAATTTAATTGTAAAGTGGTTGCATATTTCAGCTGGTAAAATACATAAAAAGCAGGTTTGTTAGTAATTCTTGTCAAGGTGTTTAATTGCATGTATTGAGCTAGCGATTTATTTTTAATTTAATTGAATTCAAGTCACTACCCACACCCACTTTTCAATTTGATGATGTACATGTGCATGTTGTTGCACTCCAAGTATTGGTACATTTTCTCTGCATGTCAATGTACAAATGTAACTCCTTCATCACTTTGTGAGAAATCTCTGTCAAAGACTTTGTGTTCTTTCGTAAGTTTCCTGAATTGAAAAAAAATTTGTACTAAAAGCACAGTGATGTGAGGGACAATAGAAGACACAGCTTTATATGAAGTGCATGGCTGACTGTGTACTTTAGGTTGTTAACTTGTTCAAGCAATCTGGCAATTCTTTTAATAAAATGAGTAGTGTTTTAAAATGTCAGTTGTAAAATTGGAAAGGTTAACGTTGTATGGAAACTTTTTTTTACTTGAGTCAAGTTGAGTGTGTTCATAATGTTGCATGCATTATGTATGACGACACACTGCAGCTGTCCAACTATAGGAAATGATGATGGGAAGGAATGTAGTAATTTGACGCCACTTCTATAGTTGTGTACAAAGTCTATGGGGAGTCGAGTGCATTACCAAAGTAATAACTGACCTTCATAAATATGTGATGAAGAAAGTGGGATGTAGCATTCTTTCCCAATGATGCTCTATCTACCATACTTATAGTTAATAAAGTTATCTCTGATGTCACGTTGTAACACTATTCCTCACTTTTCTTGCCGGCTTTTGGTAAAACTCTCATGAGCAAGTGCTCTACACAAACGGCAAACTTCACATTTTAACTACAGTTTGTAATACATATTTTGTAATCTATTTTGGGCATGAGTTGTCATTATTAGTTTGATTGTTAACTTAATGGCCAATTTGATTTTTATGTTGAATGGAAAGCACTGATCAAAAAAGAATAAACTTTCAACAAAATGTGTAAAATATTCTGTTGTGCTGAAGTTCATTTGGTTTTTTTTAACTCCAATCGTTTGCACTTGAATGGAATGGTTTTTACCCCTCGGCCGAGAGGCTGGAGGGGTATTCCTTCGGGCATCCGAGCAGGCGTCGGTCCGTCCGGGCAACTTAATTTCCAGATGATAACTTGAGTTGGAAATGTCGTTTGGGATTGGGTACAGGCAAGTTGGGATTGGTTTTTGGGGTAAAAGGGTCAAAAGTCACCGTGGTGAGTTAAATGTACATAATGTAAATGGTTTTCGGATGATAACTCGAGTTAGAAAATGAGATTTGGGTGTTTAATTTCAGTAGTTCGATATGGGTGGATATTCAAATATGGGTCGAAAGTGGCTCCAAATTGCAATATAGGGCAATATTCCAATATGGATGCATTTTCCAATATGGGTGCATATTCCGATATGGGCAGAACTCCGAAATAGCTCCAAATAGCAATATAAGGCAAAATTCCAATATGGGCAGAAAATAACAAAATAGCTCCAAGTAGCAATATAGGGGCGAAATTCCAATATGGGTTGCATATTCCAATATGGGCAGAAGTCCGAAAGTAGCTCCAAATACCAATAAAGGGCAATATTCCAATATGGGTGCATATTCTAAAGTGGGTCAAACTCCGAAAGTAGCTCCAAATAGCAATACAGGGCAATATCCCAATATGGGTGCATATTCCAATATGGGCAGAACTCCAAAAGTGGCTTCAAATTGCGACAATTGGGCAATATTCGAATATGGGTGCATATTCCAGTATGGGCAGAACTCCAAAAATGGCTGCAAATTGCAATATAGGGCATATTCCAATATGGGTGCATATTCCAATATGGGTAGAACTCCAAAAGTGGATGCAAATTGCAATATAGGGCAATATTCTAATATGGGTACATATTCCAATATGGGTAAAACTCCAAAAGTGGCTGCAAATTGCAACATTGGGCAATATTCGAATATGGGTGCATATTCCAATATGGGCAGAACTCCAAAAATGGCTGCAAATTGCAATATAGGGCAATGTTCCAATATGGGTGCATATTCCAATATGGGTAGAACTCCAAAAGTGGCTGCAAATTGCAATATAGGGCAATATTCCAATATGGGTACATATTCCAATATGGGTAGAACTCCAAAAGTGGCTTCAAATTGCGACAATTGGGCAATATTCGAATATGGGTGCATATTCCAGTATGGGCAGAACTCCAAAAATGGCTGCAAATTGCAATATAGGGCATATTCCAATATGGGTGCATATTCCAATATGGGTAGAACTCCAAAAGTGGCTGCAAATTGCATATTATAGGGCAATATTCCAATATGGGTACATATTCCAATATGGGTAGAACTCCAAAAATGGCTGCAAATTGCAATATAGGGCATATTCCAATATGGGTGCATATTCCAATATGGGTAGAACTCCAAAAGTGGATGCAAATTGCAATATAGGGCAATATTCTAATATGGGTACATATTCCAATATGGGTAAAACTCCAAAAGTGGCTGCAAATTGCAACATTGGGCAATATTCGAATATGGGTGCATATTCCAATATGGGCAGAACTCCAAAAATGGCTGCAAATTGCAATATAGGGCAATGTTCCAATATGGGTGCATATTCCAATATGGGCAGAACTCCAAAAATGGCTGCAAATTGCAATATAGGGCAATATTCCAATATGGGTACATATTCCAATATGGGTAGAACTCCAAAAGTGGCTGCAAATTGCAACATTGGGCAATATTCGAATATGGGTGCATATTCCAATATGGGCAGAACTCCAAAAATGGCTGCAAATTGCAATATAGGGCAATATTCGAATATGGGTGCATATTCCAATATGGGCAGAGCTCCAAAAATGGCTGCAAATTGCAATATAGGGCAATATTCGAATATGGGTGCATATTCCAATATGGGCAGAGCTCCAAAAATGGCTGCAAATTGCAATATAGGGCAATATTCGAATATGGGTGCATTTTCCAATATGGGCCGTTTTCAAAAATAGCTCCAAATAGCAAAATTGGGCAATATTCCAATATGGGTGCATATTCCAATATGGGTAGAACTCCAAAAGAACCTCCAAATAGCAATATAGGGCAATATTCCAATATGGGTGCATATTCCAATATGGGTAGAACTCCAAAAGGGGCTGTAAATTGCAATATAGGGCAATATTCCAATATGGGTGCATATTCTAATATGGGCAGAACTTTAAAATGGCTCCAAATGGCAATTTAAGGCAATATTCCAATATGGGTGCATGTTCCAATATGGGCAGCTTTCCAAAAATAGCTCCAAATAGCAAAGCTGGAAAAGATGGTAGCACATTTTAAAACAATTCAAGTGAAATAAATCACAACCATAATTCTTGGCAGGTGCTTAAGATAGGGAAATCCATCAGTCTGAATAGTAAGACGTAACTTGAATGAGTAGTCAAAATTTTAGTCAGTAGAGATTCATTTATTTCATATCAAGTTACATTGTATAAAATTTGTGTACACAATTAGTAAATTCCATTCCATACATGTACATGTAATCCACTGTACTTCATCACCTCGCATATCTACGATACACTTCCTTTCAGCATCAAAGGCATGACAACCCAAAATTAACAACAAAATATACAAAATTTATCATAAACCTCTCAGAACTTACACATTAAACATGTACAATATTTCTGCCTTCTTAATTTGAAATGGAAAAAAAATTCCATGTACTTTTTAACTTCTCTTTCATTTCAGCATCGTTTTTTTTTTTATAGGTTTTTTCAAATCCTCAAATCCACAAATTTGCTTCATTCTAAATTCAAACTACAAGTACTGGGATTTTCACCCATATATAATGGCAACTCAAAGTTAACATGTTATTCCGAATAGGAAATGTTAGGCCCAAACTATACCATGGGCCCCAACTATAGTTGGGATAATCCTTACTGGGTCCAATTTTATGGCTCTGCTAACCACAGAATTTCGCATTTACATTCACCATTATTTTTGTGCTAACAGTACTAGCAAAAAAATTCTGTGCTAACCCTGTAAGCACATATCCTTCAAAGCCAAAAAAATCCTTCAAAGCCAAAATTCCTCGCTAACGCGAGAAATACGCTTGTACTTTTCTGCTATAGCAAGCATGGATTTTTCGCTAACTGTCAGCAGAGCCAAGAAATTGGGCCCAGTTGTTGTGACCGTCCCAACTGCGGTTGTGACCATCCCAACAATAATTGGGCCTAACCAAACTGTAGTTGGTATTATACTTCAGTTGGGATGCAACAGAAACATGGGCACACAGTGTGTCATGTTTGCTATTAGCATTCAAACCATTGCTATGGCGTCACACTATTGTTAAAGTGTGGATTCGGAACTACGAATCTGTAACGCTGGTCACAAAGTATGGATTCGGAACAAAGAATCTTTAGTAAAGTGTGGATTTGGAATTATGAATCCACACTTTGAACACGTCGGACAATTGTTCTCCATAATGAGCATTAATAGGACCGTATGCGTGAAAACTTTCCTTACAAAATTACCAATGCATCTTCACTGTCAGAGTCTCCGCAGTCACTGCAAAACCTACTTCGAGTCAGAAAGAAATCATCGTCTGAACTATCCATATGTCGACGGAAGGAGCCAGGAAAAATGTTGCAACCTGACACCACTTTTTCCTTCATATATCATCCCAATGAAGGACATTCATTGCAAAAATGATGATAAGACATGAATCTGGGACTGAGAAATATTTCCAATTTTGTTAGGAAAAAATTGTCTTGACTCTCCATAGACTTTGTACACAATCGCGGAAGTGGCGTCAGGTTGCAACATTTTCCCCAAGTCTTTTCATCTCCACTCACTGTTAATGCCAATACTTCATTTGAAGCAATGGTTTAAGTCGAAGAGTACACTCGCAAGTGTGGATTCTTAATTTGTGAATTCTTAAATTACAAATCCACACTTTCTCGTGTATTCTCCTTAACAGAAATCACAATTTGAAAGCTGGGCTGTGACTACAAAATATCTTTCTGGGCGGAGGGGATAGAGGGGTGCCTTTAGAGGCTGATCAAAATATTTCCAGCTTGATCACACTGTGCTTCTAGGTACTAATTTGAACACATACTTTAAAAGTACTCTCTGAATAAATTCAAGAATTAATGCTACTAAATGCTAGTCAAACCAGCAATATATTGAAAAACAACTTGATTTTGAAAATGGAATTTTATTAAAATTAGTCTCAACTGTTAATATTCTTCAATGAATTGTGTCATGATTATATAAAGGAGCTTAAATATATATGCAATAAGGAGAGATTGCAATACAACCAACCCCCAAAAAAGAAAGCCTCAAGATAAATGCAGGCTGAAATGATGAAAGTAAAGTTCAAAGAAACGAGAGAAAACTCTCAGTTCTTATAATACACATACTTTAAAGTCCTCTGTTACATTAGAAAATATGTACATCTTTCACACTCTTCATCTCCTTAGGAAGAAAAATGACAAAGTCAAATCAAACAATTTGTGGAGGAAATTTGCCGTAACTGACAATAACCTCTGCCACTTCACTGCGTAAATATACATAACTTTGAGAGTATGTTTAATGTGCTTCCACTTTAAGCACCAATGGGGCTTAAGGCCAAAAAAAAAAAGTCTCCGGTTTCTGGTATGGAGCTTGCCCAAAAAGTGGTGCGGCGACGCGGCTTTTTTTTTTCTTTACCTGATTTTTTTGCTTCAAATGCGTGCTGATGACTGCAAATGGTGCCCGACTAAACTTAGTGCAAATATGTGGGAGTCCAGAGAGGCCACATAAAGCTTATTCTCGACCATAACCCAATCTAAAAACACGTTAAAATTGTGCAGCAGCAGGATTCCAGTCAAACCAGTGAGTTTGGCGGTTTTGAGACATCATCTTTTATTGAAAAAAAAACTTTTTCATTTTGCCGACGCGCATGGCTGGGGCGACGCGCGCGCATACCAGAAACCGGATAATTTTTTTTTTTGGCCAAAGACTATCATGGTTGGTGTTTTCCAAACTGTGGTTTACTCAATAGCTCCGGCTAACATGGCTAAACGCTTCCATTTCCTAATTTTCAAGCCATGTTCGTTAAGGCCATTTCATAGTATCATACTTCTCGTAACTGTGAATGCGAAGTGAACTTGATGTCAGAAAACATTCCCTGTGAAATTCGAAAGTGTTGAAAATGCATTCAACTTTTGCAAATTTGCAGGGCCGACACGTGCTGTGACAACACAAATTTGTGTTTGCGCATTTTCAGTTGTGTGCATTTGCAATGGGTAAGTGGTCATCATACACGCTGCAGGTCCATTTCCTTTTTAAACCACATAACAATCAGTACTGCTATTGCGCCCTCGCTTGACTCTCATGTGAAAGCCACACTGCGCCCTCTGTGGTTCCAATAGTGGATAGGTCCAACCGATTTTTTTTTAAAGGCCCCAGTTGGTTATGAATACTGCATTAATTTTAACAACCTACATGTATGTACAATCAGGAACCCATCAAATATATTTAAAGGTACGGTAGATCATTTGTGCATTTTTTTTCGTTTATAGCAACAAAAGTGCTCAAAATCTAAAAACGGACGCTTAACAGCTAACCTGATGAAGTGGTAGCTCTGTGAATGCTATATATTCCGAACAAATATTCTAGGATCTCGGTTTCAATTCAGAAGATGCCGAGTCTGTTTTGAAATGCGCCTGAAATCAGCGTCCGCGACACGTTCTCATTCAGCCGATTGCAGCTTCGCAATGTCACGCACTAAACTGACGAACAATAGCAACCGTGCGCGTGTGCATCGTGTCAACGCTTGCGCGTACCCATTCACGGATTCATCGAATTACAAACCAACTACTGAAGGAAATTTCCAAAAGTGGGTCACATGACGCATCTTTGGAAATTGCCTTCTTTTAATGTTTTGTCTGCTTCAAAATTACAGCATGCCAGAAAAAAAATAATTTCACAGGCAGTTTAGTGCCATTACTATCATTAAAGCAAGTAAGCTCTTCAGCAATAATTTCATCAGTGTACATTGAATAGCTGCAAATGATTTACTCTACCTTTAATATATCATAATGTTAGTTGCATTTAAATATTATACTTTACGGCTTTATACCCAAAGAAATATGTGACCCCCAAGAACACTCCAAATGACGATACTTTTGGAATAAGTAAATAAAGTGAGACCATGAATCATTTCTACACTATTGTGAACATGATGAAAATGGTTCTCAGCTTCTCACTTAACTCTTTCAGTGCCAAAGTCGTAAATGTACGAGGTAATGTTCGTACTTAAAATCGCCAAACCTCGTACATGTACGAGGTAAAGTAAACATGTTATCACAAGGCTCTTTCTAATAATATCATTTTCATACAGGTACGACCTGTATTTATTTGTTTCATTCGAGTTCTTGCGAGAGGGCGCAGCACTGACGCTCGTATTTTCTGCAAAAAGTGCGGAATTCCCCTGTGTGCAGGACAGTGTTACAGGGTGTAGCACTATGTACGTGACTACTATTGACTTTCCAATGTATCAAGGATATACCAGAGAGCAACAACAACAAATTTGGTGAGTAAAACTTATTTACTTTTTTTTAACAGAATTTTGAACAATTAAAAAAATGCTTGAAGTTGGGCACTTTAGGGTTAAACTTTTCAAATTTCGCGGGCACTGAAAGAGTTAATATTTTCATTGCAAAACTGATAATGCATCGACACTTATCAATAATAATTGTTATGGAATTTTGTAACTGTACAATGATACAAGCAAATAATTATTCTGATTTCGATGGTCATTTTTACTAGTTTGTTGATTTTTGTAATCTGGGGAAAATAACTCATGGCCGTACTCTACACAAGCTGTGGTGACTCAACCTGTTAACACCTGTAGTACTTTGTATTAAATTGTGTTTATTCTTGAAAGAATGAATAAAACCATAGTGTACTCGGGCTGTTTCAGGCGCTTCATACAGAGAGTAATTAGCAGGGTGGTCACACGTGCTATAGTGACTAAAGTATTATTTTGATTATAAAAATATGACTTTAAAAAAAAAGTGAATTTAGGTTTTCCGGAAAAGTTTGTTTTCCTCAAAAAGGCACAACAAAATGTATATAAAAAGTGTGACCCTAATGAGGTAATTTACTTCAATAGATTTGGGAATTCTTTGCACAATGGTTTGTTTTAGCACCTTTAAGAGATATATAAGAGCTAATGTAACATGTTAAGTAAGACAACTTTTAAAACTGATTTTTTTATTGTACTGTTGGGAATAACTACTGAGTCATTTACTGAGTCTTCGTTTCCAAATGTCTGACTCAAATTTGCCTGAAGAAACGTGATTTCAAAGAAATAATACGCATAATACCAAGTACATGCAAAGAAACCTCAATTATATTTCATTTCTACAATTATGCCACTTTTTTCTGTGTAACATTTTTAGGTGGAATTTATTCCCGCATTGAAAAAAAAGGGCTAAGCTTTTTGAAAAACACTGCAGTTTTCAAATGAACATTTCACAAAAGTGCATTTTTGGTGTACATCGTTGCACACTTATTCTAAACACAAACTGGATTCTCTTGAAATAATAGAGTTCAGTCTTCTGAATAAGGCGTTAAATTTCTTGGACATTAACACTCTTACGTAAACACACATTCTGTGCCGAGTTGTCCTTGTAGTCAAAATCAATCAAGTGACTGTTTTCAACAGTTAAGAGCTCCCAGCCTTCATAAAGCAGGATTGACTGGCTGTGACTGTTTATGTAACTTGATACAGCTATGCTTTGTCTGTAGGTGATTGATAAGCCAGCTGTGCCAACCAGTTGCCTGCTTTTGTCTGTTGACTGAATTTGACTAGTCAGAGTGCTTGCTTGAAATATGATCTGACTGTTGGTGACTAGCCTGTGTAAAAGGCATGGCAGGGGAAGAGGGTGGAATTTTTGACTGTCTGCGACTGTTCAAGCAGTTTATACATGTTATACATGATTTTCGCGATGTCTTGAGCTGTTGTGTTACACAAAACTTTAGATGTAACCATGGTAATGCATTAATTAATAATTGTGGTGCTCTTGTTTAAACCATAGTTACTTTCTTCTACAAACTTACAGCGGTAAAGTGGATTTAATTTAATTCATAAAAAAAAAGACTTTTGAAGTACTTCTTAACTTCTGATAATCATTGTACAGTGCCTGAATAAATCCCCATCATCTGATTGGTGGGTCGTTGATCACGTGGCATTGAATTATTCGTCCCAACCCACAGCGCAGCCACACTGCAAAAATAGACGTTCCATTCCACGGTAAATAGAAGTTTCATTGCTTGGTCACACTATTACCAATCAGATGACGAGGATTTATTGAGGTGTTGTATAAAACAATAATGAATGTTTCACATTCGTGCAAAGGAAAGAATACTTTCATTCGGTAACAGATGGAATGTTCCATTCCAATCGGCTTTACCTCGTTGAATGGAACATTCCATCTGTTACCTCAAGAACTTATTCTCACCATTGCACTCATAAACATTTATTATATATGCACATTATTTCAAAAGCATATAGCATATAAGCCAGCTAATACCCTAGTTAGCTTTAAAAAAACCTCAGATTCCATTAAACTGAGAACAAACAAAATACAAATTGGAATAATATAGGGATATTAAATTTATAGGAGAAACATTTGTATTCTTATCTGTTCACTGTTGCTGTGTCATTCTTCGTATCGCTGCCCCGTAGGCTGCAGCTCTCCGTCTGGTTCTCTCATCCTCACCACCAGAGGGCGCTGCTCCATCCCTAGACGAAGGATTCTGATTGGCCGATGGGGGCCACGTGATGTCTGACCCTGATGGCGATTGGCTGGCTGTTGCCGTGGAAGCACTAGCGGTGGATGTGGTTGTAGCAGCGGCATTCGGGGAATGTGCCTGACGCCTTTGAAATCGCCTGTGTGTGTGTGTGTGTGGGGGGGGGGGGGGGGGGGGGGTAGGTAAAAGAAACAAATAGTAACATCTTCTTATCTGACATTAGTTCTGACCCCTCAGAGTACCTTTTGTGAAAAAAATTACATTATGGTGAAATCAATTCACAGATATTTACACTGCTACATACTCTTGGCCAAAATGTTCACCAGTTAACACGATCTGGCTGTTTTTATACACAGGCACGGCTGATGGGTTAAAGCGTCAAGCGTGCCTCGACTCGCCTCTGGGTGACGTCTAAACACGCTAATCCCCCATTTTTTTGTACATACACACAAAGTTTGAGAAGTCTGTGGAGGTGGACCGCGTGTATTGACCTTGAACTGGGCCGCTGTGCATGGCCTGTTGTTCTACAATTCACGCTCTGTGGGCACCCCCCGGAGTGTTGAAAAATATGAGGTTTCGGCAAGAAATATCGTACAAATACTGTTCAAATGACTCTTGCAAATCAGTATTTGTGGCCTTTGGCTGTATTCCAGAAGTTGGCTGCAATATTTTGCCTTTTTGGAAAAGTGAAATTTTCGGCAAAATAATCCCGTCGTGAAGTGGTTAAAAAGTGAAGTATAGGCTCTAAGGGAGAACTATGGATTCTTTAAAATACGAGTGAGGTAGGTTGATCCCTGCCACAGAACTACGTTTAGGGAGTGGAAAGGGGCGAACCAGTCTAGAAGTGATAGCACTTATCTCACTGATTCACACGCAATATAATCACCCATTATCATTAGTTGCATACCATACACCTCAATCTATAGTCTATGAAATAGGTCTCGATCAAATGATGTCATTTCCTACAGACCATCCACGTGCATCGGCATTTTGAGCGTCACGCGCATCAGCTGCGTCGTATTTCGAACACATTTCGAGCAACAAGCGCGCGTGTTTGGACATTTTCAACACTGCGCATTGCATGCTTGATTGCGTAAAATAAACGCAGTTGCAGTTCTCCTACAGAGATGGCCGTCATTGAACGAGTCCTATAGACCCTGGCCCTGGCAAAGCCGGCCATGGTCTATGAGATGTAAGCAGATTCGGCTATTAATTATGCAACTAGACTGCGTATGACCTCGAGAAACTGACCAATCAGCAGGCGCCTTCTATACACGCGTAATGCAAGCTCCCCGCGTGCGTAGACATCACGCCCACAATAAGTAGCATTTTTTGTACAGGTTGTTGTATTACAAAAACCTGGCCTCGAAATTGACCAATCAAACTCTTAGTCCAGATTTCAGAATAAAATGACGTCACGCATGCGTAGATATATCAGACGTTCTACCGGAGATGGGTTCAGTGGAGAACGGGTGATACTCAGACTACTCAATCTCAGGGATAGAAAGCAAAAAAACATGCTAGTTGAAATTCTGAAGCATTAGGCTTTCCATACCTCCTAGCCTGCTCCAGTAACAGGTCCTTGCGCTGCTTGAGACCGAGTTCCCTCTCTACCGAGGACTTGGAGAAGCGTCCAGGCAGTGCCTGGGGACCGTCACCCAAGTCAGCAGATCTACCCTCTTGCTTTGCAAAACTGGAGGGAGGAGAAATGGGCGCCCAAGGAGAGCAGAGAATTACACCTGGATTTTGTACATTTTCTGACCATTTACTTTATTGGTCTTCAAGGTAAGGGATGCCATTTGCAAAAATTATATTTTTAAAGATTTATGAAACAATAATACTATAAATCTGAAGCAGGTTATTCAAAAACTAGCCTGTTTTTCAGCTCAGTAGATAAAACTGTGAAAATGCATCTTCATTTTTCTCGACATAGAGCAAGGTTTCCTTTGAAAGTCCTCCCTTCCAAAATGTTCATTAAAGGGACATTACGGCCTGGAATGTGCCCAATTGAGTTGAAAACACGTTTTAAACGAAATTATATCAATTGGAAAGAGCATTTAAAAATAGAATATAAATGTCCACACAACCATAGATAAAAACCTGGGCGTTTTTGTGTTATTCTTGCGAGAACCATGCCAGAACAATTTCAGGGGTCACAATTTTGACTCCGGAAAATCGAGCTGTTGAGTGCTATAGTTGTGAATCCTGCTGCAACGTGTTTCGCATTCTGCAGACGTATAAGAAACAACATTTGTGTATTGGTTCTGTGTGTATTATGTGACACACACACACACCTGTACAGTACATTGAATAGAGACGCCTTGAAATATGTGTGCTTATGCCACAAAATTTCTGCTGCATCCGATGTAGACAACCAGGGTTTTTCCGTCTTTTCTCGGGAACGCTAAGACATTAGGTTGGTTTCCTTTCAACCAGACCATTGAAATAGGATAAGTAAACAATCCAAAACATGAAATTTTGGGGGATTTTAGGCCGTAATGCCACTTTAATGATCTAAGTTTGTCACATAGGAAAATAATTCTCATTTATAAATATGTAACCAATTGCAAACTAACTAAATTCAGTCAGTTCGGAGCGGTATTTGGAGGGAAAAAAGCAGATTTTTTCTTGTGATTGTTTGGTCCTAACAGTCGCAATGAAAAGAAAATGTATTTTTATTTTTCATTTTTCATTTACCTTGCAGATGCATCCAACCCTGTTTCTCTCAGTGCGTCTCCCCCTCCATCTAACATCCCCCCTCTATGCTGGCTGTTGTCCCCACCCCTGTGTCTCACCCCATCTGCACCCCTAGCCGTAAGCCCTAGTGCCCGCACGCTGTCGGCGATCATTGTCGCTCTCCCCGGCGCATCGTACACCGCAGGTCTGGTGTCTGGATCCGAGCTTGGGGCGGGGCTGGCAGAAGGGGGAGGGACTTGCATGGAAGCGGGGGCGGGGGCTGACGGGTTGTCCGTGTCAACAGACTCCTGTATACGGGAAAAAATTCAGACACATATAAGTGTGAGTGAATCTCAGCAATGATTACGTTACAAAAATGCCAATTGATGCAAATTTTGAAATAAATAAATCGGCTTCTTTCAACAGTCTTTTGCGTTTATTAGGACATTTAGAAAGGTTCCCTTAATTTTCCCAATGCCTGATTGTATACATGTAACCAAGCAGTATATCTAACCATTTACTATAAGAGTAAGCAATTTGATTTTCAAATTTTTCAGAAGTACTCAACATGGAGTTCCCAATTTTCCAAAAATGTCCACCTTCCTAGATTTTTTGGAAAGCTACAGGAGATTAGTCTATGTACATGTAACAGACCCTCCATGATATGCGAGCAGATTGGGCAATTAATTATGCAACTAGAATGCGTCTTGACCTCGAGATTCTGACCATTCAATGGGCATCTATCAGTGGGCCAACTATTGGTCGAAAAATTTTGAAATGTAGATGCTCTGTGGTGCATTTTAAAGCCTCCTGGCATGCCTGGGCCAACTATTGGTCGAAAATGTTTTGCAATTTATGCATGTTTTTCATATTGGCTTGAAACTGCCTAAATGGCCAACTTGTATACGAAAACTGGGAAATTCGACCACGTTTTCCATATTTTAACTCCTTACTGCAGATGATACACATCGTCATCGCGTGTCCCGGCTTCTGATCGAGTCGCCTAATTTCTGCCCATTAACCATGTGTTCCATCCAAATCCATTTCCACGGATTCGTAACCTGAGGATCGGTCTTGTCAATGTCCGTATCAAACTCCGAACCTCTTTGGATAATAACACATTTGTGTTGCACTGACATCTTGCGGAATTAATAATGTCAAAATACGTTCGAAACATTTGAAACGACACACTAACGTACATGTACATAATGCAGCGGAATACACGCAGCAGGATGCGTGCATGCAATGAAATGCACACATGAACTTTGCCCCGCATGATGCCCTCTACCGGCGCGGCACGGCGACAACTTACTAGTCTTATTTCAAGGCTTTATATTTGCAACAAGACGATGTTTACAGCGAGTTATTGTGGAGATCATCGCGTGTCACTACATGCATAGACACAGGAACGGCCGCAAAGAGTCCCAACGCGCTTTATGGCGCATGTGAATATTCATATTTATCTGCAGCCAATCACAGCGCAATGACTGTTGGTTTCCCGGATGCTGTTTACATGTTGTGTACAATACATTGTACACACGCGGCTTCGAGCTGAAAAATGCATGCACATGGCATCGTATAGTACACACGTACGTACATGTACGTGTGTACACGTACGTACATGTACGCGCGGGGGGAAAAGCGGGGGGAAATCTGGACCATCGGAAGAAAAAAAGCGGAAAACAAAATGTGGCACGCTGAACAAAAAAGCGGAAATCCGCTAAATAGCGAAGATTTCACACCCCTGATTAAGAAAACCTAGACATGACATCTATTATGCTTTTACATTGTGAATTAAGCACAAATAGGCTGCGTCACACGGCCTGTAACGATATATTGAATGATCATCAAATTATTAAATAGCGCGCGTGCAATGCATTTTAGATTTTATTATCTCTCTTTGCCCATTGTTGTATTACAAAAATATGGCATCTACATTGACCAATCAGCAGCTAAGTCCAGATTTCGGAATGAAATGACGTCACGATTTTAGTAAAGTCGACTCCAATTGGCTGGCGCGCACGGGTCACATAAATTCACATACTTAGATATTTTAAACCTTGGACTGGAGACAGAGAGGGCTCCGTTGGTCAATGGGTGATACTCAGACTACCAGGAGGTTATTTTGAGGACTTTTTACAGGAATGAGGGAAGCAGAATCCAGTCATGAATACCTTGACAGAGGGCTTGGTATAAAGGTAACGGGAATATACAACATTTGCTTTTGCCGTAATTTTCAGAAATGGATGGTTTTGTTGGTTAACATTTTATAGCAGATACTATTTCACTACTTTTTTGAAGTTTTGTGTTCGTAGATGCTGGAAAAACCAAGAAAAAACAATCATGTTCCTGTAGTCTGGCTCCCTGACCCCACTTAAGATGAAATGGAGCAATTTAAAGACGTCGGGAATTGTAAGGTCAGGGAACCTGTCTAGCTGGCTTGCAACTGTTCACAGACGTGTTACCAATTGCAAACAAAATGTGGCCTGAATAAATTTGGTAATTGGGGGCAGTAGTTGAACAAAAAGTCAGATTTTTCCAACACTGGTCGGCCGACCAGTGTTGGAAATTGATACCAAAAATACCACTCTTCTTGAAAATGACAGCATTCCAGGTGCCATGATTTTACAGGATGCTTTAGACTGCCATTCACTAACAGTCCAGTAAGGTATTTTATAATAATTTGGTAGTTTGGTAATTTGGTAGATGTGTGCAAATGTTGTACATTCCCTTTAAGGCCCTGTCACACTGACGTCTCTCCTACCCGTGTTAAAATCAACACAGTTCCACCATCAACGGAACCAATCAAACACAGGTAGGCAAGGCATACCATTCACACACCGAGTGTAAATGGGTCGGCTGTAAGATGTTGGATTTTCTCCCTGGGTAGAGCCTCTCAACCCTGGGTCGGATGTTGGATTCTTGCTAGTGTGAAAGGGGTTCCAAAAATCTCTGCGTTGGAACCGGGTCCAACACGGAGATGTTGGGCAGTGTGAACGGCCCTGCACAGCGGTGAATTTTTGAAGATTCAAGAACGTCCCTGGCAAAAAAAACGTGTAGGGAGTTACGATTAAAAGTACAGCTTACAGGCGGGGCTGCTAATCTTCCTTCTAGGATGTTGTCGACGGTGACTTCCACTGACCGCGTGACTCGCAGGTCTTCGATGAGGACAGGCAAGGGATAGTTGGGAAACATCTGTTGGACTTGAGTCGCCTGCACGAAATCAATGCAAAGGTCATTCAGTTCATTTTTCCTCAAAGTTGATAACCTGTGCTTTTCAACAAATTCATTTTTTTTTCTCTAAAAAAATTTTCAACATGTTTGCTAATTCCAACCAACAATAACTCTTTTTAAAAATTGTTTGGCGCATGCAACCCTCTGAATAAATTTATTTTGGGCAAAACCTGATCTGCCTTGAGAGCAGACTGGTTGCCCAGCTAATGCCATGTAGGCATTACTCCCCAGCTAATGCCATGTACCCATTTATACTTCTTGGTGGAGATAGGCAAGCGGAAATGAAGCGGCTTGCCCAAGGACACAACATATGACCAGCAGCTGGATTCGAACCCCTGACCCTCTGCTCATGGGTCACGAACCCTAACCATTAGACCACAGTCAATAAAGGCAGCAGCAGTTTCTGGGTTAGCCTACACTACAGAGTGGTTATCCATGGTGCATGTGATGGATCACAAGTTATCACAAGTCCATCACAAGTCATTCAGTCGCAAGTCAACTCACAAGTGACTCTAATGAGCTGTAACAAAGGCAGTCGTTCTGATTTGAAAATCACAGGTGTGTGGAAAAAAGCACACGTGAAATTTTCTAGGTGTATAGTTTTTCTAGGTGTGTGATTTTCTAGGTGTGTGATTCTGTGGTCCAGGGCCATTCAGGCATGCAATTATTCACACTTCTCCGGAAGATTTTAGGCGTGCGATGGTGTGACGGTGCAATCACACGCCTCAAATCAGAAGGACTGCAAAGGCATTTCTTGATATTGTTCATCCTGTGTGACTTGTGATTAGACATGTAAATTGACTTGTGATTTCATTGTGACTGGGTTTGTGAATCGACACCCGTTGTACTCTGTGATTTGTCCCAAGTACCTCGACTACAGCACCGTTTACTTACCATGTTGTTGAGCTGGGAGGTGTGGACTGCAGCTCTGCGCTGCAGCAGGTGCCGATGGGAGACCTCAACGGAGAAACTGGGGATCCAGCTGGCAATCCGAGAACCTGGATGAGAAAACAAGAAATTGAAAGTCAACTCAATCTATAAGACCGATCCAGCACGTCCCGCTCACTGCGAACGTGGGCGAGTAACGTGCGCTCCTCTCCAATGCCACACTGTATGTCCCAGCTGCGAACATCATACACGTGTGCAGGCATGTCAGACTTTTGTGCATGCATGTCGGACGTACATCACGGCTGTGATAGGTCAGAAAACCATGGTGCTTGACTTAATGGATCGGTTTATTCACAGTTATGACCAAAGATCGGGCAGGAACAGCTCAACTGTGAACCTTTTCCTTGAGGTGCCTGTGACAAGCCCAAAATCCACTCCGAAATAGGACACAGCGAAAATTATTATTAATTATTATTAACAAATTTATTCGCAACCAAACATCAAAAGAAGTGGTTGGATTAGAAACAAAGAAAGAAACATTAGAAAAAAACATGCCGCAAAGACACAGGTGTTGTCGCCATGTTTTACTGTCTCATCATACAGCTATATTGAATTACAGCAAAACGTCACAGCAAAAATCATCTGCAGCGGATACGCGCACGTGTTTGTGTTGTTTGCGCAGAGCACAATGAAATGCTCATTTACTGATTGTGAGTTTCAGTTTTGGGCATATCGGCTTCGATAACGCACCTGTGTAGAATACAAACGCAGATATGCAAATAGCCATACAAAAGCCGTACAAAATTTCGAATTTTTTTTTTCCCCATAGGTTTGTGTACAAACATGGATGCGCCCAGCAGGCATCACTTTGCACATCGAGTCAACGCTCTAGTAATATAATATAGCTCTATGTTTGTCACGCAAACCATCACAAATTACACACAGCTGAAGTGGACTGGGTATTTTATCTCAGAAAAGAAAAAATGTGTCCATCATATTTGGATTTCAAGTTATTGTACATCAAAGCATGGAGGGACGCAAGAGACAAGAAGTGGAATTTAGAGTGCATTTTGTTCTTCTTTGTTTTTTGGAACAGCTACAGAAGTCAGAAACAAAAAGCAAATTTGACATTACAAACCATTCACAGCAAAATTTGCTATATTAAGGCATGCAATGGGGAAAAAACGAGAAATTCCAAACCCCACAAGATTTTGTATAGTATTTTTCAATTTGTAATGGCATTCACGAGAAAAAGCAAAAAATCAACGGATCCGAGGAAAAGTTTGCATGCCTGTATTGAAACATGTTTATACCTTTTACAAATGCAGCGCATGAATTCTTACCGTTACATCAAAACTTTGCCTTGTATTCACTTTTTCGCCAAGCATGAACTGGCTCTTTTTTGGCTAACAACCCCCACTCCCCCAACCAGAAAAAACCCAAACCCCCAAAACAAAATTTTAAATAATTTCTCACCATCAAAGTGGAAGAAATGTCCCCTCCCCCTGCGTGGCCTGACAGGCGGGGCTGGCCCCTCCCCTGCCTCTCCCTCCATCAAGCCTGCATTCATCCCGGGGGGCTGGGGTGCCGGGTTCCGATTGGTCGACTCGGTGGTGGGTCGGATGTTGAGGGCGTGTCGGCAGGTTGGGCAAGAGGTCTCGTGCTCCAGCCAGGATCTCAGACAAGTGCTGAGGAACACACACACAACAAAAGCATCAAGTTAACACAAATTTTGTAAAGGTTTAAAGAATGTACAATTGTTATTGAGATTTTTTGTTAATGTGGGCGAGTCCATCACATATGTCACAAGTTCAGTCAATAGTCAGTCCCAAGTCACAGTGGGTGACCAACAAAATATATACCTCATTCTCCTGACGACGGGCAGAGCATACTGTTCGAAACGTTGAGTCCCTCCGGTTCTTTTCAGAACCACACATACTCACAAAAGAGATTTATTCACATGGTGCTACCGCAAACTTATCTTGTCCTAACAAAATATAGCAGCCAACTTCTGATATACTTCTGATTCGCAAATTGTACGATTTTTCTCGCTGAAACCTCGTATTTTTCAACACTTTGGGGTGTGCTCATGGAGTGTAAATTGTACAATAGGCCCAGTTCAAGGTCAACACACGATCCGACTTCACAGACTTCTCGCAAATGGGGGATTAGCATGTTTAGACATCACCGGAAGGCGAGGCAAGGCATACTTTATGTTTTAACCCGTCAGCTGTGCATGTGTATAAACCCAGCCAGATCGTGTTAACATGGCATCCGACACCAACTGGTTAAGATACTGTGGGAGCTGTCGGCAGTTCAAGTTAATGGTAATCTGCTTACTTGTGGAAGAAGTGGTTACAAGGCAGCTTGCGGGCTGATTTCATCTCCTCCCAGCAGATGGCACAATCGTCGTTATTCTCCTGCAACTCACTCTCTGTGGCCAGGGGGAAGTTGGCCTGCATATTGTGCACCACCTAACCAAAAAATAATTTCAACAAAAACAAAATATTAAAATAAGAAAAATCAACACGATATTCAACAAGGGGCAATTTTTGTAACCACCTTTTATCCAATTTTTTTTTTACCACTGCATTAACCCTAACCACCCCAACTCCATCAAAATCCATCCCCCCATTTTGGTGGATTTTGGGGGACTTGGTCCAGAAGGCCTAGCGTCACTAAATATTGATGGAGTATGATGGATTTGGGCCTAATGGGCTGAAGCAGTGCTAGGGGTATCCGATTGATTTTGCCTAGCTTCCTGTACTGCTATTGTGGTCTAAGCCATGTGTAGCAAGTCCATGAATGTCAACCAGTGCGTCAGTGGTGGATTGCATTATGTCATGTACAGTTTTGTATTGGAAGCACAGTGACTGATGGATTTTGATGGACTTGGTCCAGTTCCTAGTAAAAGATGCTATGGGGTTAGGGTTAAATAACAAAATCCTAACAAGCATTTGGCGTTAACATGTACAACAATTTAAAAACTTCAGGGGAGTTCAGATGTGGAGTTCAGAATGGGGAGTTCAGGTTGGTTTCACTTCAGATTCAGTTTATATCTATAATGTTTTGGGTCGGTTTGGCCTTGTGAACCCGACTCGATGCACAACATTACTAGACATTACTAGCCCTAATACTTACTTGTCTGTAGTTGCGATGACGCTTGAGGCGCCGTTGTATCTCACTGTACAGATATCGGAGCTCCATGCAGATCACCAGACTAGCCATGCTGAGGAACACGTTACCCCACAGCTGAATGGGACAGGGGAAAAATACAACAGGTGTCGAACAAATGTACGTATTGACGAAGACCACTTGAATATTTGCAGTTAAATGTAGGATGTTGTGTTGGTGGTTATTTTGATCAAACTGTACATGTTTTTCTTTCTTTAACCCTAACTCCTAGGCATTTTCGATAGGATGCAGCCTCAATCCTGCAAAATCATTGGTTCTTTCTTGAATGTGATCCTTGGAGGGGTGGCCACTTCCACGATCCTGCAAAATCCTCCAGTAATCCAATATGTTGAGGCAGAGCCAGTGATATCCTGGAGCAGATTTCAAGCATAATCTAGGCCTAAATTTTATGCACGGCTGAGCATAAACGACACAAGGTCCGGCCCAAGACCTTGACACAGTGCATCCTCCAAAATCAGCCACACATTTTTGCCATATAGCCTCAATCCTGCAAAATCCTCCACTTTGCAAAGAGGATTTGGGAGGATAAGGGAAGGTTAGGGTTAAACTCTTTGAAACACTCCTTAGTTTTTGAGTAGCCTTCCTAAATCTGTAAATGTTATGGGTTTTTGTGAAGTCAGATAAACTTGGGCTGTAACTGAGAAAATACAAAAACTCATCGTTTTTTGCAAAATTAGTCTATGTATCATTCAAATTTGCAAATCCATTTTTTTAATACAAACTATTAATGAAATTATGTATTAATAAAGCATTTCACTGAAAAATGTTTTTTTTTCCCAGTAATATTATGTTACTTAACCCTAACTCCCTAGAATGGTTTACTAGGAACCTTCCTCACTCCTGCAAATTCCAACACCATATGGTAAACTGTACATAAAAACTGTTGGACTCTGATTATTGGTGGTATGCCTAACCCCATGTAAAGCATTTATAAGTAGTTTACTAGTGCAGTACTCACTCTAACAAATTCCAACAAACCCTGGTGTTGGAGTTTGACTGGATGGGGATTGATAGGGTTAAGAACCCTTCCCTTGCAAATTGGTGACATCATTTAAGAATATTCATGAATTTGTCTCTATTAAAACAAAATTATTACCCCAGATATTTAAGACTGTTCAGGTAACCAAAACAGCAGATTTTCTGTAATTCTTCCAATCCAGATATGAAAGTTGTGTTGGGCCTATGGGCAATTCCACAGTTACTCACGTTACACTTTTGAGTTTCCTTGGGCTGTAATTACCTTACTGAAAAGGTTTAATAACTGTTATCCCCATGGTAGATAGAGTAGACCTAGACCTACCTAAGCACCGTGGAATTGCCCCTATGCTATTTTGCATTTCATATTTTTGTCAAAAAAAGATCCCTGGTCCCGCTACTCACCAGCATATGGAAGTGATGCACAAAGTCCACGCCGAGCGCCAGCAGCTCCACGATCAGATCCGAGTAGTACATGATGGTGCCCCGTCTCTCCCACACGCCTTCGTGACGGAGGTCATAGAAGTGAATGCCGTACCTAACAACAAACGACAACGGATGGTGAAATTATGGTCAAACATCAGGCATTTATTGACTATTTCACTACCGGTACATTTGTCCAATCAACTGTGCACTGTTAGTGCATGTGGCAGCTGCAAGTGGATTATAGTATAAAACTTTTGTCTGTGCAAGTTTTTCGGTCTAACCCCCCCCCCCCCCCCACCCCCAATTGGACAAGGTTGGCTTAATTTCCAAAAAATCCCAATAGGTGAGGAACTGCAACATTTTGAGAAACAAAGAATTTTTTTATAATTATTAATTCAAGTTTTACAGTGACGCTTAATTAAAAAAAAAAACAGGAAAAAACAGGAAATCTGAACTTATGACTTTAAAGGGAATGTACAACATTTGGTTTTGCTGTAATTTTCAGAAATAAATGGATTTGGAGGAATTGTTACACTGACTTGTTTCACGTTTTGGGTTCGTAGATGCTGCAAAAACCAGGAAAACCAATCATATTCTTGCAGTCTGGTTCCCTGATCCCACTTAAGATGAAACGAAGCAATCGGACGTTGGGGAATTATGAGGTCAGAGAATCAGTCTAACCAGGCTTGTACCCCTTCACAGGTATGGTGTGTAATCAATTACAAAGAAAATGCAGGATAACTTAATATGAAAAATTGGGTGCAGTTTAAAAAAAAAAAAGTTTTCTCCAACGCTGGTCGGTCACCAGGAGCCAAGCACACCAGGAGCCATGATTGTACGGGATGCTTTAGACTGTCATGGTAATTTGATCATTTTGCTTTTTGATGTTTGCAAAAAGGTATCTTCCCTTTAAGAATATTGTTTCGGTGCATGTAATAACTAAGCAGTGCTTAGTTTAATAGGCAGAAATGGATAAAATAAAAATAACAATAAAAAGAAACAAGTCAGGTGTGTTTACAAACACAAATGCCCCGCAACGGTGACAGTTCCCATGACATAACACCACTCTTTTAACATCAACTTACATGTACCTTGGTCACATGGAACATTCATTGACAGCATTAGTGTCTTCTGTAGGTTTTATATGAATTAATCCCTAATCCCTATAATCTCAGAATAAATACATGATTTCTATTGTTTTAGCCACTGTGAACTTGACCCTTGACCTTTTGGCCCCAAATTCAATAGGCTTCTTAGGATTACCAAGAACAATCCACAAACCAAATTTGAAGTTCATATGTTAAGTATTTCTCAAGTTATCGCGCTGACAAGATTTCTATTTTTTTAGCCACTGTGAACTTGACCCTTGACCTTTTGGCCCCAAATGCAATAGGCTTCTTAGGATTGCCAAGAACAATCCACAAACCAAATTTGAAGTTCACATGTAAAGTATTTCTGAAGTTATCGCGCTGACAAGATTTCTATTGTTTTAGCCACTGTGAACTTGACCTTAGGCCTTTTGGCCCCAAATGCAAAAGGCTTCTTAGGATTGCCAAAAACAATCCACAAACCAAATTTGAAGTTCACATGTAAAGTATTTCTCAAGTTATCGCGCTGACAAGATTTCTATTGTTTTAGCCACTGTGAACTTGACCTTTGGCCTTTTGGCCCCAAATGCAAAAGGCTTCTTAGGATTACCAAGAACAATCCACAAACCAAATTTGAAGTTCATATGTTAATTATTTCTCAAGTTATCGCGCTGACAAGATTTCTATTGTTTTAGCCACTGTGAACTTGACCTTTGGCCTTTTGGCCCCAAATGCAAAAGGCTTCTTAGGATTACCAAGAACAATCCACAAACCAAATTTGAAGTTCATATGTTAAGTATTTCTCAAGTTATCGCGCTGACAAGATTTGTCCGGACACACACACACACCCACACACCCACCCACACACCCACCCACACACACATACTTGTTTCACATGACTGGTGTGGACTTTCCATTGCTTTCGTGTAGTTAAGAAAAACCAGTGAAAAAACTCATTTTTCTCAAACTGTGAAAACTTTTTCAACCCAATTTTTTTTCTATGATTCCCTTTAGTGTTTCTCTTCATTCTGCTACAGATAAACCTAACCCAAAAATGCCTCTAAACCTGTTTTCCAGAAATGGGGAAACACTGTGTGGACGTGGGGTAAGTCCACACAACGTCGGTGCTACCTACATTATGTGGACGTCTTTTGTTCGGAAGTCCACACTGCGTATGTAAGACAAACTCACCCACCCACACACTTACCCACACACCCACCCACACACCCACCCACGGAAGGACAAGGCGGAAACAGTATGCCCCTTCGGCTTCGCCGCGGGGCATAAAAAACATGTTTACCTGATCACAACATAGATGGTCCTCAACTCAAGCAGAATGACCTGTGATGCACATAAAACAAGAGGAATTTTTTTTAATAAACACTTCTTTTTAATATCCCAAAATAAACTGATGACTGATTTCACACTAAGTTGTTTAAATGCTTTAAAACGCTCAAACCCAGCACAATGTAAACAGTTCTAAATAAATCATGCTGATGAAGAGGAAACCTAAATATGAAAGTAACAAGAATATAAATTACCTCGGAAACGGTGAAGAAGAAGACGTTCCAGTCTTGCATGGCTCCCATGTAGCAGCTGAGCAAGATGAGTCCCTGGCACAGACCCACGATGGTTGTCAGTAGGAAGAGGACCTTACCGTGGGCCCAGCTCATGGAGGAGGGAGAAAATGACAACTGCAAAGGAGAGCGCCCCCAAGACATGTCTTCAAGATACACAGGATCATTTACTTTTTGTGCATTATATTTCTGAGCTGCGAGATAGCATCTCAACAAATCATCATGTCTCTTCGTTAGTCCATAAAGCCCCAGTCACGCATTCACGGTTGGAGCTACGAATATCCAAGGTTTACCAAGGTCCCATCGATCACGATGAACCGTCGAGATTCGTTGAGAAATGCTCTTATCTAAGACTGCACTACGGTTTCAGGACGGATAGCCACGACTATCCTAAGGTTTCTCTACGAATACACCACAGTTTGTCAAGAATTTGGGCGGATTGCCGGCCATCGGTATTTGCTGGGGTCCACTGCATGGTAACATAATTAAAGCTATGATGAAGGACTGGAACCAGTGACTATGGCCTACATACCGTACCATGTACCATGAATGACTACAAAGTGTAACAGGATGAATTTGGATCGTGGAAAATACCAAACAAACATCGGTGGAGAAAGAGAATTTCTGCAAATTAATTCCCAGAAAGTGATCTCTCTTTTCTGTGTATGTATTTTCCGTAAAAATATATTTATAACAAGATTTTACCGCTCGGACTTGATGCAACGCAGCGTGTTTCTACAAAATTTTCAGCCACAGCACGTGGGTTCGTGTCAATGTGATATGCATGATCTCACGCTCGGGCCGAATGTACGCTTTCCTGAGCCGCTTTTACCGACTCACACTGTCCGCACTGGACTTATCGTCTCGGGAAAAGCGACCTGGTCAGTTTTCCTGGCAGCAGTTCGCCAGTAGAAGTAACCACAGGACTCAGGAAAAGTAACTGAGAGGAAAAGGTCCCAGGCTGTCCGCACAGGTAAGCTTTACCAAAATAAGTCCAGTGCTGACAGAGCTAAAGGCATTCCTTTGCTACTGTTCAACATTGCTGTGGTCAAGTCCATCTCAAGCCATCTAGTCCCAAGTCATGTCACAAGCTATTGAGATGAACCCTTACAAGGGCACACTTGTTCCCTAACTGAGGGGACTACACACGAGTTGTCCCATGGTACTATGGGGACCAAAGACGATGGCCCTAATTTGCCTAACAATAAAAAACTTCCCCATATCGCGACAGGTGAACAGGGTGAGTCAAACAAACAAAAAACCCAAATGTCTGGACCATTTTTTTTTTATTCTGCATGTACATACATGTACCACTTTCAAAATCTTTTAGTACAAGAATCATTCAAATCACTCATGTACTTTTCAAGTTACGGAATTTTAAACATCTGTCCACGGATCACAAAAAGGTAAGTGTTCTTTCAGCAAAATGAAAACAATTTACAAGCATCCTTATGTGAATTGTGTTCATTTTGCTGAAAGAACGCTTACCTCTTTGTGATCCGTGGACAGATGTTTAAAACAGGTTTGTGTTCAAAATTCCGTAACTCGTAAAGTGCATGAGTGATTTGATTGATTCTTGTACTAAAAGAAAGCTTACTAATTGGGCTTTCATATCGTAGATTACGAAAGTGCTGCATGCAGAACTTCATTAAATAATTGGTCCTGCCATTTGGGCTTCATTTTTTTTTGTACTTCACGCCAGACATGTGCGGACCTGAATGCGCATGCAGTGTCCCACCCAATGGGACCTCATGGCCATTTTGTGGCCTTATTTTTTCGGGCTGCTGTTTTTGCCACTGGGACACTGAGTTGAATAGGCCTACTGTACTCACATATTCAAAACGATCCTTGCAGAGCCCAGACAGCGTGTGAAGGAAGGCGAGGGCGGCAAACCAGACCATCCACATGACCATCTCCTCCAGCGTCTGCACGTTGAGCACGCCGAAGATGATGATGAACTTGTAGAAGATGAACTTCCACAACTTGTCTCGCATATGCTACAAGAAAGACCAAAAGTATGTATTAAAAAAGTTTAAAGTTGGTATGACTGTGCTTAAAATCAACATTTACTGCTGTCCCAATGTAAGCCAAAAAAGAAACACGAATGTGACAATTAGAGTGAAAAAAAAAATGTTAAGCTGAATTGCTAATTTTTAATCCCAACTCCCTAGGCATTTTTGCAAGGATGCAGCCTCAATCCTACAAAATCTTCCAACTGCCTCCATGTAAAAATAGCATACAGCCTTAACCCTCCAAAATCAGCCGTTATTTCTTGAATGTGGTCCTTGGAGGGATGACCACTGCCTCGATCCTGCAAAATCCTCCAGCAATCACTGTGAATATGTTGAGGCAGAGCCAATGACATCCTGGAGCAGTGCAGAGGATTTCAAATATAATGTAGGCCCACGTTTATGCACTGCTGAGCATAAACAACACAAGGTCTGGCCCAAGACCTTGACACAGTGCATCCTCCAAACTCTGCCACACATTTTTGCCATATACCAGTAGCCTCAATCCTACAAAATCCTCCATTTTGCAAAGAGGATTTTGGAGAATTTGGGAAGGTAGGATTCATTATCAGAAAACATGCTTTCCAATGAGAATTTCCACACATCGGCCCATGATTTAGTAACAGATTAAGAGTTTCAAATCTTAATTAGGAGCACTTCTTTCCTACATCTCATTTTGACATTGAAATGGGGTTAGGGTACGTGTAAATGGTAAACATTTCATATCAACCATACATTATACCCGCATACATGTTAACAAAAGATTGACTTCTAAATTTACCCGGTATCTTTCCATGATGTTTTTAATGAAATTCGTGTGAACCTGTTAACCTTTGTCAATTGCACAGTTATCTTGAAAGCCCATAGATTGAATTCACTACATTGTAAGCTACAGTGCATTTCTATACACTGTAAATAATAATTTCATTTAAGTATGCCATCGTGACCATATGGTACGATTACAGACAGGACTTTAAAAAGACAGATATTTTTTTAGACATAGAAGTAGTCATACATTATAAAATGCATTAGTGGCAATACATTCACAGAAATTTTGCTGCCGGAGATAGTGTACATAATTACATGTATGTACAAGGTTTGAACAGCAGTGCCAGTATATTTTTCCTTTTCAAAAAAAATTATTAATGAGAACTATTAATTGACAATTGCAACATGGATGTCTGCAAATTATCACTCTTGCATTTTCCATTAGCAATCTACATGTACATGTATAAACCACCGGTACTATCTAGTAACTATGACTGAAAAAGAAACCTTGAATAAAAAAGTAAACAGCAAATACATCATTATCCTGGGCTGGTGGGTCACAAATCTAATGTGATATTGATATGACATATCTGTTTATTTCAAGTGGCATCCCCCCCCCCCCTGATCTTCAGCAAATTATATTTTTTTGGAGGCAGTTGGAGGATTTTGCAGGATTGAGGTTACATCCTAGCAAAAATGCCTAGGGAGTTAGGGTTAAGCTAAACCAATTGTTGTCAATTTGGCAAATTGGCATTGCCAATGAAATATCCAGAGGATCTTTTTTTTTCTGGGTGCAAAACTTACCTGCCTTTCTCCGGCTCTGAGCTCTCCGAACACAACATGCTGCACAAGTCGCCCCAGGAGAATGAGGACGCAGAAGGCAAGATTGATTAAAGACTAGATGAACAACAAGAAAGGAGAGAAAACAAGACAATGTCAAAAGCACAATCAAATGTCACAAATAACAACTTTTAAAAATAGAGTGTGGTTAAATGCAAAATTTTACATGCAAAATGCAAGTTTTAGTGTGAGATTTCAGGCAGAGAGAAAGGTTTATGTATTTTGAACCAAAAGAGTTTTTTTGTGAGATTTTAACATTCTAAATACATGTACATTGTACATTGTATGTTTTAGCAATTTTAAGATGGTTTGACAAACCGTGCTACCATAATGTGAGTCACCAAAATACAAATGTATATCCTTCTAGAGATTTCAGCATTGATTGATTTAATAATGGATATGGTAGCATCACACCTCTAACCCTAACAGAACTCAACCCATCAAACCTCAACGGCATATTTTGTTGGAATCTGTCAGGATGGGTACAGTACCCCTAACTGACAGTCTTTTACATTGGGTTGGCACACCTCCAGAATCAAAGTCGGAAATATGTGTGTGCAGTTTCCCATATGGCATTGTATGGTGTTGGAATTTGCCAGGATGGGTATGGTGGTTTCTAGTAAATCATGCTGGGGAGTTAGGGTTAATGATGTAAGGTCACTGAAAAGATTTTCCAACAGTTCACAGTATATGAGGAAACTTTAAAACGCAAGATACTTAAATTATTTTCCATGTTCACTTTGTGTAACATGAGTTAATTACCGATAAAAATGTTTTGCCACACCAACAGAAGTTTATTTTGTCTGCATATTGTTTGTAGGATCTTCTGTGAGGAAAATCCACCCTAAATATTTTGCATCTCTCGAATAGCAGTATAAAGTTGATGAAAGACCCCTTCTAAATGTAACGTGAGCTACCATGAATTGCCCATCAGATACAAACAACAAAAGTACTATGAAGACATACATTTGTACATGTACTGTAAATGACTAATGTTTCCAATTTATATTTATACTTTAGTGACAGTGACCTTTAGAGTATTCAATTCCTAATCCAGAAAATAAAACCTGACAATGCACAAATCAAATGTCAACTTGATACACTGTGTATATTTCAGGTATTACTGCGTTTACACGATTACCATTGTAATGATACTGTGACCTTGACATTGTTGTGTTCCTAAATTTCCATACAATGCTGGCATATGACACACATACCCAAATACTAGACACCTAAACAGTCTAGTGTCGGCACCTTGAACATAATTCCTAACCATGTAGTTTCTTTGAGTCCAATATGTTCCTCAATAATTAACAACAAAATAAATACCTGACATCTTAATTAAAACATCGCATGTCTTTTGCCAACATGAACTACATTGTTTACTATGTAGAAAATGGGAGGGATTGCATGCTCTTTTTGTTGTTGGTTTGTTGTTTATTTGTTTCATTTTGTTTTGTTTTGTACTTTATTTGGTGGGGGGGGGGGTATCGGTATTACAAACAAACTTTGAACACTCCATACGTTGTCATCCTGATTACACAAATTATGTCATTGATGTGCAAAGCCCAATGTTAAACGGACATTACGTTCTGGAATGCGCCTAATTAAATGCAATTAAACGATCTATGTTAATTGGAAAAAGCATTTAAAAGTTGGATATAACGTCCACACAACCATTCTTTTAAAAACTGGGCATTTTTGTGTTATTCTTAAGAGAACCATACAAGAACAAAATTTTCACGCTCAAAAATTGAGCTGTTGGGTGCTACCGTAGATGTGAATCTTGCCGCACAGTGGTTCGCATTCTGCGGACATGCAAGAAACAACATGTTTTATGTGACACACAACATGTATCGTACATTGAATGGACGCGGCTGGACATGCATTATATGCCACAGAATGTCCGCCGTGTCCAACGTAAACAACCGCTTTCTTGGGATCGGTAGCACATTAGGTTTGTTTCCTTTCAACCAGACCTTTGAAATAGGATAAGTAAACAATCCAAAACGTAACATTTTCGGGGATTTCAGGCCGTACATGTATAAATGCCCCATTAAGATTTACCAAATACATGTACATGTATTACACTATCTTTTAAAATGTTATATAATTTTGGAGCCAAAGTTCATCACCCACAGACATTAACTACAATGTACATTGTACCTTCAATAACCAAAATGACAGGTGCAATTGCAACATGAAATTACTGTCTGTGGTCATAATGTACCATGGACCCTAGACTGGGACTGTTGGATTTAAATAACTACATGTACACGTATGCAGACACACTATTTTTGCATGATGTGTAACCATACAAAATAGTTACCTTCCCATAGCATTCAACAAGTGCATGCACATAATTATGATACATGTCATGTACCATCAGTGTTTCCCCTGGCTAATGAACTGAGCGAGGTGGTAACAAGATGATTGAAACAAAATTTATGCAGTCTGCAAACTGAAAAGAATGCAGCACTCACAGAAATGCGCGATGATTCCAAAAACACATCAAAACTGTGAGTTCTTGATACATGGAGGTAAAGGAAAACGCTCATATATTACACAAAATGATCTTTTTTCAATTGATATTTCCTTTATTGTAAATCTTCACAGCGAGGTGGTGATATTGGCAAAAATTGAGGGAGGTGGTCACTGAAAGTAGCGAGGTGGGCCGCCTCACGTTTGAATGGGCAGGGGAAACACTGTGACCCATTATCATTATGTGCATGCCCTGGTACTTGTTGAATGCTATTGAAAGTGTAAAGTTTTGGAAATGGATATTTCAGGGAAAAGAGAGGATATGCAGAGGAGGGGTGGTGGTATTTCCAACATCTATCTCGGTTTATACATGTACTTAGTTGTACACTCTGACAACGCCCACAAAAGTTGGGCCATTAGAGCAATTAGTCCATTCTTGTGTAAAAGCATTGCCCAAATGTGAGGCTTTCTGGCAAAATGAGACCAAAACTGGGCAGAGGTCGAAATGAGGATTTGCAGGAATTAGGAAAGAGAATAAAAAATTCTCCGCACCGTACTGTTTATTGCACTTCAATTGGACATTCTGTTGACAAGTTATAGCTGTTAAAGTTCAAATTTATCGAAAGGTAAGACTGAGAAAAAGGCCTACTTTCGAGTTTTGTGCATTTGTGAAAAAGAAACACGCCAATTGTTTTTCCTCAAAAAGTCTTTTATTCCACGATTTTAATATTCTTTCTTTAAAGCTTGTGTTGTACATGTACATATACATGTATGAAGATATCAAAGATTACAAAATATCAAAGATTACAAATATCAACAAATCTGAAAATCGAAAAAAAATCAACCCCATCAGCCTATTTCGCGAGCCCTAATTTTTTTCACTATTGCCTGCGCCCAGTTCTGTCTCCTTTTGCAAGAACGCCTCATATTTTGTTCTAATCACTTCGTTATGGCTCGCAAGTACATGTACACACACATCTGTGGAAGCCAGCCGTAGCCAATGAATTCAGACACAGCCGATGATGTACATGTACAATGAATTCATGTCTGAACAAGAAAAAGCAATGACTGTGTTTCATTGTAAACAATGGAAAATATGTGTAACCTATATGCGTGTTGGCTATCAAAGTACATGTACATTGTAATTGTTGGCTATTAAATTACTGGTATCTATTAATTTGTTTTGTTGTTTTCACCAATAAAGTTTCATCCAAATATGAGCCAGTTAATATCTGACCCGACATTTTGTACCAAAGTTTAATTGATGGAAGCTCTTGAAAGAAGAAGCCCCATTTTTCAGTGTTGACGTCCATAAAGGTTTTGTTTAAAAATTTGAATTCATTAAAAATTATAATGTGACTTAATGCTGTATTTTATCGATACATGTAAGTGCAGTCCACAAATTCAGCCAGATTTTTTTTCTACAAAATTGGGGTGGGGTGGAAGGAGGAATGGGGGGGGGGGGGGGGGGGGTGGGGGTCATTCAAAGAATAGAGTTAACTTGTTAATGCCACTAGTGAGCCAGGGAACTGGACTTACCAGCACTGACCACACATCTGCCATCATGATCCGACACAACTTGACAATCTCACCGTCGTCCTCCTGAATTCCAAACAGGTACCGAGAACCGTGGCTTTCGTTTGCCCCTCCCGTCCAACCAGCCCCACCCCTCTCACCAAACATGGTCTCGCTCCCATCTGCGGCATCTGGCCCGGGATTGGTCAATCCGGCAGTTTCCACTGTCTCCAGGGTGTCTCTGGCATACAGGAAGCACCAGGCTAAGCTGAGGCAGCTCAGGGCAATGTAGGTCTGGAGCGGAGGGAGGGATGGCGGTTGAAGTACCAGCACGGGCATGGCTGGTTGATGATTGGTGTTCAGCGTACAACGTTATTAACTATTTCTCACTGGTGCGCCTCATTCACACTGAACATTATGATGTACATGTGTACTCTGCAATGCTGAAAATACAACAACAACAACAAAAAATTAACAGAAACTGTTGCAAGTAATACACTGGTACAGTGTATGAGTGATTTGGTTAAATTTTCCTATTTCAGTTTTCAGTTTCAAACAATTTCGCATTCCTAAAATGTTTCCCCAACTTCTAATTGAATCGGCAATGGCACAGCATCTACAACAGAGCCGTGCCACTGCCATTCGGAATGACGAAAGTGCAGCAGCCCTGTCACCTTAAAGGGCTTTGCTGTGCCGAACTCAATATGCCGAGCCAAATGGTCCTAAACGCCGTGCCATCAACGTGCCAAATTTTAAAAAGTCAAATTCATTGAGTTCGGCACAGCAATAGAACGGCGTCTAAAACGGGCCTGAGAGTCCTAGTGCGACTACACAACCGGACAAGAGTTCAGATCTAAGACTTCCTACTGCTTGCTTCTGCACCTTGCATTTTTCAAACTGAATGTTGTTTAGACTTTGTAAGCATGCTACATGTGCTAAGGTGATTGTGTACATGTAGTTACAGGCCCGGTTCCTATAAGAGAACAAAAATCCACTATTAGGTTATTGGACTTTACCAAACTATAGTGACATTTTAAATCAAACCAACAGTAGTGTCGTTGACAGGGCAGGGTTTTGATATTTTGGGGGAAAGTACGGGGTAAAACGACAATGAGATGACAAAATGCAACACGAAAATAGAGATGACGATCACCGTGACGCACAGTGAATGTGCACATTGAACCGCGTTGATTCACATGGCATCAAAAACGATCAACTGTCAATAGTGGTGTGACTGTCATTCAACGTCATGACTATAAAAAATAAAATGCTAAGAAAATCGCATTTTCTACAGTCAACTGTGAAAGAGACTGTTCAAAATTACAAAAATAGTGTCATCAGAATTGAGAGAAGTCTGTTTTACATACAACTAGGTTGCAGGAAAAATTTGGCTACCCGATCACCACTTTTTTCAATTAATTTTCTAGCGCCAAAAGTTACATCTTTTATGGTTATTCCCTCCACTTTCCCTCCTCTACTCTCACCCTCTCCTTTCCTTAATTTCTATTTATCAATCAGTCACTCACTTCATCGAGATTCGAACCTCGGACGCTTGCTTGATACACGAGACTCTTAACCGATAGGCCGCACACGATCGCTGTTGAAATGATCAATCTTTGGACGCATTTGAAGTATCCATTGAAATAAACTAAATATTCATAAAAAAATAAATATTCATAATGACGTATTGCACTATCATTGGCCGGCTCATGCGACGTCATGGTTATCGATGTCATGCGTATAACGTACCGCTGTTCCAGATACTTCAATCAGTTTTGACCGGCTGCTTCAACTCAGATCTGCACTACATGTGCATGCAAAATGTGCTCTAAAAACACATTTTTACTAATTTTTTTCGCATGTCCACTGTTTCCGGGATTCCTCTTGGTTGAAATCACAAGGTGAGGTGAAACTGAAAATTTGGATGTTTGGCGGCAGGTAAGTGGTGATCGGTTAGCCGAATTTTCCCACATCAAAAAATGAAATGATCAAATTATCATGAAATATTTTACTGGATTGTAAGGGAATGACAGTCCAAAGCATAAGTCCAAACCAACTATCTTGTTGCCGGCTAGTACACGACTACGGAGTGGGAGTCCCCTTGATAATGCTTGAGAACAAAGCAACACAAAAGGAATGGGGGTTGCTTAGAATCTCAGAATCTCAGAAAGTTGACTGGATATCGCCACTAGGCATCATCATGCAGTTTGACTTCACGCTGGTGCCGTGCAAGCGTGAAAAAATTGCTGAAAAAATTTTAAGTCCAAACCAACTACCCTGTTGCCAGCTACGCGGATACGGAGTGGTGTGCAGTGGAGCATGACGTGTGTAGGCCTAGTACATACAGGTAGCGCTGAGGTTTGTTGAGGGCAATCAACTGTGACTACGTAGCCGGCTACGAGGTGCATAGATCGAGTGGCGGGTATTCTGCAATTCGTCACCGACACCACGAAGTAACACTCTACCGTGTTTTCAGTTTTTTGGATTTTAAAACATTATTCATCAAGCCTACCATTGCACGAAGTTTCAAAGCTTCAAGAGCTTTACTGTAATAATTACGCTAAGTATCCATGGCAACTTTTGCGCAAAAGTGACAATTTTCGTTTTCACGAAGTAACACTCAGTTCAATTTACCATTGCAATGCATGGCGCGCACTCTGCTCATACATTTGTAAGTGAGCAAAAACAGCAAGATTACCATGCGAAGTTCACTAATTTTCCTCTGTATTGACTAACAAGCCCCCAGATAGCAATTTCATGTCATCAAAGTCTATTTGAGCAGTGAGAAAATACAAGCATTTTCTTAGAAAACACTTAGAATTTTTCAGTCCAGTCTCATAGGGTTTGTACACAGGGTGTTGAGTGAACTTCGTATATATGGAAATCTTTCCGCAAAAACATTTTCACGAAGTAACACTCTTCATGTAATACCTTGTATGAGCGCGCGCGCTGACCTGAAGTTGCACTTTCCTCGTAATGAATACATTGAAGAGTGTTGCTTCGTGAAAACGAAAAATTACAGTTTCGCAGCCTTTTCGGTTTCACGAACTAACACTCATCTTTTTTCTCCTATTTCTTGTTTATTTAATACACAAACGGGTGAAAAACAGCAGATTTAATAAATTCAATTCATCAAGTGTCTACAACGAGAAACCCAACTGAAAATACTCTGTCGTTTTGACGCAAAGTGTTGTTTTAGAAGGCGTTCAACTTTAGTTGCCGTTTTCTCCGATTGCTAGTTTTTACTGGTATGTAGTTGGGTGTTACTTCGTGGTGTCGGTGACGAATTGTGCTGAATTTTTGCGGGAAATTTGGGGGTAAAATGACGACAATGACAAAACGCAACACAAATATAAAGATGGCAATCACCGCGCGATGTACGTGAGCACGCAAGTCGTGCCACACGGCACCAACCAGCACCAACCGGCCCGTAAATCACGTAGGAATATCGTAATTTCTACCCAAAGAAACTGTTTAAAATTTACCGAGAAAGTGTCATTAGGCCTACATTGTGAGACGTCTGCTTTAGGTTGACAATGACAGTGTCATTTTTTAGGAATAAAAAAATTCTTGATTCTAATTTGATCGAAACAAAACAAGGGCCCTACACAACACGATCCCCACTACTTCCTCACTCTGCAGTGCCATTGGCAAGCAAGGCGTAGGCCTACCAGAACTCTTTAGTCTTGGCCTTGGTCACATACATGTACATGACGTAGGATTGGTTGCCATATTATCGTGGTACTTTTCACATTTCTCGTTCGGAATACAGATTGCCCACTAACCTTCCCGAATTGTCCTGTCTTTTGTGTAGTATAACTCTTCCTTTTCAAATTGATATAAAAAAATCCGACAGTGGTGTGGTTTATTCCGTGTGCGATGCCTGTAAAAATAGACATGCGCAGAGTGTGCAAATGGAGGTGGACTCCCTATTATCGTGGTATGCCGAAGTGGTTTTTACAATGATCCCAACTTTTTTATTCATAGTTAATGTTTGACAAAAACATCCCCATAAAGTCTGATATTTTCCCTGTAACGTTCAAGTTGATTAAAGACTATATTTCTGCAGGATGATTTCTTAAGACCCTGCCCTTTCCCCGAAAGGAGAACACAAATTACTGAGGCAAGTCTACTGACATGACTGATTGACGATTGGGGCGTCATTCACTTTACACGGTGTGCCATTTTATTTTGTTAACGCACAGTGCTTATTTTGATCCCGTAAAAGTTTTTACAATTTCACGGTGCAAATATCATCGTTCGACTTCATTTTACATTTGCAGCTGAAGAACATGATGGAAGAATGGGAACCAGACAATGGAACTTTCATGGACAGAGCACAATTAAAGTTTAATGTAAAAATATAAACGGTACCTTTAGCAGACACGGTGAGGGGAAATTTGCAAGTTTTGGAAAACGTTAATAATTCATCAAAAATCGTTAAAAGTCCCGAAAGACACAACATTTTTTAATCATCCTTTTTAATTTTATACAACTCGGCAAAACGTCCTTAATGACTGGTGAACTGGATAAAAAATCGCCATTTGAAGGAGTTTTGGCAACGCAAAAAGAGAAATTTCCCATGCCGCGATAATAGGGATGCCGCGATAATAATAATTAATAATAATAGGATGCCGTGATAATACTATATCACTTTATCAGTAAAAAGCCAATAGGGAGTCCGACTAGTAGTAGTATACGTCTGCAGTAGCAGTGGAGTGCATGCAGTGTGGCTGCGAGTGTAAATGTACGGGCATGACGGGTACGCACGTCAATCTTGTCTGTCGTTTTGTAATTGAAATGTAGGCCGCCCTAGTCCTAGATCAACTTGAGGACTATAAACTTACCTTACAAAATAATACAACGAATCTCCAATAAACGACTTCAACACAATACAACAAACCTCCTAAATTTAACCAAACTGTAAACTGGACACAACTGTTTTGCTTCCCGCATCGAACACCTAAATCTCACGGCCATTATTTTGTGACATGGAGGGCGCCCTCAGTCGTTTTCCATTAAGACACGTAGCATTATCATCGATGCATCACGATGGTGTAACTTTCGAGGGTTTATTTTTATCAATAACTTTTTGGCATTTTTTTATGAGGATTTTTTTTATTTTGAAGTATCACCTGTAGAGAATAGAACACAGTGTGCAGTCCGATCACAGCCAAGTTCTGTCAATCATATAAACGTCTATACAGTTTTGGAGCACCCCTATTGTACCTATGATTTTAATACGCTATTTATAGGCCTAAGGGTTTCCGAAAGAGCCCGTTGAAGGAATCAAGGAATCCCAATTAAAATTTACAGCTCTCTTAAGAAATCCGCCCACCGCACCAGATTATCAATGTCGCCAATGTTTTGTTCATAGCATGCATCAATATCAAAATATGCTTGTCAAAAAATTGCCTGTCAAAAGTTTCTGCCATGATGAACAGTGCCCTCTGCAGATGTCCCCCAATGGCGCAATTGATTCAACGCGATTGATTTCCAGAAAACACCATGGGGTTGGCTGGGTTTAGTTGGTTGGGATATCGAAACTGTAAGGTTTATAAAGCTTTATGCGCAAACTACTTAAAAAGGCGCCTAAAGTACTGTAGCCAAATGGGGTACAGATTAGGGTGACCCCTTTTATACCCGGAAAAAGTGCCTGGGTTATTTTAACCCGAGGACGGTAAAACTGCAACTATCCAAAATTGGGTTGTCCTTTACCCTTTGGCTTCGAATTTCTGTTAAATTCAATCAAAACTTGTGGTCATACCAGACTTAATTTAATTTGGCCGTGTATGACCACACATTTGGTTGAATTTAACATAAACTGCTTGGGTAAAATCATGGTAAAATTAACACATGCCCCTCCCCCCCCCCCCAAAAAAAAACGAAACCAATTTTTGTGTGTGTGACATCGCAATAAAGGCAGGCAATGAGTACACCACCATCTTTTCCTCAAAAAACATTGGTTAAAATGGTCAGAAATTGCCTCAGATCGCACCACAGAGCATGTAGAATCCAAAAAATTTTCGGGGCCCTTAAGCGGGCCCCGAACCCACGCCGTAATATTTTTTGACCCACTTTTTTGGGGACCAAATTTATTTGGGCCGCCCAAAAAATTGTGTTCTGGATCCGCCCTTGCCCCCCCCCCCCCCCCCCCCAATAATGTGTAAAGAGTGCCCCTTTTTGTAAAGAAGTGCTTTTTCTTCAACAAGTGCCCTTTTTAAAAAGAAGTGGTGCCCTTTTTATGCCATCGGCCATTCCGGGTGCCTTTTTTTTCCACGCATGTATCGCCCTGAAAAGTGGAAAAGGTTAGAGGATTGTAGGTCATGGTGGAGCACAGCACAGCAGAGTACGGTGGAGCAAGATGAAGCACAGTGGAGCACGGTGGAGCACGGTGGAGCAAGGTGGAGCAAGGTGGAGCAAGGTGGAGCAAGGTGGAGAACGGTGGAGCACGGTGGAGCAAGGTGGAGCAAGGTGGAGTACTGTGGAGCACGGTGGAGAACGGTGGAGCACCCTGGAGCAAGGTGGAGCACGGTGGAGAACGGTGGAGCACGGTAGAGCAAGGTGGATCAGGTGGGCCACGGTGGAGCAAGGTGGAGCACGGTGGAGCACGGTGGAGCACGGTGGAGCACGGTGGAGCACGGTGGAGCACGGTGGAGCACGGTGGAGCACGGTGGAGCACGGTGGAGCACGGTGGAGTACTGTGGAGCATGGTGGAGCACGGTGGAGCACGCTGGAGAGCAAGGTGGAGTAAAGTGGAGCACGGTGGAGTAAAGTGGAGCACGGTGAAGCAAGGTGGAGCAAGGTGGAGAAAGGTGGAGCACGGTGAAGCACGCTGGAGCATGTTGGAGCATGGTGGAGCAAGGTGGAGCAAGGTGGAGAACGGTGGAGCAAGGTGGAGCATGGTGAAGCACGGTGGAGCACGGTGGAGCATGGTGGAGCAAGGTGGAGCAAGGTGGAGCACGGTGGAGCACGGTGGAGCACGGTGGAGCATGGTGGAGCAAGGTTGAGCAAGGTGGAGTACTGTGGAGCACGGTGGAGCAAGGTGGAGCATGGTGGAGCACGGTGGAGCACGCTGGAGAGCAAGGTGGAGCAAGGTGGAGCACGGTGGAACACGGTGGAGCATGGTGGAGCACGGTGGAGCACGGTGGAGCAAGGTGGAGCAAGGTGGAGCAAGGTGAAGCAAGGTGGAGCACGGTAAAGCAAGGTAGAGCAAGGTTGAGCACGGTGGAGCAAGGTGGGGCATGGTGAAGCACGGTAGAGCACGGTGGAGCAAGGATGAGCAAGGTGGAGCACGGTGGAGCAAGGTGGAGCAAGGTGGAGCAAGGTGGAGAACGGTGGAGCACGGTGGAGCACGGTGGAGCAAGATGGAGCAAGGGGGAAGAACGGTGGAGCACGGTGGAGCAAGGTGGATCAGGTGGACCACGGTGGAGCAAGGTTGAGCAAGGTGGAGCACGGTGGAGCAAGGTGTAGCACGGTGGGGCACGGTGGGGCACGGTGGAGCATGGTGGAGCATGGTGGAGCACGGTGGAGCACGGTGGAGCACGGTGGAGAACGGTGGAGCACGGTGGAGCAAGGTGGAGCATTGTGAAGCATGGTGGAGCACGGTGGAGCAAGGTGGAGCACGGTGGAGCACGGTGGAGCAAGGTGGAGCACGGTGGAGCAAGGTGGAGAAAGGTGGAGCACGGTGGAGCAAGGTGGAGCACGGTGGAGCATGGTGGAGCAAGGTGGAGTACGTTGGAGCATGGTGGAGCACGGCGGAGCAAGGTGTGGAGCAAGTTGGAGCACGATGAAACATGGTGGAACAAGGTGGAGCACGGTGGAGCACGGTGGAGAAGGGTGGAGCATGGTGGAGCATGAGTACTGTGGCGCACGGGTGGAGGATGATGGAGGTTCTATGAGCACGGTGATCGGAGTAGAGCACTGACAAATCCCCACCTAGAAATCTCAAAAGAATTCCTGGAACACAATGACCAACATAGAAGGGGGAGGGGTCCCCTCCGTCGCATATCTTGCTTCACATGGTTACAATACGATCGACTCGCAACACCAGATGCTTGCTTGCAATAAGCTAGTGCAGCGAATAATTCTGAATCATGACAAGTAAATAGAAGTCTGTGTGCTCGGGGACCAACTAGTATGCTTTCCTTGTTTTGTGCGGGCACCTCTGGGCTATGACAGTGAAAATCATAATAGGCGTACCCAGGGGGGGGGGGGGGGGGGGGGTATTTACCCCCCCCCAAAAAAAAAATATTTCTGAAAGACTGCCCTTTTCCAATAAAATGCCCTTTTTTCCCCAGCGCTTACCCCCCCCCCCCAATAATTTTGTACGAGTGCCCTTTTTTTTTTATTAAGAAGTGCTCTTTTTCTGAACGATTGCCCTTTTTAAAAAAAAAAGAATTGTTGCCCTTTTTGTGCCAGCGGCTGTTCGGGTGCCTTCCCCCCCCCCCTTAATTTGACGCACTTATCGCCCCGAATAGCCCCATATATTGTCCATTAGTGTGAAAAAATGGTCGGTTTTGAACAACGCCCCCACCGACAGATGTACCAAAAAGTGCTTACATTTACGACGGATGTGCAAGTGCCCTTTTCGCAAAATTTTAAACACCCCCCCCCCCCCAAGCAAAATGACCGTGCTACGCCACTGAGCATTCGTTGGTTCTTATCACGTGAAGTATTGTGCAAGGGCTGGCTGTGCTCATTCCAATGGATTTTTCCTGCTCCGTCCATTTTCTGACTGTCAATCAGCTATATAGGACGTGAAACTATTTGCGTAACAACAATAATGGTCACATTTTGCACGGAATACCTTTACTATAAGTGAATGAAACACGCTGCAAAGCAGCATAATTCTGCACTGTAATTTATTTAAAGTTGTCATAATTGTATACATAAATTGCATGTCGACAAATATAGATTTTCCTTGCAGCTTTACATGCAAACCTGAGAAGTAGTATAGGTCCTACAGTTGAAAATACATTCACTCTTAACAAATATCAGAACTTAGAGAACTTTGCTTATATAGGCTATGTTAAGGTTACACGTAATACAAAGTCGCGGTTTAGCTAGGAAATCAAAAGATTATTAACAAAAATTTTCAAGTACTGTATATAAACGCTTCTATTTAAAAATTTTTTTACGGTTATTATTATTGTCGAAGGCTTATCTTTACAGATTTGTCATTTCTTTTTCCTCAAAATGAAATGATCTGATCCCCAGATTCAATACAATTAAACGCATGAATGAATGTTCTTATAGTAATTACTGGTTACCCTGTTAACAAGTTGCCTCTGGTCATATTGCGTATAAAAGCACTCTACCCAGGGTGAGTCTAAAAAAGCGAAACCCAAATGTCGAAACCATTGTTTTAGTGAAGTTCTGCATGTAGTCCTTTTAAAATCTAGAATACAAAAGCCCAATTCATAGGCTTTCTTTTAGAATGAGAATCATTTAAATGACTTATGTACTTTTCAAGTTACGGAATTTTAAACACAACCACCGTTTTAAAGTTCTGTCCCCGGATTACAAGAAGTAAGTGTTCTTCAGCAAACCGAAAACAAATCACATAGGGATGTGTGTGAATTGTTTTCGTTTTGCTTAAAGAACGCACACCTTTTTTTGTGATCCGTGGACAGAGCTGTAAAACAGTGGTTGTGCATAAAATTCCGTAACTTTAAAAGTGTATGAGTGATTTGAATGATTCTTAATTGTACTCAAGGAAAGCTTATGAATTGGGCCTTTATATCCTAGATTTTCAAAGTGCTATACTTGCAGAACTTTACTGAAACAACATTCCCGACATTTGGGTTTCGCTTTTTTGGACTCACCCTGTATACATAATTATAAAGGCCGTATCAAACATCGTTACTTTGTGGCTACAATTTCGGTTTGTGCCGTTGGCGCGTTACCGTTCCTGTTCTCAAAGTCAGGACGATTTGGCTTCTGCTTTCTTGGTCCCGTTAGTCACAGATTTGACTGGTCCCCGCGTCGTCACAGCATGCAAGAGAGCAATGGTTGCCAGCGGTGACACCCAATAGACCAATAGGTGCTCGCCTACCGGGTGATTGCGGCAGTTGAAGGTCAAGGCCGAGGCTAGGGCGGGGTTAAACATCATCCCGGTCCACTCTGCACCTATACAATGTATAAAATGGAACGAAAACATCAATCTTTTCCTTTTTTTAAGCGAGGCAGTCATTAATTTTCAAGCTGGTTCCAAGATGCTAGAATGAGTCTTTCGAAGGAGATGACTTTACCCATGCTTTACCTAATGCGATAATGACAACCTGGACGGCAGAATCGAAGGCAATGCTCCTCATTTTGCCTCGCGGCATCAGGTACTTCCTGGCGGCGAAGTACAACAGAGTGGCCAGGGCTTCTGCCGCTACGCCGCCCAGCAGTGAGGCGTGTAGCGCAGAGTTGCACTGCTCCTGTATCATGGCCTGCCACTTGATGCCGTGACGCGCCGTGGGGGCGGTACGCCAGAGACGCTTGGCGTACGGGAAGGCGAGCTGGCCTCCAAGTACCTGGGAGCAAGCTACGATAAAGAACAGAAAAGGACAGTATTGTAATTTGGTTGAAAAGACAAAACAGCTTGCAGTGAGGAATTAAATCAGTTATGTTTCATGCCCTATTACTTTTCATGCAACCAAGTATATAGTCATTGAACACAGCGCATGCTTCAGTTGTTAACGGAATGGTTGTCGTAATAATGTCAGGCATACGACTATATAGATGAGAAATAGGTGACCTGGTCTTACATGTGCTGATGGCATCCATGGCATCGACCTCCCCACGTAACCATGCCTGCCAGGCCAGACCCAGGTTAGCTGTGCAGTCCTTATCGAAGGTGAAGCCAAGAAGTACAAAGAGGAACCACAGGTAGACAACATAGGCCACCAAGCCGTTCTCCTGATGACAGAAGAGAAAGGGAATGGCTATGGCTAAGTTACTGCAAAAACAAATAATGGTGTTGATTAACCGTCAGGAGGTAAAACTAACTTGGTGAAAGCAATCACATGCATGTGTTCACGCGCGTTACCTAATGAAACGCATTCTTAAATGAAAAGTTTATTTCGATTGAATTTAGTCTCTCCTTGTATGTACCCTTTAAACTCGGGAGCGCCCATCTCATAATCTCAGTAACGGATCTTCCGTTATAGTGTGTGATGATTATTTCTTGATCGGGCGCACCGCACTGTTGGCGATGTGCAACTTCGCCCTGAAAACAACCGAGGTGCAGAATAATATGTGGGTCTGGTGAAATGACAACACAAGATTTTCTTGTGGGGAACATTCTTCTGAGCCGATGCTTATATCTCTTTATATGAGCAACACTCTACTGGACCTATAGTCAGAGAAGAAATTATTTCAGTCGTAAAAAGTACCTGTTATTACTGGAAAAAATAATCCTAATTATTATTTTTTGCAAACAAAATGTCTGCACTGACTGACAATTTTAATCAGTGAGATTTCGTTTCAAAAAGGCATCAAGGTACTGGCATTCCTTTTGGTAAAAAAAATATACAGGAGCTACAGGAACTTCGAAGGCCTATATAGCCCCAAATTTGTTCCCGAATGCTTCTTATAAAATGCGTCCTTCTCCATCATGCGGCGTGCGTACTACCGTTCACAACCCCGATCAGAGGCGCATCCAGAAGTAGTCAAGGGGGCAACTTGGTACTTCTTTTGGTTTCTGGTATTGGTAAAACAAAACAAAAACAGTGTTTAGAACCACCGGAGAGCACTCGGCGCACAGGCTCCATTTAGTGCAGAGAGCCCTTTTTGTGCAATCTTAAAGCGCCCTCACCATAAGACACGGCCCACGGTCTTAACGACTAATGTACTTTTCAATGACTATTTGGCAGATTTTAATGTCATAACGTCAGCAGATGAAAACATCTTTTCATTAGTACGTATGGGTTGCTGATGTTACATGAAACTACTTCAAGCTCGAGAGTTTAATGAAAATGGTCTGGGAACGAGATAAGAAGGTTTCAGAATATCCTGGATGTCCGCGTCCGAAACCTACAGGTCGTTGACCCGTATCCGGACCCCCCCTTCCAAAATTAATACATGTAGTTCCCTCCATCCATATCGTTCTCCTTGCTTGCTGTTCAGTATCTTACCTCCATGACCACATCACCTTCCAGCATTCCCGTGACTAGCTGGAACGTACACACGATCTCCCCGGCATACCTTCGTGCGCTGCCCCCCGCTGGTAATCGCCTGATGAGACGGCGAGCGACGGCGCATATTAGGGTAGCGAGGAGAGCAAACAACACGGCCCCGTAACCGCCTGGCAGCTCCGCCATGTCAGACGATACACCATAGATGAACTAAATCAGTTATACTGGATAACAAATAACGAAGACTACCCGCTTAATCTTTGGTCACGCTTCGACGATATCTCCGTCGATAGGTGATGATGTAACACAGAAGAGAAAAAAAGTCGATGTCTATTTCGCATTGACAGAAGTATTCGGGGTGGTTCAGTGACTGCGCAGCGCACAGTTGTATAGTTATTTGACATTAAGTTCCATCACATCTCCCGTACTTCGATATATAGACAAATATACACGCACATTGTTTGATGGCAGGCAGATGGGCTGAATAATCCCGGCAACAGGTGTTATTTAAATACTCGTGATCTGACTGTCAGTCAGTACTATAAAAACGCATATAAATATCTGGACTTTGATCGTTCGTTGTCAATGAGGAATCGATTCTACAATGTACATGTAGGCCTTTAACATAGAGCCTGTTCATGCTTCAATGCAAAGCGAAATCGTTACAGCATGGAGGTTACAGGTAACGACGAACATCACAATTGAAACTTCAATAATTGTGACGTCATAAAATTCGCTTAGCTTTCGCTTCCGCGTATACCGGTGTCATATGGAATTTGGACTCCTATGAAATCTGGTCTTATTTTTCCTTAAATGGACATGGACTCTAAGTAAGCAGTATGACTCGAGTCGACTCGAGTCACTGCGAGCAAATCTCGAGTCCTTCATTAGAATTAAGATTCCACTTGACTCGAGCGAAGGCTAATAGAATCGAGTCCCCAAAATAAAACCAAAACTTTGCGAAAAAAAATCTGCAATGACAATTATAGTGCAAAATGTATGTTCGAGGCACTTTGCTACAAGGCGCTACAAATATAATTGTCTCCTCTCTTGCAATGGCAATTGCCCCTCAAAAAACACAAGTGCCCCTCTCGCATTAACAAGATTGTGCACCTTCTTGAGATGAAAAATTTCTCCTCGAAAGCACAATTTTATTAGTTCCCCGCTCGCAACAGTAAAATTGTGCCCCTCTCCATGGAAACTGGCCTTTAAAAATAATAGTGCTCCTCCTCACGCGAATAAAATTGTCACTGAGCTGGCCATCAAAAGCAACAGTGCCCCTCTCGCGATAAAAAAAGAAGGTATCTCTACATTATAGTCAAATTCATGGGCGGACCTATAGAGGGTACTGGCGGGGCGGAGGGTGTGCGGTGCGCCAGGAAAATGCGGGTTGGGGGGGTGTTGAGTCCACTCGGCGTGACTTCGTGTGGGTTTCGGTATCGACCAATGGAAGCCGGGGAAAAGGGTGATATTTACTGCACACCATGGATAGGAACCTTAAAAATATTCGTGAGGCTTGAAAAGATTGACAGATATTACAAACACCAGCTACAGCTTTGATAAATTGACGTACCCAAGCCTATTTTTCCAATTTCAAAGAAAATGGTACTGACCATATCAAATCGATTTTTAGCACATAGTTGCATGATCATTAGGGAAGCAAACCCTGAAAGTTGCATGAAGATACGGTCTTCCAAACGGCAGAAATTGATTTTTAAAGCATTTTCGCCTGCGAACATCAACTTGTCCGTGTGCATGTTGTTTTATTCGAAATAAAGTATTATGTAACCTTTGGAAATCGGCCTTTGCAACCACATGGCTGTTAAGCCGAGCAGTGGCGCATTAACTACGGGGGCATACGGGCACGTGCCCCCCCCCCCTCCCCCGGATGTCTGTGCCCCCAGTCGCCCTCCCCCACCGACCCCCGTGCTTCGCCGTGACATGACGCGCAGTAAGCTGGCAGATTGTGCATGTCTAGCATACATGTATTATACATGTATATGCTAGGGCTGAGTCAATTTAAATAATTTGAACATTCGATTAATTGGTCATTCCAAATTCCCACAAAAGCAGAAGTATGCCATATTATACATGTAGTTAACGTACGTGTGCACGTTAATATGCCAATGTGATTTCTTCCCAGGTAAGTCAGGTATATAAAAGCAAACAGTTTATCTTGGGTCATCATTAATTGACGATTAATTAATCATCAGAGAAGGAGGTGGAGTGAACGATTCCTTGTTTGCACAGGGGACGTATTAAGCCGTGAACCCCAAACACGGCGGGTGGCGTCAGCCAATGTGACTCTCCGACCCTTAACTCGCAAAAGGAATCGAAGATAAATGTCACGTGAGGCTTCTTGAACTAGTCTACACAACGGTGTGTTTTCTAGTCATTGTTGAGGATAAACAAAACACTTTTATTTTAATAACTCTCACCTTTGCCACCTAGGTTTGAGGAATGGTTTTATATCATTTCAAATAGACTTATTCTCAACAACCATAAACTCCAAGAACAATTCCAATGATATTTAATGTATTTCATCAATGGGTCTTTGAAGTGTTTATGCATATTTACATTTTAATTTTAATCGTCATTTAAGTCTTGTTCCATTGCCTTATTTACAAATCCATTTGAATCGCAAACCATTTTTGTGGAGTGGATGCTTGTTTATTTCTAAATGTTGATGAGCTAATTACCAAGGAATCGGAAAGATGTTAATCGGAAAGAACATTCAAAAGTAAACATCCACACAAAAGTCAACTATCCTTTAAAAACTTTGCGTTTTTGTGATATTAAGTGCAAGAACGAATTCGGGGTCCACTTTTGCGACCCCCCAAAAGTCGGCTTTTCGTGCTAGTTGTGATTTCAGCCGTAAAGTGTTCGCCTTTTGCGGACGTGTAAAAACCACATTTTGGCATTGGTGCAGTGTGTAATATTTATGCGACAAACACAACGTGTATCGTATATTAAATGAAAACGACATGAAAAACGTATGCGCATACTCCGTCGTATCCGATGTAAACATCCGGGGTGGTTCCCGTTTTTCCTCGGGAGCGGTAAAACATTCGGTTGGTTTCCTTTCAACCAAATGTTTGATATGGGATAAGTAAACAATCCAAAGCAGGACATTTCGGGGATTTCAGGACGCACTGCCCCTGGGCGGACCCACCACCTAAGGGTCACACCGCCCTACACCTACCTTTCAGACTCTAAAAATATTAGACAGATTTATTCTGTCATGATGACGTTTTCGATATTGAAAGTGTACTTCATCTGCCCGTTTAATTTCGTTCTTATGAGAATGTGTCCCTTCCATTTGGAAAGTGTATCGGCCTGCATTGGATGACATGTCAAAATGTTTGGCAGCAAATACTGAAAGTCATTGTCGGCTCTTTTGGTGCGCTCGAAATTTCACAAGTCAACTTCTTCAGCAGTTCGCTCGGAACCCAGGTTTCCTCGTTTGATGTCTCATTCAAAAGCAACTTTTGCATTTAGCCTCTAATTAAAATAGCTTCTAATTAAAATTTAAAAAAATCCGGGTGGAACTCGAAAATAACACTGTTTGAAATGTCGCTGTTGTGGCGAGCTCATGGTGTGCGTGCAATTCCGCTAAAACATTCATGGATTATTCAATTAAATCATATTTTGTTCCCAAGTGCCATATTGTCACTCGCAGGGTGTTCTCCATAATAATCTAATCCTGATCTATTTTGCAGACCGAGGGTACATTCGCATTGCAGTTCCACCACGGATGCCACTTATCCGTCGAGATGGTGTACAATGTGCAATCCCCGTATCCATACCGAACCGGTGTAGTGGTGCTTCCATACCAGTAGGAGAATGCCGTGGGATCGCTGCCGTCTTCCCACGTCGCCGTCTGCGCCGTGCTGTCCAGACGCATCCCGATCCAAATCTCCTTCCACTGCCCCCTGTAAACGTTGCTCACGAGCTGCGTGATGAAGTCGAGCTCCTCTTGGCTGTTGATCGACACCAGGTGTGCCTCCTTGCGGTACGTCGACAAATCCAGGCAGTTTTGCTCCGCCATGTCGTATGACAGCCCTTCCTTGTACAGCCGGTAGCAGTTTGTTCCAAACGGTGTCCATTGGAAAGGGCATATGTTACAGAGTGCAGTCACGACACCAATCCGGACACTTAGGAGAAACAACAGATGGATACGGTTCCTCATATTATGATTGCACATGTACAGGACTTTTTATGTAAGCGAAACAAGCGTCTTTGGTAAAAGATACTAAAGCGAACCGTCTCACGAGATGGCATGAGGTAAATGAGCAAAGCGCGTGAAGAGCTTGATACTATATTAGTCCGATTTGTCGTGGTGGGGATCGCAACGCGCGAAGTGGGGAACGCGCTTAATAATTGAACGCATGCGTGGGTGTGGTAGGCCAATGAGGATCCTCGTACCAAACCTCGTTAATTTGCTAAATGGCTATGGTATTAGTTGATACGTCACTCAATAACTCACTCGGCCGCAAGAACACGCAGAGCAGCTTCGCTTGGTCGACCCAGCGTATCAATCCAGGGTATCTTGATTTGGGCGGCTCATGGGCCTTGTTCTGAGTTGATACGTGAACAGTAACAACTCGTTTATATGCGCCCTTGGGGTTCATTAGTTTAACGAGAAGCTTTGCGGCTGCCTCACTGCATGCATGACCGATCGATTCCCTGTCTGGGAAGCCCGATCAGACTTTATCAAATGGTATTATCATGACATTATAGACCTTTTGCAGTTGCAGCTTTGGCAATGACATGATTGGCGTCATTTAGTTCGTCGAGGCCTTTTACTTGACGATAATGGGGAAAACGACTTTGCATTTTTTAAAATTCCTTATATGTCTATTGAGAGTATTAAATGCATTTGCGGCCTGACAACAGGTTTTCTGTCTTGTATGTTATCGTAGGATTTTATTTTACACGACAAGGCCCCACAAGGGTAGATTATAAATTAGCATGTTTCACATCATAATCGATGAGCTGACATGGGGCATTGTCTCTATACATTTATGTTTGGGAAAATATTGATGTTAAAGTGACAATCTTCAGAAGGTGGTTGCTCAGAGTTTTGTTTATATAAGGCCTAGGCTTGTACACAGTATACAGATCTTCAGTCGCGTGTATGCATTTTCGTTGCCGGTGTGTTCAAAGTACTTTTGCAATTGCCCAACTCTTGAATGTCTGATGAAGTGATAAAAATGACAGGTTCTTAAGGAATTCGACCATGTGACGTCTGCCTACCGAACAGGTCACTGCGTCAACAACTTGACCTAATTTAAAAGAAAAGAAAAATTGCGATAAAAAACAACAACAAACAAACAAACAAACAAAATTGCGATAAACTACGAAGAAACCGTGAGTCGACACTTGATTGGTACGACACCACGGTTGACATGGTATGTATATCACACTGCTGGTACAGCCACCAACTATCCCGATATTGCATATCGAATTTTGCTACCTGCATGCACTGACGCGCAAAGCTTTTTAGGGAATGACAAAGCGCCCATTTTGATCGTGAACACTTGAACCGACATGTTTTCCCACTCAGAGAAAAAAATCCAATTGCACACAATTTTACTCAGCAATTAGGTCATAAAAAAATGAATGTGGACGTTTAGCCTATTGGATAAAACGCTACACAAAAAATGCTGCATCGGGTTTTACTCCAGTCACGTGTAAATGACGTAAACCTTCAACGTCAATACGTCAAGTTTACCCAACCCCTCTCGCGCACTTTTTACCTTGCTCTAGTTGTTCAATTTTTTGAAAAGATGCATTGTATAATCGGGTACATGTATATACTTATAATTTCAACCCCCTCAATCAAAACATTGACAAGCTGTGGTTTAAGTAATTGGTTCCAGTCTTTGTCGAATTTCTGTGATATTCCTTGTCATATCAACTGCTGATGGGACCGGGATTACTATCATCGCTAGGAGAACTCCGGACGAATGTGCACCTCTGAGCAAAATATTATCGCCAAAAATAGAAATGACCAGCTAGGATTAGCTGAAGCGAGCACTCTCACATCTAGTGGACATCCTTGACTGTAGGTTGAGTCAGGGGCAGCTGAACCGGGGGGGGGGGGTGTTACTTTCCCTCAGATTTTCCCAGGCCAACAAAAGTGCCCCTCTCGCGGTTGTAAATGTGCCCCCTAGAGAAAACAAAAGTGCCCCCCAAACGCACAGGTATGAAATAAAAAATGTCAAATAAAATTGTCTGCTCTCTTGTAATGCAAAACTGCCCCTCGAAAACACAAGTGCCCCTCTCGCATTAACACGTTGTGCACCTTCTCGAGATGGAAAACTACCCTTCGAAAGCACAATAGCCCCTCGCAATAATAAAATTGAGCCCCTCTCGAGATGGAAAATTGGCCATCAAAAACAATAGTGCATCTCACGATAACTTCTTGAGAAGAAAAATTGCTCCTCGAAAGCACAATTTTATTTGTGCCCCGCTCGCAACATTGAAATTGTGCCCTTCTCATGGAAAACTGGCCTTTAAAAATAATAGTACTCCTCCTCACGCGAATAAAATGGTCACTGATCTGGCAATCAAAAGCAACAGTGCACCAACCTCGTCCCCAGTGCTTACTTTATTTCCAACGTCGTTTCCAATAATAAGCCCTGGATAGGAAACTTTCTTCCTGTATCCTGATTCGATACTGCAATTGGCTAGAAATGGATTTATATCGTGTACTTGGTGCTTTGTTGTTATGATTTCATATAAATATGAACAAATTGGAAAGAAAATGAATATTTTCGAGAAGGCATGGACGAATGATCGCGAAAACACGTACTGCACGTTGTGAATAACAACATTCAATTTAATAAATCTTGTATCTCTTGAGTTGTTGCTCGAAAACGAGTTTGATCGTTTTCTCAAAAGCGCAGCATCATCCGTGGAGATGCATGCTTTGTGGAGACCACTATTTATGTGGCGCGCCCTCTATTGAACGAACATGAAAGTTCCATAAAGTAGGCATTGGTGGTGCGAGACCACTGGGGTTTCAGACCTGTAAATCGACTGCCATAAACCTAAGTGATAATTACACGTACTTGTCCTGGTCTTCAGTTTATTTTTTGTTTTTTTTGCAACACCATTTTCAATTTTCTCTTATATAAACTGTTATTATTATTTTTTTTATGTCGGATTCGAATTTTAAGCTTTGATATAGCGTCCTCTTTTGATGCGGCTATTTGTGTAATAAAAGTTGTTCTCCTTGTGCTCTTTCACATAATTATCAGCTCTTTTCAGGGGCGTAGCACGGGCATTTTTATTGGGAGTAAAATGTTTTGAAAAGGGCACTTGCACATCCATTGTGAAATGTGGACAGGTTTTTTTTTCTCCGGACACTTGGCCTCCGTAAAATCCAAAAAAAAGGGGGGGGGGGGGGGCTGGTACCACCTGTCCATTGGGGCGCTGTTCAAAACCGACAATTATGCACACAAAAGGCCAATATATGGTGCTTTTCAGGGCGATACATGTGCGCAATTCTGAAAAAGGCACCCAAAACGGCAGATGCCACAAAAAAGGGCACCACTTCTTTTTTGAAAAGGGCACTTGTTCAGAAAAAAAAGGGCACTTCGTAAAAAAGGGCACTTTTATACAAATTATTGGGGGGGGGGGGGGGTAAGCCCGTTGAAAAAGGGCATTTGAATGGAAAAAGGCAGTCTTTACAAAATATGGGGGGGGGGGGTAAATACCGTCCTTTACCCCCCCCCCCCCCCCCCCCACCCCTCGATCCCCGCTGGCTACGCCTATGCTTTTATGTTATTTTCACGAAAAAAAACTCTACTTTTCCCATATCGGGCATCTGCAACCCTTTGATGACAGAGTTTTCCGGAGAGGGTGTTTGCTTTTGCGCCTTTTACATGAAAAAAACCCAAACATTGGGCCTTTTTCTAAACAGTTTGTTGAACTTCAAAGCATTCAACTATATGAAACATCTGTCTCTTCACTTATTAAATAATTTTACTGAACATAAATTATCATATATGTAAACATTATCTCTTTGCATAGGCCTATATAAACACTGAGACTTTGCACCTTGCTATGGCTATTTGCATGAAATGCTCATGCCATGGCTAAAACTTGTTGTTGCGTTCTTATAGAATGCATTTATAGCATGATTTTATTTCGTTCAAAACTTGGTCATTTCGGAAATTCACAGTGCTAAACCATTAGTTGGTTATACTAAAGATCATAGAGCGCGTAGCGCGAGTCCGTTATACGCTGCAAAAACAGCGGTGTTAAATTTGACACCAATTTTTGTATCTACGTATGCATACTTTTTGTATAGCAGTGTAAATTGGTGTTGTCGTATAGATACCAATTGATGCATGTTAAATTTACTCCATACTTTTTCAGTGTCTATAGGCAGAAAATACCTATATGGTTGATTATTCCACTCTTCATTACATCATTCAATTGAACATTGTATCATAATAATTACAGCTGCCAATATTCCAATATATATTCGAACATAACACTTTCATGGCCCTATATTTATTTATTCATTTTCAAAATACATCTCAGTCAAAAAATCAAACTATACAGTACTTTGCATTGAGTTTAACATCGAAAAGTTAAGTATGCCTGTTTAAATGATCTGATTAAGTCCCGGATACTTCAGGAGGAAATGACTGCGTTTATCTATTAAGAAAAAGATAACTGTCAACCAACGTTTCAAAACATTACGCATAACCTTCACTTTCACTTTACGCTAAAAAGACATTGATTGGTCACAGTGTTTAAAAACATGTTTGTATTAATACGGATTAACAAAAACAAAAACGTGTGAAAGTTTCGTGTCGATATTTCAATTTCATTTTTCGATCCAACAGCGCCCTAGTTCGGTCGCATCCCTTATAATGCAACACATTTTGTCTGTTGTAGTTATTTTAATAAGCCCGTAGGTTACATTAGTAGAATGTAATCTCACCACCGGTGTCATTTACAAGAGTATCCTTGGAATGTTTTCAGTATTGCTTTATTAACCGTCGGACTAATTCGGAGATAGCTTATCTAATTGAAAACAAACTGTTGGATATATTTGTTGTTTCTTTGAACGACTCTGCTTTTTCACGGCGGGACAATTACTTTTAAGGTGGTTACAAGTGTCTAAATGAGAGAAATGACAAGTTCAGTCAGTTCAAGATTTTGTTCCACTTACGATTCAATTCAATTTAATTCAGTTGACATTTATTTAGCACTCTCCAATAAACCAAAACAAAGTTGGATAATATAAGTATAATACAGTGCTTATTTAAATAAACGAATACATATATGAAGGTAATTACCACCAGAAAAAGTAACGCTTTGAATATAATTATTTAAATTAAGATTAATAGCAAGCGAAGGTGATGACGATTGATGAAGTACCGTTTTATGTATGCCTTGGCCTGCAATAACAAAATAAATTTTGTTTTAAATTGCTAATTTCATATGGCATATATTCTTACCTCCATTGTAAAACTTATGCACTTTTGAATGAGACAACGAACAAACAAATATCCATAGGCCTAAAGAATAATTGTTTCTTCCCAATTTCCCAAATTACTTGCTGCCGGACAATAGTTTCGATTTCGCAAGTGCGCCTGGGCGGGTCTATTAATGTATTCGTGAAAACCCACTTCCAGAGGGTAAAAAACCCAACACGGAATATTTAATTTTTTTTACGTTGAAACAAAACATAAAAATATATTTCGTTTAAAGCACGGGGTATCATCTCTAATAAAGAACGAGGATTATCGATAAGTATTTATAGGAAAAAGTGTGTTTGCACTCGTCAGTTATACGTAGGAAGACCTATATATTTATTTTGTAACATTTCTTGAGTAAGATTCCTGCCTTAGTTAAATATTGAAGATAAAATAGCTGACAAAAGATTTGCAAATGAGAAAAAAATGCGTCCTTTAAAAGGTAAATTATGTTATAGCATATTGAGATGTGAATTTCACATTGAATTTTTTCTTCCAAATAATAGTTATTGTTATTGTTATCTTTTACTTTCCTAAATTCCATCATATCGCCTACTAATTATTTCTGCACGTTTGTTCAAGTGTTTACGGCGAATAATGATTCATAAGTTATTTTGAACAATAGCTCATTGCTATTTGTTTGAACATTGGACTTTCATATGCGCATGTAAATGATGCCCTTATTTGGGACAGATTATTCCATACTCCGCCCCCTTGGGAATTTCCGGGTAGCCAGTTCATTGTAACACAAATAATTCCTTTTATCATGCAAATAATGACGTCACCGGGTTCTCTTTGATGACCGACAGCGTAAAAACAGCACACACCTTGCCGCAATAGCTGTTCCGGTATGCGAGACTCCTCCCTCCTTATCACATTCGTATCGCTTTGCTTCCGGCGGGTACGATTCTCGCAACGCTAACCGTTGCGCCATTTTTCATGCAACAGTCATCAATGTTCATCTAGTGTCAATGTCGCATTCGAAAATCCATTTTATTTTGATATTTTTGTAGTGTACTTCGTGGAGAAAATAAGAGACTAAAACACAAGCCTATTTTTGACGAACCTGTGTCTCGAATTTGGTGAGTTAAATTACAATCGGTAAGCATCTAAATGCCTTTTTGCGATTCGCAGTCATGCAGTTTTGCTGATGGCATTGCACTGAACTGCATTGCGTGTGCATTTTGGATTCATTTTGACATGTTTGATGGGTTTAAAAATCTGTTGCCAAACAAATGTATGATCTTTTTTCCTTTTACATTTCACCATGTACAACTTTTTATTATAATAATAATAATGTCATGATTTTACGTGATAATTTTGTATGCTTTCAGGTTTCAGTTACCTTAGTTAACTTGTAAATGAAATCCGAAATTTCTAAATTTGTTTGAAAAGGCTTTATCGTGTTTATCCCCCCAAAAATTATGGTCAACTTTGATTTAACTAGTAGTAAGTAGTATTATATAAGGCCTAGCCTACTCAATATTTTTACACTTACTTAACACGATGATTTTCACCATTTGACTATCACAACGTCTGAATAGGGAACATCACATTCTTTCTGCAATTTTATCAATTTATATGTCTAACGTCTCCAGCCTCACAAATAGTTAACAGATACGCATAAATGATTTGGGAGAAGAAGGGGAAAGTTTCCCATATCTGGCCATCACTATTTTTTCTCTTCAGTGACCAATCACTCGTGCTAGTCAGCTAGTAGTAATTAAAAAAGTGATGTGTCCCTAAAACGTCAAATTTAGCTGGGAAAATATTGAAGTTTTGGAAAGAATGTTGCAACCTGACGCTGCTTTTTTCTTCACATATCATCTCAATGAAGGTCATTCATTGCAAAAATGATAAGATATGAATCTGGGACTGAGAAACATTTCCAATTTTGTTAAGAAATACTTTAATGATTGTATAGATACATGTACATTAAAGAAAAAAACCTTTAATGAATGTATCTACATTAGAGTGCAACTATTTTTGTTTTTCTTTCAGGATTGTTTTCGAAGGAAGTGCTGGACACTTAAAAGCAACAATTCTTGTGCAACTCCATCGCGGGATTTAACCTTAGCCTAACCATGGCGGCAGCCGTCAGATTGTTTGCCACTCTGCTCAACATTTCAATCATACTCGTCCTAATTTTAATATTAGTTTCTGGCTTTGCCTTGCCAAGCATCAACGTACACTTTAATACCAGACCAGGGACAATTCTCACAGAGTTGCAGAACCAGGGACAGAGCTTCGAATTGGACCCCACCAGTAGTAAGTACTTTGGCGTCACAGACAGCGGTAAGCTCGTCACCAACAGACCCCTGGTAGATTTGCTGGGGAGCAGCTTGACCGTCGGTATCCGGCACCGGATTGGTGACCATTCCTGGAACGAGCAGATCAATGTCAGAATCGTCAACACCGGAAGGGACTCAAAGCTGCACTTTGCCGACAGCAGATACCAGGGTGTCATCACTGAAAACAATCCTTTGGGGGAGAAAGTTCGGGGACTGTCGGACTTGCGAGTAGTTGTGCCCATCTACGCCCAAGGCATGCCCGTCCAGTATGAGTTGCTCGGCCAAGGCAGCGACAAGTTTCACCTGGAAGTTTCAGAAGATGATTCCACTGTCGGCGTGTACGCCGACGCACCGTTGCAGGTGGCCGAAAAAGAGTTTTACAAGCTGACCTTGGAAGCTGTAGTGAACGATGAGGTTGCCATGACAGAAGTCCAGATCTGGGTACTTGGTTTGCACCCTCCCGTCTTTGCCTTCTCATCATTCATCTACAGTATCGCCGAAAACTCCCCCGTGGGCACAATCGCTGGTACGGTGTTTGCGACAGACGAGGACATGGGAGAGAACGGTCACGTTACCTACCATCTCTTAAAACCCAACCGGTATTTCACGGTCGGGCAGGAGAGCGGACTGGTGACGGTCACAGAAACAACCCCCATTGGCGAGTACAAAATGCAAGTCGTTGCCCGGGATGCTGGCACCCCCTTTCAAGAGTCGGCTCCGGTTCCCCTGCAGATCAGCGTGATTTCTTCCTCGTCCAACATGATCCCGTACGGAAACGACATGATGTTCGCTCCCGACTACAAACCCAGCAAGAGATTTAGACGAGAAGTTCTCCCGGAAGAGAGAGTACCCGTTAACGAGGATACAGCCATCGACACAGTTATATTCACTGTATCAAGCCTAAATGACACTGATAGGTTTGCATACGTCGGTACGCCCAATCCTCTGTTTGGCCTGAACGAGACCACGGGCGAAGTTACGCTCCTTGGCCAACTCAACTTTGAACAGGCAACAGTGCACGAGTTTGAAGTGGAGATCACTAATGTTGAAAATACTGGTAAGTACTCCAATTTTAGAAAGAAAAAAATATCCAGTTTGAAAATCCATTTGAATATAAATTATGTTACGGGCAACAGCTTCACCCTACACCGACTGGAACAATTGAGAATTTCTCAGGTTTAACGCTGAAAATGTGGCGCACATGAAAATAGTTTAAGTTTAAACCTTACCGAACTCAACCCATCAAAGCCCAACAGCAGGTTTGGCGAAATCTGTGGGGATAGGTACAGTACCCCTAAACTGGTGGTCTTTGACACTGGGTTTGGCATACCTCCAGAAACTAAGCCCAACAGTGTGTGTGTACAATTTCCAATGTGGGTGTTGGAATTTGCCAAAATGGGTAGGCCCTACGGTTCCTAGTAAATTATGCTGGGGAGTTAAGGTTAATGTACGAGTAGTACATTCCATCATCCACATCAAATTGTCGATTTACAGCAACCATTTCAAATTTCCCCTAATCCTGATTGAAAATCCTGGTAAAAATGCTGATTACAGAAATTTTTTTTTTCCGATAATGAGTCTATGAACAGTAAGTTACACAAAAATTCACCCAAAAAGTTTTTCCCAATTAAGTCTTGTGTACATGTAGGTTTAACAATTTGAATTAATTTTTTTTGGGGGGGGGGGGGGGCGGAGGTTTAACCTTTTTATTTGAGGTTAAAAAACCAGGATACTTTTTAAAGGGAATATACAACATTTGCAAACATCGAAAAATAAAGCTACCAAGTTTTTGCGAAATACCTTAATAGGATGTTGGTAAATGACAGTCTAAAGCATCCTGTAAAATTATGGCACCTGGTATACTGTCATTTTCAAGAAAAGTGTTATTTTTGTATCAATTTCCAACGCTGATCGGCCGATCAGCGTTGGAAACAACTGGCTTTTTTTTTCAAATACTGGCCCCAATTTACCATTGCACTTGTTTGCAATCGATTACAAACCTATGAACGGGTACGAGCCAGCTAGACTGGTTCCCTGACCTTACAATTCCCCAATGTATGTAAACTGCTCTGTTTCTTCTTATATGGAGTCAGGGAACCAGACTACAGGAAAATGATCGTTTTTCTTGGTTTTTATAGCATTTTCGAACCCAAAACCTCCAAAAATTCAGTGTAGCTATATTTGCTTTATATTTCCAAACCCCAATTCCATCCATTTCTGAAAATTACAGCAAAAGCAAATGATGTATATTCCCTTTAAAAATTGCACCTTCAAATGTGTGGAAACGACCAACGTCACTGTGTCCATTAAAAACAACAGGAAATACATTCTTTTACTTTGACATGCATCAATTTTTGATTTTCAAAATACTTAAGCCATTAGTCAGAGTTTAGTCTGGACCAACAGTTGAACAAAGACCCTATTATTAAAGGAGACCTTTGTGGTTTTACTCCATAAAGTGAACAATGATTTGTAACCACATAGTATACCAACCACAAACCACTTAGAAACTTTAGGTATTGTGCTTTAGCTGGATCCTTAGTTGTGGTTCAAATGATCATTTTAATGGAGACCAGGAAATACAAAAAAATGTATATTCTTGTGAAATATTAATTCAGTTCAGGACTTCAGATTTGTATTAGTTGAGGAATGAGAGTAATGCACACAAGCTCCTCAAATTCAAGTTCAATTTCATTCTTAAAGATATAGTCATTTGTAATTTGTGCATTTTGTTTGTTTGAAGCAACAAAAGTGTTCAAAATCTAATGAAGGATACTGAACAACTAACCTGATGAAGTTTCAGCTCAGCTTCAGCTGTATATTCTGAGAAAAACAGCATTCTAGGATCTCAATTTCAAATCAAAAGTTGCTGAATCACGTTTTGAATTGGGCCTGAATTCAGCGTCCGAGTCGCGTTTTCACTGAGCCGATTGCAGCTATACGCGATGTCGCGCACTGATCCGACGAATTATAGCAACCACGTGTGCGTCATGCCAATGCTTGCTCACGCTTCGCCGAATAACAAAACGAAGTACTAATTTAAATTTTCCTACGATGCGTCTTAAACTTAAGACGCACCGTTGGAAAGGCCTTCTTTCGTTGATTACTTCAAAATGACAGCTTGCCAGAAAGAATAATTTCACAGGGAGTTTATCCCCTTACTATCTTTCAACCAAGTATGTTTTTCAACAATAATTACGCCAGTTACTTTTCGGATGGCTGCAAATGATGGACTATAGCTTTAATAAATGTTGTTTTTGAATTTTTAACTTGTGATTCAGATCCATGGTCTGACGGTACATGCTTGTGACAATAATTACAGTGTAGCCTTTCCTGAATACATGATCATGTAAAGTTGGTACTTCGTAATTTCCACTCGATTTTTAGGGTTCAGTTTTTATTAAAAAAAAACACAAAAACATAAATTTACATCAACAACCTTCAGTTGAAGTACCGGTAGTATTGCCCGTACTCTTCAACAAATTCAATGTGTTTCCTATTAAAAACAATTTGAACTTAGTAGGCTTTATTTCAACCAAAAAACCTCCTTTTGTCCTTTTTTTGACGTCTACATCCCTCACTCCAGGATAAGGTTTCTGTTTTGGGTTCAAACAGATCCGCCGTGCAAGTACGGTAAACTGGCTCCTGCCTCCTGGTCCGTACATTACTAGCGATACTGATTGTTGGGTGGTAACCAGCCTACCCCGCAATAACGTAATTATTGTCTGGCAGCCAATAACTCAAAATTGTAAAGTAATTTCATTCACTAAACATGGGCCTATTTTTTTTTGGTCGATGTGAAGTGAATACAATACATGTAACTTCTGTATCAATTGCTGAAAATATAGCATTTTAGAAAAGGAATAATATATTTTTCAAAATTAGCATAAAAAAAATGCATCTTTACATGTTTGTGTGATGTGGATACTGTCCAATATACATGTATCGTATCCTTCCTAAGAAAAAAAAAAGTCATAATAGCGTACACCATTTAACTTAATGGAAATGTCATTTGAAGGGAATTAGATGTAATTGGTCTAAATTGAATTGAGCCAGCCAGGATTTGTGCAGTCATATGGCCATAATCCGGAACAGACTGCGTGAAAAATCTTCTGCTGAGATCAGAAAGCGCATTGCGAGAGTACCGTTGGGCATGCTTGATTGCATGTGCAGTAAACATTTCAGATTTCGATTAAGCAAGACACAACAACCGCAGTGGCACAGTCAAGTGTCAAGATCTCTTGAACTCTTTTGGAAGAGTGCTGGAAACAAAGGTGTATTCTATTCTACAAATGTGATGCGATCAAGCTACCTGAGTCGTTTGTCGACCCTGGTCAAAATATTTTTTATAACAGATTTGAAAACTTAAGAGCACAATCTCGGCATTACTGCTCATGCTGATACCATCTTCAGTTAAAAAATTATGGAAGTTGGAACACCAAGAAATGTGATGAAGTGGTCCTATTTTGTCCTGTATCTTCAAATGAAAATTCCCGACAAATGACTCATTTAGCTTGATCGCATCACAAATGTCTTCAAAAGAAAATGTGTGCATGTCTTACTGCAATTGCTGCGTGTTCAGAAATGTGCAGGGTTTCATTCAAGATGGCCGTTTTGAATGTTAATTAACAACTAGCGGGATGCCGCGCTTCGCGCGGCACCCGCTAGATGGGTGGAGTTGACTGTTTCGTAATAATTACTGTATCCAGTGAAATCTCGATAATAACTCCAATAACTCCAAACAACTGTTAAGTCAAATAAAGAATCAGACGCTCTGCTGCACGCGAGCCTATTTGGGCTCGCCATCAGTCTCACCTAAGTTGTATTTGCGTTTAGCAACGTGCGTGCATATAACATTTCCTGTGGAGATTGTGCGAGGGTCCAGGACATATTGTCAATATAGGGGAGGGGCTAGTTAGGGTGAAAGGTGCTAGTCGGAACGCCCAATTTCCGTACAACCCGTCAACCATGTCACAAATATTTCCGGGGATGGGGAGAAATATTTCCAGGGACGGGGAGAAATGGTTTTTGTTATAGAGGGGAGATGGTGATATTGAAATCGCTGATATTGTGGAGGTTTATGTTTGTGTTGGGATTCATACCGTTTAAATGTTGTTTTAAATTGCGCACCGATTAGGAAGGTCTTGCTGTCAACAGTTGAATGAAATTAAGTATTTATTGCCGACCGATTGTCTCATGCAATGTCTCATTACATGTATATAAAGCTCATAACTAATGTTGTGCTGGAATATTGTCCAGTCAAATTGAACATTGATTTTTCAAGGTGCCAAACCATAAAGGACGTATACACCAACTGTACAATTAGGTAGTTTAGATGAAATGCGGTTTGATCTTGACCTTTACAACGTCGTATTCATAGTTCTCACTACAGAGGAGAGGAGGGGGAAGCCAGTGGGGATGGGGGTTGGATATTGTGTGGCCTATTTACATGGGCGTCGCCAGGATTTGTTTTCTAGAGGGGGCAAAACATATTTTTGCCAAAAAAATGCCTGTTTTTCTCAACACATTCTCCATTTATCAGTTTTAGAGAAGGGCAGGGACATTTAGCCCCCCAACTCATTAAATTTAAAATTGAACTCATTTTTTCCCCTTCTTTTTTCTTTTTTTTTTGCTTTCGGGGGGGGGGGGGGGGGGGGGGGGGGGCAAGTGCCCCCCTTGCCCCCCCCCCCCCTTGCGACGCCCATGCCTACTTATGTTACACCTGTGAATGGTCACTTATATTTCCGGGGAAGTGGGCAACAATTTATATTCGTTATGGTGAAGGGGGTGTTTTTTATGTATTAAGTAGTAGTTAATGTCATTATAACAGTTCGTGTTTTTATTATGGTGATGGGGTTGTAGAGCAAAGTATTGTAACACGTTTATTTGCAGAAGAGAGTAAAACTATAAGAAAGGACATATTGGAGCACTTCATAATTATGTCAAGCACCACATGTTAAATGTATTTATTACAAAACTGTGAAAATGAAATCAGGTACAATGCACACACAAATTTTTTAGTAATAATGTATTTGCATTCAATACAGGGTAGTACTT